TGATGCGGCTGCACTTGCTAACCTGCACTACACTGCAGAGCGCAACTTGTCATGCGTGACTCACAAAACTCCTAGGTTTGTGTTGCAAAATCCCCATCCTGACTCTGGTGTGGGTACGTTTTTACTCAGGATAACTGCGTGTGGCTGCGTGGCGGAGTTGTTTCCGTCCTCCAGCAGCATGATGTTTTCCGCCTTCACGTCCTTGTGCATGATCCCTCGCGCGTATCCTGAGTAAAAACGCCCCCACACCAGAGTGAAGATGCGAAATCTGCTATACAAATCCACCAGCTTTGGTTGTTTCGCATGACAAATTTGTCTTCGTCGTGTAATCCTGTTTAGCTAGTTCAGAGGCATTACAGATCAAGCATATCATGCTGCTTCTAGCATCACAAATTCCCAAATACGACTAGAAAATGGTTCTTATGGGGCTCCGCATGACAAACGTTTTTGGCTTTGGCATGCAGATTTGCATGACAACAATAGGGTTGGGAACGTTTTTACTCAGAATAGCGCGTGCACGTAGCTTATCGCCTGCAGCGCCTGACTGACCACCGTCGCAATCCACTGCTCGTTCAGCCGGTAGCCCGACTTGTAGTTCGACTCGATGACGTCCAGTAACTGCCCGCCCTTGGCGGACTCCATCAGGATGTAGATGTTGTTGTAGTCCTCGAAGTACTCGAACAGCCGGATGATGTGCGGGTGGTCGAGAGACTTCAAGGTGTCAATCTCCAGCTGCAGCTCCTCCGGCGGCATGGCGGACTTCGCCTTGTTGACGACTTTGAGCACCCGCTCCTGCTTCGTCGCGTTTTCCTCCACCAGGTAAACCAGCCCGAACGCCCCCTCGCCGAGCTTTTTCAGGGTCTTGTAGAAATCCTCCGGCCGTCGGCCCGTTCGGTTTTTGTCGATGAAAAAGTCCCGCCGAATGCCCGCCTTGATGTACCGGTCCCGCACTCTGCGGAGTATCGCCGCGTAGAGGTTATGGAAGCGTCAGGTTTGAAATCGTCAAAGTTGAAATAATCTGTAATGCATAAAATGCATGACCCGAGGTACGTGTGTTGCAGAGCAGGCAAGTGAGGCCGATTGTAAGCCTGTTTGGGGTTACAGCTCGAGCTGCTAAAGTAGCATGAGAAAATCACTCTTCTTTGCCTAAACAGCATGACAAACAGGATTTAGGGACCACCGAGATTTGTCATGCGCCACTTGGAAACTGGGTTCCAACTGGCATCCATTTTATGCATGACAAATTATTTCAACTTTGTCGATTTCAACTCTGACACATCCATAGAGGTTCAAAAACTCGTTGAATTCTAACACCCCGTTCTTGTTCGTGTCGAATTTGTTGAAAAGTGCCTCCAGCAACTTCGGATCGTTCAGCGGCGGCAGCCCGACGTCCCGGTTCAGGGCCTCGATCAGCAAACTCAGTTCCTCCAGCGACAGGGACCCGGCCTGTTTCGTGTTGAACTTTTTGAACCAGGTTTTCCCCGCCCGGGTGGTGTTTTCCGTGCTGGCGAGAACGTGCTGCACCTGCTTCAACTGCTCCGGGCTGGGCGCAAACCCGGTGGACTGGCTTTTTGGCGGGACCGCGCCGAGCTTGAAGCTCCGCGCGTCCTGCATCGGGGAACCCTTGTTGTCCTGGTTGTAAATCTCCCAGCATTGGGCGATGGTCATGTACTTCTTGTTCGATTTCTCGTGCAGGTAGGACACTTGGCCCGGTGGGTATACAAGAAAAAAACTGTGTAAGTGTAACTCTGTAATGCAGAAAATGCAAAACTGTTACACCTGTCATGCCAGACAACCACGCAGTCCTCTTTTCATGCGTGTTTTCTCTTGTAAGCCACGCATGACAGGATTTCTCTGTCATGTAGAGCAAATTTGTGATGCTGTCAGCCAAAGAAAGTTACACTAACACAGTTTTTTTCTCGGATAGTCGGGAGGTGGACGCGACAACGACGAAGCCCGTCGGGAGCTTCTGGTTGTCCGGGTGCCGAAGGTCCTTGTTGATCGGCATTTTTTCGAAAGTTGATGGGGCTGTCGCTTGAAAATAACTTCCAGTAGCGCAAAGCACGCAGCTCTGCTGCCTGCAGGCGGCGACTTGCAGGAAACAAATTCAAGCTGGAGCACGTAGAATCGCGGATTGCGGTCGTTGCGTCAGGTCTTCAACATCTTTTAAAAAACGACACATACGCAAGGAATTCCATTTGTCGACGTCTCCACCTACTACGACGCCATCACGTTTTTGGTAACGCCATATATTAAAGGCTTCGGCAACGGCATCTCCTGCGAGCGCTTGTTTTAATGACTCGCAAATCCTGATCTAGACACTTACACGCTCATAGCTGCATCTCTCAAACGCCAGTCGTACCGCTACTGAGCCTGCGTCAGCGATGCCGTCTCTCAAACGTAAGCCTGCGTCCCGGCTAGAGAATCAAAACCGTCTCTACAATTCTCTCTCTCGTTGTACGCATCAAGTAATCCTCTGCACAAGGCGGCAGCAAGTGCCTCTCGCTTCGCTGTACACAAACCGGCAACACAAGCACTCCTCTGCAATTGCATACGCCGAACAATTCCGCCTGCAGCTGGCCCTTGGCGTTGCAGGTCTTGCCTGACCCTCCGAAAGCTTTACTATTCATACGCAATCGCACGCATGAGGGGCTCAGGGCGGAGCATGCCACCTGGCGCCCCCCGCCAGAACGCGGCCGCAAAGACGCTGCGCCGAAGTGAGAGCCCGAGCGCCCCCCGGACAAGCCGCCACCAAGGAACTAACAAAAGGCGCGCGCGGCCCACAACCAGCGCGCCGCCGAGCCTGCGGTAGCGCGTGGGCGCGTAAAAGCTGCCCGCCCCCGGCTGGCCCCGAACACCAAGTCATACTCAGAACAAGAAGAACCGCGAACGCCAAGTCATCCCAAAAAAATCACAATCAAAGGCGCGACAATTACGCTGTTTTTCTTATTCAACTTGTCTTCAGCATTAGTGGCCGTTGTTGTGTTAAAGCCGCAAATGTTGGTGATTTAATACTTAAATGGACTCGCCCAAATGACCTTGCGCTACCTCGCGACATGAATCGACTTCCCTTCAAAATCATCTCATCTCAGTACATACATGTAGATCGGGTACAAATCTTTCGGCCAATTGGCCTGTTTCACCGCACAGATCAATTCCAATCCCGCCTTTTCGAACAGCTCCCGGTAGCGATCGTCGCTCCGCGTGACGCCGTTGTCGTCCTCGTCGATCTCCATGCCCTTCTCGTACTTGGTCCAGGCCGGGTGGCTTCTGTCCACCGATCCTGCCGGCGGTAACAACACGTTCTCCTTGACAAACATGAACCCGCCCGGCTTGGTCAACTGCCGCTGGCACTTTTGCAAATACGTGATCAAATCGTCGTCGGTCAAGTAGAGCAAGACCCACTGGTTCCAAATACAGTCGTACTGCAGGGAGGTGGAGGAGAGCTCTCTGATCTTATCATTGATACCGAGAGCTGCAGCGGCCGGAGGTGCCGCTGTACTAGAGCTCGTGCTCGTGGAGTTGTTCATCCCTGAAGTTGCGCTAGCAGAAGGAGATGTTGCAGAAGTCGTTGCTGCACTACTTAATGTAGTCACGCCAGTACCTCCACAACTCGCTCCGTCGATCTCCTCGACCGAAAATTGGAAATTTTGCAAGGATTTCTGGAAGAAAAACCGGATTTTTTCCGCGTTTTCCTTCTTCGCCTGGTTGAAGAGTTTTTGACACGGTTCCAGCAAGTCCACGGCTTTGAACTCCTGCAACAGCAACCCGTTACTGATCCTCCCGATGCCCGCGCCGCAATCCAGCACCGTGTTAAACTCCATGCTCAAATCCTTCCGGCCCTTCAAAATCTGCAACAGCCGCTTGCTCTCCCGCAGATCCTGTGCGCTGGTGTGGCCGAACCCGCCTAAAACACCGTTCACCGACGCTTCCTGCTGGTCCCAGTAGTCAATGGCCTTCTTGTACCACCCGTCGCGGGACTGTTCCGTCAAGTGCTTCTGCCAAAACTCGGTGACCGGCTTGGAATACGTCGGCTTTGCTCCTGAAATTGCTGCAGCTGCGGTTGTTCGCTTGGCAGCCTGCTCCGCCACGGAGTGCGCCGCGGTGGAACCGGCGGTGGCGGTCATTTTGGGTTTATAGGCGGGGGGAGGGAGGAAGGAAAGAGTCACTTTCTGTTTGGTGGTGTAAAGTTACCTTCGAGCAGTTCTTGTTTCCGTACTATGAATTTTAGACTGCTAGTGCTGCTCTGTCTTTTTCCTAACGGCGATGTGTCGCTGAGGTCACGTGAGTTTCACAAAATTATGGTTATGTTACCGGTAGCAAAGATTAGCAAAACACGATCACTGCATTTACTATGAACCCAATGAATCCGCTGTGATCCAGAACATTTTGAATTAAAGTGGTCGTGTGATTCTGTAGTGGCATTTCGATTTCACCGTCGGTGCGTGTTGCTCTGCTGTAAGGGAACGCTGAATGAAATTTGCAATCTTTCTTGTACGTGGGTTGATTGAGATTCTTTGAAACTAGGTCACAAAGACGAGTCGTGCAGCTGTGATTCACACATGAATCGCGAGATGATAAATTTTTCTCGTACAATATCGACGCTCTTTCCAAGATCACGATTTGAAATGGTGGTGCAAATCGCCTGCTGGTGGAAGTTCGTTCTCAAAAACAGTACTGTCCACCGTGCCTCGCTCGAATTCGCGCACGAGACGGCCGGGGTCGAGAGGTGCTGTTGAGGTGGGTACTGGTGTTATGCTGGCGGAAGTAGACGCGGGAGCAGCTGGGATTTGGTCAGTAGGGCCCTCGTACACGTTCTTCTCACTTTTTTTTTCCTCCAACGCTGCGTCGATACAGAGTTTCCGTAAACCCTCCGTCAGAAAAGCGGTCCTTTTCGTGTTACTGCCATTAGTGTTGTTCCCTGCGTAGACATCCGCTGCGATACCAGCAGCCTTCGTAGTTCCATTTCCCTCGCTCCCCGTTCCCGACGATGCCGTGGTCCAGAGCGCCCTGTACGCTTCTTTCAGTTTCCGCTCTTTCTGCTCCTTTCGCAAATTATCTTGCGCCGCAAGTGTAGCAGCGGATCTCGTAGTTTTTCCCTCCACGTGTGGCTGCTGTCCTCCTTCCACTTGCATCGCAGTTGCTGAAGTTGCTGCGGAAGTAGCGGGCGTCGTCACAGCCTGCTGCTGCTGCTGCTGGTGTTCGCTGATTAGAAGGTCGAACAAATCGTCGTCTTCATCTTCGCTGTTGCTTATTCCTGCTGCATGTTCAGTTGGTTCGACGACCGCAGTTCCTGTCGTATTGGGCGTCGCAGCCGTGGTTGATGCAGTAGAGGAGCTTGAACTCCTCCCCTTGCTATACCGCAAAAACACCTTGGAAATCTCCGCCCTCGTCTTTCCCACTTCCTCCAGCGATTCCGTGATTTTCTGTCGCAACGTTTCGATGCCATCGGCGGTGTTTAGTAACGAGCGACGACTTGTTGCTCTTGTCGGATTCTGACGATTCGTCCCCGTGATCGTCGGAGCATGAGAGGTTCCGTCTTGCGACCTGTCGTAAAAGTCTCCGTCACTCTCGGACCCTGACTCCTCTTCAGAGGTGGAAGAATCTGCTTCCTCCAACAAGCAGCCCGGGGGATTCATGCTGCCGACAACATCAGCTGAGGCCGTGCTGGCATCGGGCAAAACTGTACCACTGTCCAAAGGGAAAAGATCGGAGAACTGCAGCTGCTGTGCATCATCACCAATGTCGGCTGCTGTGGCAAGTTGGAATTGGCGAGCAAGGTTATCGTCCTCCTGCCCACAGGTCGAGCTAGCAGCAGCAGCAGCGGCAAACAAAGCCAAGTCGGCTTGCAAGGGAACGCATTTTTCTTCTACGTCCACCGGATTTCGATTTCGTTCTGTTGTTCGTGGCGCATTTATTCGATGCTCTCGCTGTTCCCCATCCGGCAGCAAATCTGACGGCCGCAGGCCAAACCTGGGATGGTCGTGATCAGACGAAGGAGTGGAAGTGAGCGGCTTTATGGTGCCGGAGCAGGATGCGGTCGTAAAATCCGCCCTCGCCTGCCTCGGCGCGTCGATCAGGAGGGTAGGCACGGTGGCTGATTTGAAATTGATAGATACGCCTAACTTTCACCACAGTTTTACAACACATTTATGCATATCCTCCCTCTCTTCAGACGAGTATTGAAAAACCAGGCAAAAAGAAAGCATGCAGAGCAAAATCACGGTAAACTAAAGACGCCAACAACCGCAGCGGTTTTGGTTTTCTTACCCCATAATTCCTCCACGCTCTCCTGCCCTTGTGCGCATCGGATGTCACTTGCTCCTTCCGGCGCTACCGCGGCATGAATGTCGACAAATGAAGCTGTCATCGATTTTTACAAGACAGAAATGAAGAACGAACAGACTTAGTCTCTTTCGACATCACAAGAACATTACTTCGTGAATCAGTGGTCACATGATCGCTCGAGAAACGCCCGGAATTGCAAATTGCGGCTTTGGCGTCGCTACTTGGAATTTTTTGAGGTTTACATATTAGAGAAGCAGTGTTGGGAAGCAATGACCCAAACACTCGCGTCTGAACATCTGCGAGTTATCGCCTTGTCCTGCCGGCGCTTTTGAATCCGGAGACTAAGTCCCCTCAAAAAATAGACTTTTTGTGAATTCTGCACCGCGCAAGCAAGTGTTTGAGGAACACCACTGCATAACGCTGAACCTCCAGGGGATAGGCTGTCAAACCCGATTTTCGCACAGCAGTCAACTTTATTAGTGTTGCGTCAATTTAATATTTTTTGGCACATTATGACGTCGCCTCCCAAAAGGCGATTTTGTCAAACAGGAGACGGGTTTTCATTGTCGCACTTGAAAGGATGCACGAGAGGTGAATCTGAATACCAATGCGTGCAGCTAAAATAATACAACCCTTGGTTTATCATACTCATTGTTGCGCCTTTTTTGAGCATGTGCTTTCTCCTTTCATTTCTATTGATCTCTACGCGTCAGCATCTGCTCCCAGCCGATGCCCTGGACCCGAGTATGGCACAAATTGTTGGCGGTTTGGAAATGGATTGCCTTCGTGATATCGATTGGTGTGACTTCTGTAGTAATGTCCGCCATGGCCTCCCGGTTGAATGAAGTTGACCCCGTTGCCGCGTGCAACGCCATACAGGGTCCCGCCATCTTCTGCTGGGTCTCGCTCGTTCGGGTTCGTGTCATAGGCGACTTCTTGGCAAGGGCGCAGATTTGCGATCTGATGCGGGGACATCTCCGCCAGAGCCTGAGGCGTCACCAGTTCCTCCTCCTCAGCTGGTGTAGCCATGCAGCACCGCGGCCCAAACGGGTTCCACTGAGACATGCCGCTCAATTCCATCATGCTTGCCGATTCTGCGTTGGGGGGAACCTAAAAAAATTGAGATAAGTGGAGGTTTGGAAAACAATCCATTATAGAAATCTGAGAAACCAGCTTTGCAGGCCCCGACGAACGTGGCGCATCGACAGATCAAACAAAATCAATGAGCACATCCTCACTACAAACATCCGCTTGTCTGCTCAACTGAAAAAATCATATCCGCATGACACGCAGGAACAGTCGATACCTCTGCCTGTAACCTCCCCGCATCCCCTCCCGCCAGGCAGTACTGGTGCAGCTCAACGGGGCTGATTTTCGCGTCCTGGTTCGTGTCGACCTCACGCATGGGGCAGGTGTCCGCGTTCTCGGCCGCATCTACGAAAAAATCACGGTTGCCGTCCCGCTCCCGGAAAGTGCGCAGCACCCCGCTGCTGTACAACTCGACGAACACATCCCACGTACCTGGAAGTAGACACAGGGGTTTTCAACATTTTGTTTTATTTTTTTGCTACACCTTCAATTCCAACATCAGACTACAAACGAATCAAAATTTTGATTTCCTTGGCGCACGTTTCATTCCAAAGGAAAATCAAACACAATATATTTACAATACCTGTTTCCGACTTCACTTTCCCAGCCACCACTGCGTCGTACTCCGACATCCCAGCTCCGACCGCAAGCCGTTTCCTCACCTCTATGGAGTTCTCACATGTTGCATTGATAGCGGTCACATGAGTCTGCAATGCAACAATTCCAAAAGTGAAAGGAGGGGGTTTGCGCGTCTCGCATCGCAAAAGTGGAACTACAATATGAATATTCCATGCTAATGAGCGCGTTGAGAACACATTGTCATGCGAAGTAGCTCAATCGCCTGGAGGCTGATAGCGATTTTACATGACAAATGGAACACGTAACAGCGATCAATGCAATGTGTGAGAGAGCCATAACCTCGGCCCGCTCCTTCTGCAGGACCACACGCTTTTGGTAGTTCTCGTACATCTTCGTGATGTCGGCGAAAGTGTCCTCGGTCAACTGGTGCCTTTGCTCCTCGCTCAGGTGTTGCCCACCAGCTTCGCTAAGGTCCTTCCCACCTGCCGTTGCCGCTGAACTTGCTGCAGTCCCCTGCGCTGCTTGACCCTCGCGCTGCTCCGCCTGTTCCAGAAACGCGGTCTCGTCGCCAGGTTGGTCGTACGCGGCAGAATCCGAGTACTCAGCATCATCCCCGATTTTGTTGTCCTCCAGCTTTTCACATCGTGGCTTCGGCTTCGCTCCTGCGACGCGCCCAGTTCCCCATCCTTTGCTTTCTCGGCTTCCACGGATGCGCAGGTGAAAACGAAGGAGAGCAGAAAACGCAGCAGAGACCGCAGCTCCAACAACACCTGTTATTCGATTTTTGGATCTGGAAGATGACATCTTCAATACAGAGAACTTTTGAGAACAATAGCAGCATTTTTGACTGTGCCACTGTGTACATCTGCAGGTCGACACTGTACCATGATCTCGATGTCTGTTGTCCTCGCTGTGAAGGACAAGCTTCCGGGCCCGGTGGCGATCCGACGTCCGCGGTCGGATTCGGCGTGTCCTGATAGACAAGACCGCGCCCGAGCGCGCAGGCCGCCCCAATGTGCTGATTTTCTGTTTACTTCTTCCTCTTGTCCTCCCTCTTGACGAAAAAAAAATTTTTCTCTACTGGATATCAATTTGTCCAGATGATATCAAAGTTCGGCTTACTTTGCGCGGCAGGATCACTTTACATAGATGAATTTGCTTGAGTTTCAGATCTAATTTCACGACTATCATGTACGAATTACTCCACCCCTCTTTTCCTCGCGAGAAAAAATACGTAGAAACTCCGGCTTCGGTGCTACGAAGTTTTGTTTCCTACACGACAACAACGTTGGTTTACGACTGGAAATACATCAGGCGTTTATTTTGCGTAACGAACTACGGCGCCAACGACTTCAACAGAGAGACTGTCTCTTGACTTTGTCGATCCCGAACGAAGTAAATACTTAAGTACAATCCACAATACTGAAAGAACACCGATCTGCTCAGAGAACGTATTCAAGTTCCCAATTTTCGCCAAGGTGCGACGAGCACGAGCATAATTCCAATCCGCTGTACTCAATCAGCGCGCGCACTATTCCAAATGTGGAACTCTCACATAATCTGTTTTACTTACTTCGGGCGTCAAGACATCTTCACAGGTTTTTTCGAAGCAGCAATTATCCCCTCACGGATTCCTGCCTTTCTTCAGGAACATGAAAATTGGTCGTGGTTCTTGAACCTCCGCTGCGCAGAAGTTCAAGGGGACACCATCATGACGTCGTCCTCATCACACCCGATTGTTCTGCTCCGTCGTTCCGTTTGGTGTGGTGGATTTATTGTTCCCGTCCTCTGCTTCTTCCGGCTCTGGGAACCAGCAGACGGGGTTTTGTCGCAGGGTGTTCACGTCGATCTTCTCCCCGACCAAGTCCCGGATGTTTTTAATCCCGTACAGGATCATGGTCGGCCGCTCGAGCGACAGGCCCCAGGCGATCACGCGGACGTCTTCCGGCAGCCCCATGGGTCGCAGCATCTCCGGTCGGAACACACCGGAATTCCCGATCTCGATGGTTTTCTTCAGACCGGGGTGGTACCCGAAGATCTCCATACCTGGGTGGAAGCGGCAGTTTAATATTTTTCATCATGATTTTTGTGAATGCCGCTATCGTGATTTTAAAACTTCTTTTCATGCGTGTACTTCGTCTATGGTTTCAGTACCAATTATGACCAACTGCATTATACAAACAAAGAAACCAACACAGCAGCAGGTAAGTAAGTACTTGGTTCCGTGTAGGGGTTGTAGGCGGGTTTGAACTTCAGGTTTTTTATGTTGATGTGGCTGAAGAACTCCTTGAACAAGCCGATCAAATGCCCGAGCGTAAGGTTTTTGTCCGCCACGAACCCCTCCGCCTGGTGAAACTCCGCCAAATGGGTCGCATCCAGCGTCTCGTTGCGGAAGACCCGGTCGACGGAAAAGCACTTCAACGGCTTCCACTTGCCGTTCCTCTTGCACTTCTGCGCGTGGTCGTACAGGACGCGGGACGTGCAGGCGGTGGTGTGCGTTCGGAGGATGGTGGTGAGGGCTTCCTTATGAAATGCAAAAATGTCTGGGTCTGGAAGAGTACAACTTGTCATGCCAAATCTGAATCATACAAAAATCTGTGTTGCATGATTACCAATAAAGCTGTTCACTTTTGAGAAGGCCGAGAGGCAGTTTCTCATGCGGAAAAGGCATGGTAAAGATCTCACAGAATCTGTGATGCTAGGGCCTGCATCACAGACCTCACACGTCATGCAAACCGTGCATGACAAACCTGGCAATCTTCCAGACCCAGACATTTTTACATTTGATATTCCTCCTTGCTCCACGTGTACCGCCACCCGATGGAGCCGTGGCCTGGGTTTTGAGATAGATTTAGATTTTGTGTTCATGATGTCGCATAAAAAAAGTTTTTCCCATTATGCAAATTCCAAAATTCAAGCGTCTAACACAAGAGGACCGCACCATATCAGTGAATCAGTATCTATATACCTCCTTTTTCGTGCATCGTTTTGACGTCCTCCAGGTAGTCTTTTGGGATCAAGTGCTCGTTCGCCGCTTCCGGGGACTCGCAGAAGAAGGTGTCGTGCGCGTCTCGGGCCGGGTGCTGCTGCGGCTGGAACAGCGTGTCAAAGTTCCAGAACGAAGACTCGACGAAGCGGTTGGTTTTCATCTCCTGAAAGCCCATCTGGAAGAAGGTCCGTCGGTAGTGCTCCCGCACCTTCAGCAAGGGGTGCAGCTGGCCCGCGGGGAGCTGGGCGCCCTGCGCCTGGAAGTTGAGGGGCTTGTAGTTCGCGGTCTTCCACTCCCCCGAGGCGATCTGTGCCTCGGTCAGCTCCGCGATGCCTTTTTGCGCGCGGGCCTTGCTGTCGAAAGCGGCGTCCTTGGTAATCAGGTACCCCGTCAAGGATTGCATCTGAAGATAATTAGGTGGAAGAATCACTTATTTCACATCTGCTCTTTCAAGTTTCTGGCGCCAGCAGCTCCGAGCAGCTGTAAGTACTTATTTTGCATCGCATTGATTTGCAGCTGCTCAGTCACATTGACGCTCTTATTCCTCTTTCTTCCGATTAGCGCATCATGACTAGTACAATAAATCGTGGATGTAGAAAAGCAATAGATACCGCAATTAGTTTTCTCTTCTTCAGCGCTTGCAGCGTCTTTTCGTCTGTGAGTGCGCCGGACTGGACCTGCGAGAGTAATTGTGCCGTCTCGTCCACCGGCGCCTCGCCCTTCGCTGTTACTACAAAGGTGGGTGGTGGACCCTTCTCCTTCTTTTCTCCAGGTGCGAGCTCCTTCTTCGGCTGCTGGTTGTTCTGTTTTTTTTTTGCGTTTTTTTTTGGGGGGTATGGATTTTGATAGATCAACTTTCATCAACATGAATCTGATCAATGCGTGTGCACTAATATTGATGAAGATTTTTTCCACTGTCAACATCGATCTTGACCTCGATGATCTTCATATAGAAACAATTTCTCACCTGTTCAATCCACTTGTTCTTCATTGCCTGGCCGAAACCGACCGCCACGACGTCCTTTCCCAGCCGGCTCGTGATCTCATCCTGCGTGGTGCTTGGGTGCTTCTTCACGTCAGCGACCACTCGGATTTCGGGGGACCCTTGTGCCACGCACCTCTCGCCCTCTTCCGTGCACCGCCACCCGGAATCTGGGGTTGATGTTGACCATAACATGTAAACATTATCATGCTGATGCTCCTGAGCTCTTTCATGAACAAAGAAATGCACAATTGATACACATGACGTCGAAAAATGAACCATGATCATGAAACAGCCCCCCACGCGATATGAAAAATCTTACGTTGTTTTGCCTCCGCCGTGATCGCTCCTGTCGCTTGGAGACTCTTCACCGCCCCAACGACGCTGTTGTGGTCCCATTTTTGCTCTTCAGCGAGTTTCAGTGTTTCTACCGCGGTTGAGGTGGTGGATAGGAAGTCTATCAACACCTCCTTCGTGAACGGAAACGCCGGGGGAACGGTCATATTTGCTTTCAGGTTTTGGGCCAGGCTGCGGTCTGCGGCGGCGGTCCGGGAGGCCGTGGTCATCGAATTTGAAATTACTGAATGAATAACTTCCTTATCTTCGACAGGGTTCCTTTAATATCAGTGCGGTTCTTGTCGCGGTTGGTTATCAGTTTTTTTACTCTGCGATACTGGTTCGTTGTGTACTTCTACTGTGTAAGAACTGATGTCGTGAAACAGGATAACAACATAACGCTGGTGAAGAGAGAAAGTGAGTCGTAAGTGAGAGTGAAGTAGCTACGTTGCTTCTATTTTCACATCAAACCCAAAGTCGAACCATAGACAAAGATCTCCATCAGGGTGAGACATTATGGGTATCTTCTATGACCTCTTTCTGATCTCGCGAAACAATATGATCGCCTTTGTTCTCATGTCATGAGATCTATCTTCGCGGCTGACCTTGAGATCTGCTTTAGCTTTTCATGAAAGAGAAGAACTTCATCTCCGGAACCAGATCCTGTACAACAGCAAGGCAAACCATTTTGCGAATGCGACGAAACAGGGACATTCGCAGCACTACAAGAACTCTTCTGTGCCCATTCTTGCAAATGGTAAAGGACCAAAGGCCTGCAAGTTCTGTTGTTTTGTTGGGAAAGAGTGCTTTTTTTCATTTCGGGAATTTCTCAACTTCAAAGTCTACTTTCTTGCGTCAAAATAATAATTAGATTGTCCGAAATCGATATTCTCGAGCGGAAAAGGAGGTTCATCTTCTCGTTGGAAAATAAAAGTTTTTTCAAACAGTTCACAAAAGTTCTTTGGCATAGCGAGGACTCAGCTCCCACCGGCCTGTGCGAGTAGTCCGCGTTTTCCTTGCGGATGGATCAGAGGCGTCTGCCGTAGAGTTAGAACGCCAAAAGCGAGCCTGTCTGTTACACGGGTCGCGTAATAAACAATCGTCATTGAGGTGAGTCAACAAACCCTTTTTCAGGAAAAGAAAACACTAGGACTGGACAAAAATTTTCCTGAAAAACGCCTTTGGTAAGCAAGTACTAAGTAGTGGGTTCCTTTGTTATGGCGTTCGTTTTCTTGAACTGCAAGTGCTGGCGCGAAGCAATTCAAGTGGAGGACGACCCTAGTAGCCGCAGCTGTACTGTGTTCTTTAGATAGACAACGCAAAAGTGCGGGAATCAAGCCCAGCCGGAAGGTAGTAGTCGAGGGAAACTGCAAACCGAGGTCCGACCGCTACTTATTTGCAAGAGGGGAAATAAGCTGTACTGTAAGATTTCTTTTGTGTTCACAAATTCCATTTTGTGTTCGCTTTGGAACAAAGGCGGAGGTTTCGTGGCAAGAACAAAATTTTGCGGAACAAGTTGGTTTATTTCACAGTTACACCATCCCCGGGAAGAAGAACTTCCCCGCCCAGGCGTTACACTCGGCCTTTAGCGCGACAATGTCCGGGTTGCTCGACAGGTCCTGCTCGAAATCCTTGATTTTTTTTCCCTTCACCTCCTGCACTTTCACTGCGATTTGGATGGCGCGATGCACGAACTCCGCGATGATTACCATATCCGCCTCCGTGCAGCCCCGGGTCGTCATGGCACAGGTACCTGAAGAAGACGTTTCGACTCGGCCGGTGAAAGGAAACCATCGATTTTTTTTTGTCATGATAATTTAAAATTGCAAGAAGAGCAGGCGCAGCTCGGCCATTTTTTGTCCTGCTGTTCCACAGCAATTATGACAAATGAAATTATCTCTACCTATCCTGACTCCGCTGGGACTGAGGGCGTTGGTGTCGCCCGGGATGCAGTTTTTGTTCAGCGTGATCGACGCCAAATCGCAGACCAACTCTGTCTTCCTTCCGTTCACGCCCCACTTCATGCAGTCCACGAGCAGTAGGTGGGTGTCCGTGCCGCCGGCGACGAGCCTGGTATGGTATTTCGGAAGGTGTTGAGCATGCGTCTTCTCACGGTGACCATGATGCATAAGTACTTAGTGCGAAACTAGAAACGACTTTGCTTTCATAGATGGAAAAGGGCATCATCACAAGACCACTGTCAGTAAATTGCTACTTGTTGCCCAGCTTCTCTAGTGCCGTCGCTAGCGCCTTTGCGTTCTTCACGACATTCCCGGCGTAGACTTTAAAATCGTCCGTCTGCACCTCTGCCAGCTGCACCGCGAGTGCCCCGATCTGGTGGTTGTGCGGCCCTCCCTGCAGTGCGGGGAACACTGCCATGTCTATTCTCTCCTTCACATTCGGGAACTTTGCGTCCTTGGTTTTGTAGAAGATCATACCGGCTCGCGGCCCCCGGAGCGACTTGTGTGTGGTGGTGGTGACCTGATCGATTTTTTGGTGCGGCTTTTTCGACGTCAACCTGCCAAGCAGATTGCAATGCCTGCTCAGGGCAGCACAGAGATCATGAGTGATATTTTGCCATGCCACCGAAAAAACCAACACAAGCGAATACCACATCGCAGAACGGAAACGGGCTAGGGTGCTCCCCCGTGGCGACCAATCCACTGATGTGCGCCATGTCCGCCATGAGAATCGCGCCCACCTCGTCGGCGATTTCCTTGTACTTTGCCCACTCCTGGACCCGCGGGTAGGCCGACGCGCCGCACAGTAGCATCGCGGGTCGAAACAGCTTTGCGCGCTCCCGGAGCTGCTCGAAATCCACTAAACCCGTATCGGACCGGACGGTGTACGGCAAGGATTCGAAGTAGATCGAGGTGGCGGAGATTTTCTTACCTTGTTGTAATGCAAGAACAACATCAGCAAGATGGATACCATTGTTCTTTGTCATGCGTAACTACATACGTGTTGCATGCACAGCAAAAACTACATGTTTCACCATAGAAAGAAAGTACTTCTTACCAGACGCCGTGTAGTATCCGTGGGTCAAGTGTCCCCCTGAGGGCAGATCCAAGCCCATCACCCGGTCGTGTGGCTTCAGTAAGCCGGTGTAAACCGCAAAATTGGCAGGCGACCCAGAATATGGCTGCACGTTCACGCCCCACTCCTCGGGGTCCAGGCCGAAGGCGGACAGCGCACGGTCCTTGCAGAGATTCTCGATTTTATCGATCACCTCGTTCCCACCGTAGTAGCGGGCGCCCGCCTGCCCCTCGCTGTACTTGTTAGTCAGGACAGAACCGAGACATTCCATCACCTAAGATTTGTTTTTTTTCAACCTATTTCTTTTTACATGTGCTAGAAGTCTTGATCAATGTTGCATGCCTAAGCCTATGCGAGATTGACGGCTGTTTTATGCATAAGAAAAAAATCGTCCGGTATCCCTATACCGCCTTGCTCGTGAAGTTTTCGCTGGCGATGAGTTCAATGCAGGACTGCTGACGCGTTTTTTCCGCGTCGAGCAGCTCCGCCATGACGGGATCTTGCTCCGCGAGAGTCTTCGCCATTTTGAGTGTTTGCTTTTTTTCGAAAAAGATTCTGAAGCGACACAAGAGATGAATTGGCTCTTCACTGAAGTCGTCTACTAGTGGATACTATCTCGTCTTTTCAAATGTGGTAACACAAGATTTTTAATCCTCTCCGGCTTTCTCTATCATGTCGATTGAATTTGGAATTTGGAAGCATTCAAAGTCACTTTGTCACACAGCTGGAACTGAAAGCGATGTTCTTGTATACTCAGCAAACAATCGTTCTCTTCTTGCTAATATTAATGTAGTCCCAACATCATCTTCCCACAGTTGCATCTACTTCCAACTCTCATCGTCATCTTCTCAACGACACTTAACATAGCTACAGCTCGGCGCGTCTGCCACTTGATTTGGAAATAAACTCATCCGCTGTTCGAAGAGAATGCCTTTCGCATCTCGCAATCGTAAGAGCGACTTCTCATGGGGGGTAAACAGCGATACAATCACGAACACAACAACGACAAATCAATGTTTAAGCCATCTTTGTTTCTCGTTCCCTTCCGTTCCTCGGTTCTTTGTCTTTTTTTCCTGACCTCCTCCGCCCATCGCACACCTCAGGGGTTCTGAGTGGTGCCATCACTGTGAAAATAAGTCAGTAAGTAACCGTCATCGTACAAGCAATTTGATACAAAGGTCAACGATCCTCAGCCAGTTAGATACAGAATGGTCTAATTTCAAATATTGTACAGGAAATTTTTTTCGGCCCATCGTGCAGGCTCAGCTCTGAGTCACAGTCACACCATTTCTATATCTATTTGGAAGCTTTGCATTAACCTGAAATCTGTTTTCTTGTCACATTCTTGTCGTGTCGACGCCAAGCAGAGGCTACTTCGTTGGTGTGAGTACACACACCTCCGTAGAAGGAGAAGCAAAATGCCTTTTGCTTGCTCTTCACTACGCCGACCCCCTTTGTTCTGGAGGTGGTAGTGCTTTGTCTAAAAGTCTAAAATCTGGAACAATTCTGCCTGAGTCTTTTGTCTTTTTCAAGGATCATACCTACGTACTTCGCTATCAGAGTCGAAAAATGAACATTTCTTTGCCCTCTTCTCCCCGAGGAGTTTCCGTCTTTCGAACATTTTGGCAGCTGTTGAAACGAATACTACCTCGTCCACATGTTTTGCGTTCTAATAACGTCACAAAAATTCATTATTGAAAACAAAACCGAAAAAACCCACAATTTTCTTTCGGTTCTTTACGATTTTTTCTCCTCCGCCACCGATTTCCGAGGTTTCAGGGTCACCGGCTGCACCGTGGGCGCGCCCCCTTGCGTCACTGTTCGTTTCAGTTTCATGTAGGCCGACGCGGGTTTGCCCGTCCCGCCCGGGCCGGTTGGCTTCGGAGCTGTATCGTCGTCTTCTTCTTCACCGTTCCTCGTAGGTGATGCTGCGCCGCTAGTACTACTTCTACCCACTGCAGGTATCTGTCTTTGCGATTTATTTCCGGTGACGTCGTCCACTGCTTTTACTACATCCTTCTCGTCTACGACCCCGCGGTCTTCTAGCCGAACGGAAGAGGAAGAGGAGGCGCGGGCGTTTGTGGCAGGTGCTGCACTGGAGGAACTGGCGGCGGGCTCCACTTCTGACACCTCCTCCGTGTCCGCAACCGAAATGTCGTCGATCTGCTTCTGCTCTTTTTCACTCACCGGCGCTGTGATTTTCCGTGTCTTGTCCACGTTCCGCAGGATAACCAAGGTGCGCGGGCTGTATCTACCGTGAAGCACTGGCTGCTCAGAGGAGTTCTGTGTTTTTACGTGATGCTGAAACGGTAAATCAGAATTATTATGTATGACTGTAATGACAAATGCAAATACATAGGACAAAATACCACTGTCAAAATTTTCACCTCTGTCGGCTTCGCGGTCGTTTCTGCGCCCTCCGCATACTTGCGCAAGGTTTTCGATTGCTCCTCAAGCTTTTCCTCTGCAGTCGCAGCCCGATTCGTCAACAGCGACGTGCCGCCGATCTGAATAGCATAATTCGCAAATTCAAAATACAGCACCACTTCGATAAAGTTAAACAATAAAATCTCATTCTGCACGACAAAAAGAAAAAAGAAAAAGAAAAACCCGATCACCATAATCAAATAAAAAATTGAAAATCCTGAAGCTACCTTATGCGCAATGTTCCTCAGCTTGCTCGAAAATTTGCTCTTGTGCGAAAACGCCAGTCGCCCGCTGGGTGTTGTCGTGGATTGTAGCTCTAGCTGCAACGCCGCGTCCTCGTCCTCCTCCGGTTGCACGTGGGGGAAGGGCACCCAGTCGTCCCCGAGAACTTGATTGTAGTAACCGTCCAGGTCCATCTGCTCCCCAGACTTCTTCACAGAAATCTGGCCCCACGTGCTCGAACTGACTAGCGGTTCGTGGAGCGGGGGCGCATTGGTTTCCGCCACGTGTCGTGGCGGGTGGGGAATTTCCCCGTGGTAATAGCTGGAAAAGGAGAAGTATGACGGCTAGAATATTCCGCTACTCAGCACGACAATCTCATTTCTCCATGAAAAACGCTACGACAAGTCAAAGCCCAACGGAGTGCATGATAGGTGTCCTAGCTGCAGGAGGAGCAGTATACAAGTGTATCAAACACTAAACGACCAATGAATAATACGCTTCAGTGTGCCAGAGCTGCCACTCCGATGGCGACATCCACCACTTTATCGTCCGTTGCCACCGGGCCCACGCTTTTTGCATCACCTTCCGGATGAAGGGCCGGCTTTTCTGCAGCAGCTCTTCGCCGGAGGAGATCTACGATAGATGTTGTTGGAGAGTAGTTAGCATCAAATCTACTTCACGACCAGACTCTTCTCATACCATCAAGTTGTTAAACATCCTCCTAGGACAGCAGATGAACTGGAGAAGCAGCAATTTTTACCTCCCTGCCCAATGGGACGTCTGCTTCTTCCTTGACGGACTTCCTTTTTCCCTTGATATTATTCCCCGCCGGTTTACTCGCTCTCTCGTTATGACAATCCTTGTAGGCCGCCCAGGCTTGGAAGCACGCGTGTTGCAGCTTTCCGTCTCGGAAAGTGAAGGCGAGATTTCGGAACATCACCAGTTTCAACAGTTTTGCTAGAGCGCTGGACTGCTTGGTCGTTCGGCCGACCAGAACCGGACGGACGAGCTGTTTTGACGACGAATGGAGAGGTACTCTTACGTCAGGTAAAAACATTCTATGCGTGGTCAAAAAGTACTCCTGACAAAATGAATTTTGTGGATAAGAAAACTCAGGTCATTGTACCGGATCCCACGCCGCTTTTATCCTACTCCGCACAACACGCCGTAATCGCATGCCACCCTTGATTATCTTCGCGGTCTTGGGATTGCGTGCGAGGAGTCGGAAGCGCCATGACCGGAAGAGAACTTGGAAAAATCGTCTCCGGTCGATTTTTCTCCTGATAGAATTAGAAACGAGAATGGGCTTTGTAGTTGCATGAGAAAACCACAAGTATGCGAAAAAAAAAATGTGTTTTGTTCTTGTACAACACGACCTGCAATTTATGCAGTACAAACTTCACACACGACAAACCAAAACTCGGATCATCTACCTGTCCCTCTGCACTTGCAGGTACTCCTTCCAAACCACGAACGGCGCGTGCATGGTCCGCATCACGCTGTATCGTTCCGCGAGTCTTGACAACCTCCCGAGAGTCATATCCTAAGTAAAAACGTCCCCACTTGCATAGTTGTAGTGCAGATCTGCATGGTGACGCAGTGTCTCTCATGCGGAGCCCCATGAGAAGCATTGTCTCCTCTTTTTTTGTAATGCTTCAATGCGCGCGATGTGCTAGATCTGTGACGCTTCAAAACGAGCTCAATAGGATTACACTACGAGGCGAAACTTGTCATGCGCAACAGCCACAGCTTGTTGGTTTGCCTAGCAGGTTGACTATGGGACGCAGTTTTTACTGAGGATAAATCACCGCGTCTATCCACCAGGAACCGGAAGTGGTTTTCTGGACCTCCTCTGCCCAGGCCTGCGGGTCGAGGTTGTTCGAGTCGGACTCGAGACTCACATTTATCATGTGGTCGTGTTTCAGGACGGCGGATACCTGGAAGGTTTTTTCATTGAAAGGTATGAACGATGCACTTGTGAAGATCGAAGAAATTACACGTAGGGAAGAGCCTAGTGCAATTCAGCTTGTGTTCCTGATTACCTCCAAAAAAACCGCGAGAACATAAAAAGCTTGATCGCTGCAATTTGTCTGTACCTTTGGCGACACTTCATCCTCGAATCCAAGCACGTGTGCGCCCTTTTCCTCCTGCTCGAAGCCGATGACCACTGCCCCGGTTTGGTCCTCGGCCTCGTCGTTCAGGAGGTCCATATGGGTTTCCTCCTCCATCCTGGGCGATATTTTTTAGTAGAATAATGATACCCAGGCGTCGTTCTTCATGCCCCTTTTTCACGTGGGCCCGCAGCCAACTAGAAGGAGACTTATTTATTGCGTTTGTAGTATGATTTTTGTTCTAGAATTCACTCCGTGGTGTTTTTCTTCGCACTGCGAAATGCTGGCAGCGGTTGGCTTTGCGAGCGAAAGAAAGTCAGGGACTTGACTGTAACGACAATTGGCTCGACACAAGTACGACGACCGAAAGACGACTTCCGAATAAAGTAATGGACAAGCTCTAACGACGCTACCTAAAGACATGTGCTCAGCGAACACTCAATTGAAAATCGAAAAAAAGCACCAGCAACGCCACCGAGTGGTACGCGTACGTCATAGTCGGCTTCGTTCAAAAAAGTAAAAACGGCCGGGCTTGCGGCGGCCGCTTCGATGCAATGCACCCGGCACCTGCGCGACTTCCGGATGCTGCGCGCGGCTGCATGCACCTCCCGTGGTGGGGCGAAAAAGGGCGCCGCCGGAACGGAAGGGGCCACGCGCCCAAATCGCCACGGCTGCTTATCTGGCGCGCGCGGCCGGCAAGGGTGCGCGCCCAGAACAGGGCTACAAGCGCAGCCGCCCCCATGGCGGGAGCGGCCTAGTGGCTGACCGCATTCCCGGGGGTTGTGGCCAGATGGGTGGGCCGCGGGGGCGGCGGCTGCTTGGGAAGTAGTGCGGCCGTCGCTGTCAAGCCGGGCGCGCAACTTGGGCAACCTTTCTCGTTGCTGCGCATTCCGAGAAAACGCACAGGCCGCGCCTTTACTGGTCGACTGATGCCTTGCCTTCGCCCGCCCGCGCGCGGTCCCGGGAAACCTCTCTCCGCTACCAGCGTCAGCATTGGGCGCCCGCGGTATGCGCGCGCCCGCCACGGGGCGCGGCGCTTTGCGATCCGGCGCAATTTCGGCGCCGCGCCGCCACAGTAATTGCCCAGACTCCCCCTGAACATCTCCGCGCGACCGCCCAGGCCCAGCACACCCCCCACCAGCTCCGTCCCCCAAGAGGACGGCACAACACCGGGCGGGCCGCCACTACTCGCCGCGCGCGGGGCGCCTCCGCGGCCCGCGCCTCCGCCCCCGAGCAAGCGCGCCGATCCGTTCTGGCGAAGCGCTTGGCGGGCCGGCACTCCCCTTACGCCAATGTGGCGGAGAGAAAGAAGCGCGCCCGCATCGCGTTCGCGACTACTCTGCCTCACAGAACGATTGCTATTTTTTCAGTGCCTCCTCAATCCATCTCGCGCCTTTAACCTCGCACGCTCGACTAAGTTTCGCTCACACTCACGTCTCCCGCCTTTTTCTAGCCACATGGGCAACAGTCAATGTGCAAGCAGACGGATTCGACTCAAACACTGACTTCGGCGAACAACTTTACGAAGCGTTTCTTTCATGATCGCCGCACTGACGCGAAACGAAGCCGCGTGGCAAGTCCGTTGAGTCCGAGTCATGAGTCCGTCCTCCGGCTTACACGTACTTCTTACAGATCCGGAAGGCAGATGCGGTTCCGGCTCGCACGACCTCATGCTGACACGGTCACAGAAATCAACTCTTTCACCGGGGCGGGATCATCAGCATTTTTTCGCGATTAGGAAGAAACGCCTGCACATCCCCTTCAACCATTCTCCCGCGCCATCGTTTTCTCCAGTATCCTGTGCCTCGCACCAGCACTAGATTCCCCACTAAAACTCCCGTCTACAACTTCCGGAGACGACACCCCGCCGCCGTAAGACCCGGAGTGATCATCCGCCTCCTGGAAGGAGTCGTCCCGCGGGGTGTATGTGTGATTTTGCCCCCTCTGCGCATCTTTTGTGTCTTCTGCGCCGCGATTTGACGTACCACCTTTCTCCCCCTGCGCCACCAACGCTTCGATCTCTATCCAGCCCGGATACGGGAGCGAAATCTCGAGCCACGCGTTCTCGTGCACGGACACGACGGTGAGGTCGACCTCCCCGGATTCTAATTCCCCGACCACCGGCGCGTCAGACGCGGGCGCGAAACGAACCACGACGCCCTGGAACATATTTGTCACGGGGTATTCACTTTGCCATGCGCAACACGACGTAATAGAAAGACGAAACTACATCAACTTCATTCTGTTTCTGATGCATGAAAGCCTTACTAAGTAAACCAGTCTCACTATTAAAAACCTGTCCATCCGTGAGCTGGTAGTCTCCCGGCTCCACCCGGGAAGGCGGTCTCGCCGGCGGCGGCGCCACGGTCACGAACAAAATGTACAGAACCAGCAGGGTGCACATCGCGAACGCCGCCATGAACCCCAAGGGGAGGAGAATCTCCGACTTCAGGAAAAACGCCGTGTGCAGTCGGTTCGAGAAGGAGGAGAACAACGTGAGAAAATCTTCGGTGATACTGGTCGCCGCCGATTCTGCTGCAATTCGTGTCCCATCCGCGTTGAAAATACCTTCTGGCGAGGAAGGTAAAGAACCAGATCCCCGACTACACATGTCCTCGCGTTGCGCCACCGCCGCGTCCAGCACTTGCGGAAGCAAGTAGGGCACCCAGTGCATGTGCGAAGTCCAGTTGTGGTCGGCAATGTTTCTGAGGAACACCCGGAGATGCTCCCGCATGCAGTTGAAGTCCGTTTTCGCACTGAGCGCCACCGCGATCCCGAACTGGGAATATTACAATGAAAAATGCCCCCACCCCCGAACTTGAAAGCATTTGTATTGCAAATCTTTCCAAATGAAACATTCGCCCTCTTGCGTGTATCAGCATCACAGATTTCCGATCGTGAATAGCAAAAATTTGTATTGCAACAGATCCCAGCAAGAGCGGTGCTTGTCATGCAAGCGATGCGAAACACGACTAGAATCTGCATCAGAAAGATTCGTACTCCTTTCATGCATGACAAAAAGCTTTCATTTGGAAACTTCGCATCGCAAATTCTTGCAATTTCGGGGGTGGGGGGCATTTTTCACTGTGATAGGGAAAAGGAGAATTTCTCTTGTGCCTCCGTCACCACCGTCGGATCCAGTTCCGCCTTGTATGGAAGCGTCAGGTTTGAAATCGTCAAAGTTGAAATAATTTGTAATGCTAAACCGACCGAAACCACTACACAACCGAAGACAGATTTATGCATGACAAATTATTTCAACTTTGTCGATTTCAACTCTGACACATCCATACCTTGGGGTGCGAATCTAACACCACGTACGCGTAGGGGCAGGGTTTTTTATCTTCCGCCATGTTGTTCTCGCAGTCGCGGAGTCTGGACACCGCCTTCTCGTGTAGCAGCTGATCCCCTTGTAGCGATTCCCAAACTCTGTCCTTTTGCGGATCGTCGTGAAACGGTTCCACCTCGATAATGATCTGGTTCACTTGCGGCGGGGTTTCGATCTGCTCCAGGGCGATCTTTAGTTTCGCCATGTTTTGGTTGTTGGAGCAGACCTGGGTTCGACACGAATCGACCAGCATGCCGCCCGGATCGAGAACCCGCGTGGTGCCGGCGGCAACGAAGGGGAACATTGTTGATGTTCTACGTGTTGCGGGATGTTGTTGATGACGTCGAGTAGAGGGTGCACCTAGTGGTTGTTCATCAACTCCTTCATTGAACAAAGCATAACTCAAGTTTTGGGTCATGCTTTGTTCGACCGTCCGCAGGAAGACGAGACGAAGAAGGATGGAGAGAAACGCCCAGACAGGGAGATGACGCTCGGAAGTGGTCTTCATTCGGAGTAAGGGTGGTCGTCGTGCGGTAATGGCAAAGATGGAAAAGATGTTGAGATGAAGACCCTTCATGACTATCGACGCATTGTGGCTTTTTACTTTATCTTTCGCATCATGTTGACCATCTTGTCAGTTACTTGTGTGTGTTGCTTATTGTTACTCGCATATTAATTTGCACGTAAGATGCAGCAAAGCAGCCACATCAGACTCGTACGCAAAACGTATCTTCGCCCTCGTACTTTCACATCACTCAGAAGAACTCTTGCTATCATCCCTCCGGAAGAAAAGCCAAAAACAGAGTGCCAGTGAATTGATTTGCACTGCATCGGACGACTCCGAGTAGTCGTAGTGTTTGCAAAAAAAAAAGGAGCAACATGGGGAACAGAAATGAGCTTCTCGTAATTTCCAGCGATCCTCGGGTTGCTGACGAGCGTCGCATTTGTCCGAGAACAATCGAACTGAACAATAACTTGGAGCAGCCCTGATCGTCTTTTGCAATTTTGATTTTCAAATTCTGCGAAGTAAGTAAGTACAACTACAAACAATGTTGATAATGATGCTTCAGAATATAAAAATTCTGCCGCCGCCCGCGGAAACAAGCGAGCCTTGCCGCAGCCTTATCTGGCAGAGAAACTCACTGTGCAAATTTATTATACACCTCTACTGTATTCTAGCGCTTTGTATGCAAATGCAAAATATCGACTGCAAGGCCCCGACGCGTTGTCCTACGCGTACTCAGTCCGTGTAAAGTAAAAGTATCGTCGTCAGCACACCTGAATAATTTTGTACCTGTAGAAACTGCTTTGCTATACCGGTTTTACATATGCTCTCCTCCAAAACTGATACAAGATATAGTCGAACCGCCCAGAGCTACCACGAGACCTTGCAACACGCATTAATGCGGGAGCGGGCGAGACTGGAAGGGAAATTCTCAAAAAAGCATGCAGGTGGAGGCACAGAGCTGGAGCTTTTTGAAAAATGGTAAAATCCGAATCTGGATACGTTGTCGTAGCCACACGCCGCATAAGACTGCGTTGTTTCAGCTTGTAGCGACCCTGTGGTGCAGGTACGAAAACCGTATAATCTTAATTTCTATTTTCGTCAGACATAATACTGCATCTTCAGAGAAAGAACTGCTGAGAGTAAGAAAATGTTCACAATCACAAGTACGCTGCATAACTTTCCCGGAACGATGTTGCACGCCCGGAACAATGTTGCACGCCGAAAAACTCCATCAAGGGAGGTTGTACGCCGGCAGTTTTTTTTCACCAGGGTTCGGGCTCCATCACCAACACTTCCGACATAGACAATTTCGAACGCCTTGCGTCGCAGGAGCGCTGCAACTGCCGCCGGCTCCACCCGCTGGCGTGATTCCGTCGCGCTTCCACGAAACGTATTCCCGCGTCGTGCGAGTTCGCGCCCTCGTGCCTATGCACATGGCAAAAGTTGTGCTGTAACTCTAACGACGCTAGTATTAAAAAATTGCATGAGAAAATAGTTGAGAAAACGAAAACAAAATACTTATCCTAACTCTGTGTGATGTTCAGGAGCAGAGTCTGATACTTCCGCATGCATGATGATACAACAAGTACTTCTAGCTCGTGAGATGATAAGTACATCACAACTTCTGCACATCCGATACAGGTCGGAAAACCGCAACAAAAAAGTGGAACTTTCCTCCGAGAACTCGATTTGTATTTCCACCCATTCGACCGACTCCTTTTCGGGGTTTGCGAACCAGAACATAAACACGGGAAACAAGCTGTTTTTGTCGTGGACTTCCAACATCCTCAGCATTGTCCGCTTCTCCAAACTCAAATCCCACTTCGCAGCGAACTGTTTCTCCAGGAGTGCGGCGTGATCATTCGCTACTTTCTTCGCCTCGGGAGAGAGCTGCTCTACTGCTGCTGCGCCAGGGTGGATATTAAAGGGCGGCACCTGGTGCTCCCGCCGCCGAAGAGGAAACTTTTGTTTCGGCCGTTCCACCGGTAATTCAAACATAGACCACGCCGAATTGCTCTCGATCAGGTAAATTAGTTGCTCGAGAAACTTCATCGCGACCCGCGGCCGCTCGTGCTCCTCAGACCCGAACACGGGTAAGTGCAGGAATTCCTTCAACACCCCGTTCGCCTCCTGCAGTAACGCCGGCCAGATGTGCTTCTCGATCTGTTCTCGTTGCTCTGCCAGCCCTTGTTCGCGGTCAATGAAGTACGGACGGAGCAGACGGGCATTCTTACTGCAGCTACTTGAGGATGGGGAGCCGGTGGAAGAACAAGGTGCACTCCGGGCCTGCGCGTGGTGCTTCAAGGTTGAGGGCATGGACGACCAAGAACTACTAGTCAGTAGATTTACCGCTGCATCCTGGTCTCTCACTCGCGTTCCGAAGCTATTCCTTACGAACCCGCTCGGCAAACCGAGCCGCAACGAGCGCGGAAACCGGGCGGCCAGTGTGACGGCGCCGTACGTGGACTTGTCCGTATCCACAGAAAAAAACCCATCCACATCCATTTTTTGCATGACAAACGCATGACTTTATACGTCCGTCGAAGATATTTCTTATTTTTCCTCTTTCACTCCAACCTCTATTGCCACCTCTCAATTGTTTCTGGTACTTCGAACAAGGTATGAAAACTTTACAAAGAAGCGCAAAAGACTTCCCGGAAAGCTTAGGTTTCCACTGCTGCTTATTTACCCTGTGGCTTGACGTGTTTTGCATGACAAATTGGATGTGCATGGGTTTTTCTCTGTGGATAGTCAGTGTGTTCCTGCTCCAGCTTTCCGAAAATGCCTTGCCAGAAGTGGAGAAATTCCTTCACGGTGCTTCTTCCGGTGCCAAAGACGAGCAGGAGGGTCCTCGTCTGTAGTGACCGCTTTGCTGTAGTAGGTGTTTCTGTTTCTTCATCCACTACGAAGGAAGGCCGATTATCGTTCGAAGTGCTGCAGCTGCTACCCGTAGTACTGCCGGCGGTGGAACTTTGGAACGTCTTTCTCTCCTCTTGATAATAATCGTCAACACAAGAACTTTTATCCACCTGCTTGTTCGCAGCAGCTCCTCCTCCCCCCGAAGGTCCGCAGCTGAAGTCGAGGTCCCCAGCAGTGATGCAGGGTCTATTGTCAAATGAAATTTTCTCCATTCTTCCATTCGGCTGGAGAAAGTCCACGGTGCGCAAATAGTAAAACTGCATGTCGTCTCGGATGTCTTTCAGTTCCATGGTGGAAACGTACTCCCGTGGCGTTTCTATCGGCTCTGCGGAGGCGGCGGAAGTGAATTTGAGGAGAAAGAATTTAGGTTTTCGGCCGACGAGGTAGGTTGCGGCTCTGCTTCTCCGGGTGCCCTTCGCATGTCTGTGCAGGCACGACCCGTCTTCGGACTCGACTCCGGGGTGGGAGCGACCGTCACGCTCGTCGTCTTCATCCTCGTCCTCACTGCTGGACGAGAAGCCGTCCCAAGACAATCCACCGTCCCAGAACAGCTTGATCTCGTTGCCGACACCGCTACTACTCTTCGACTGCTTCCGCGACCGGGGCAATTTGCCCAGAGGCTCCCCGGGCGGGAGGTAAATCCGGTCCTCTTCGCGGTCCGCTCGATGTTGTTGTTCCGGGGCGTTGTTTCGGTTCTGCTCTGGCAGAGGACCTGCAACTACTTCCGGGGGACGAACAGCCGCAACTATTTCAAGCGGACGCTCAACATCCTGCCGCTCCGTCAGCACGGCCTCCTCCACTGTAGTGTCTGCGGGCGCTGCTGTGGACTCCGACGGGAAAGAACCGGAACCCCTAGCAGATACATCGCCCGATGGCAGGTCGCTCTGGCTCTCGCGACACACAACCACGGGGCTCTCCGGCGCTACATCGTGGTGCCCGCCCGCCTCGAAAGGAGCCCCACGCGAAATGCTTGCGGGGGTGCAGTATCAAGTGCAAAAGTGTCTGGGTCTGGAAGATTCTGACACTTGTCATGCGCGTTTTGCATGAGCCATGATGTCTGTGATGCATACCCTAGCAATACAGATTTTCTGGGGGCTTCTTGATGCCTATTCCGCATGACAGATGCCTTCTCAGCGTAGCAAAAATTGTATTTCCTTTGGTACTCATGCAATACAGATTTTTTTGGAATCCAAACGCAGCATCACAAGTTGCATTCTTCCAGACCCAGACATTTTTACATTTGATATGCAGCCCTCGCCGCTGGACGAAGCAACTGTCTCCGGGACGAAGGGCGCCGCGATGAAGGTATCCTGAGTAAAAACGTACCCACGCCAGAGTTGTAATGCAGATTTGCAGCTACAGGAAGATTTGTAATGCGCATACACATGCGAGGCATTTCCAATCACGTTTTGCGCTTTGCAATACTGTCGACAGGATGAGTAGATGGATTTGTGTTGCGGCTGTGCTTGCTAAACTGCACTGCAATACCTAGACGAACTTGTCATGCTGGACCCCCAAAACTTCTCGATTTGTGTTGCGAGATCCTCATCTTGACCCTGGTGTGGGTACGTTTTTCCTCAGGATACGCAATGAAGGTAGGTCTTTGTCTATCTCTGTCGTCATCTTCCCCGCCTCCACGCGCGGATAGTGATGCATGGCTCGTCGCAAGAAAACCTGGAAGTACTAGATCATTATCGCGAAGGGGGTCGCCACCGCCCCCCGGCAGCTGCTCTTGTGTTGGCAAGTAGCACGACACTGCCGGGTTCTTTGGCTGACGTTCTTGTTCGACTTGTTGAGTATTCGCCACGGGAAATGGAGGTCGAGCTTGAATCACTGGCGCTTCTTCCTCCCGCGATCGCACTTCTACTGCTAGATCCTCCTCTTGCTGAAAATTTTCGGGCAAAAACAACATCGACTCCCGGCGGTGGCGAACAAAGTCTGCGGGCCTGTGCCCGAGCACCGACTCCTCGGGATCGATGGCTGCGGGCAGGATACTGTTAAAGAATACCCTCCTGCAACCACCACAAGACGCGTGCAGCATCAAAACCGCGCACACCGTGATGCACCGTCTTGCGGGTAGGTCGGAGTAAGGTCCTCTCCTTCGAGACAACATTTTTGGTTTCGGGGTCGGGGAAGGAATTCGAGACGATAGAGATCAATGCGAGGCTTCAACAAAAAAATCGTCCCAACCGAAAGCAGAAAGCTTCATTGTACGGCGCCTATACAGGTAGTGAGCCTCTGTTGAAGTTCTAAAGAAAAAAACCTCGCTCACGCGCGTTCTACGTACTCCAGCTAAACTAGTCCGCTGATAGTCACCACTGTAGCTGTAATGAATCTTGCAGATGCAGGAAGATAACACTCCGTTGCGCAAGAAGAGTAGGAGATGGATCTCGGTCTTTGAAAGTTCCGCGTGCGCTGCCATACAAAAACATCAAAACCATCATACATCAAAACAGGCGGTCGTCGGAAACCTAACAGATCAAATGCAGGTGACACAAATATCGACGCAGTTGGACCGCGCGGATCCAGGCTAAACCCCAGGCGCTGGGCTAGATTTTCTCACCGGCTCGGGCTTCTAAGCCGCGCCGTCTTCGGAGCGCACAGTAGATCTGGAGAGTGCAAGGAGCGCGTGCCAAAAAAACGCTCGAAAAAGAAGCGTACATGGAACTGCAGTTGCACCGAAACTCGCTGGTACACGATAAAATAAAAGATGTTTAGACTGGCACAAACCGGTGTAGCGACGAATAGGCCGACAAACGCGTGCCTTTCTTCTCAGCACGGATAAGTACCGCGAACACAGATAAAACGCTCACCATCACAGCCGACACAAGATCATATGTCGCGCGGATGCTGCCATCACCACCTCTGAAAAATTCAGAAGCTGATGCTCTCCTCTTTTTTTGTTGAATTCGGATTTGCGATTCTAGGTTCGACACTCTGGGACAGTTTTCATCGTTTCCTTCTCTGATAGATGAATTTAGGTTTTCTCGTCAATTTTTCCGTCTCCTCTGCATCTTCACAAGAGCTGCACGTGAATGCAACTTGCGTGCAGCACGGATGTTCTTCGATACAACTTCAACAGAGTACCACGTTGCGCAGACGAAAAGCTGACAATTTTTGTTCCCTCCTCAAGAAATAACCGAAGGTGGAGTCGTTGTTGATCGTCACAACTTACATCATCAGACCGGTCTTCTTGGCCAGTTCCTTCTCCAAGGCAGCCTGGCGACGGCGCTGCACGTGGTTGGACTTGCGGCCGACGAGACCTGAAATAAGTTGGTTTTTTGTATTGCATTTGTGATAGTACAACTCACCACTTTGTCCTATGCAAAACGATCACTTGTTCATCCACAACTATTCATGCGGAAAAAAGAAAAATAAACCTCTACTCCAACTGCGTCTTGTAACACATCATGCAAACACCAAATATCTAAAAGATCTGTTCTCATTACCTCCGCCCCACTTGCGGCTGACCTCCTTGTTTTCGTTGAAGGCGGACATGCTGGATTCGCACAGCACTTCCAGTCATCAAGTGCAAAAATGTCTGGGTGTGGAAGAGTGTAAACTTGTCATGCAGATTTTCGATGACCCATGAGGCCTGGAATGCGGGACGTAGCATGACAGACTCTGCGAGGTCTCCGCCATGCCTATCCTGCATGAGAAACTCCCTCCCAACTTGGTCGAAAGTGGGCAGCTTTTTGCACTCATGCAACACAGACCTATGCACGCTTCAGATTTACCATGACAAGTTCCCACCTTCCAGACCCAGACATTTTTGCATTCGATACCAGTTCCTTCTGGTCCTCCTTCGCGACGTTGACGATGCAGGCGGCGGCGCAGGTCTTCTGGCCGACGAGCTGGCCGAGGCGGGACTTGGACTTGATGATGCAGAACGGCACGTTCTTCTTGCGGCACAGCGCCGGGAGCCACACGACGAGCTCAATCGGGTCGACATCGTGGGAGATGATGACGAGCTTGGCCTTCTTGGACTCGACCAGTTCCGTAACGTGGTTGATACCGAACTTGATGGTCGGCGGGCACTTGTTTTCGGTCTCCTTGTCCTTGCCTGTGGGCAATTTTGGGATAGTAGTTGTACATAGATAGAACGAGGATATAGATTCCAAAACACGTCGCTATGTCTACTTAAGAGCGTACAAATTGATAGCGCTCGAGACAGAAAAAAAAAGCTTCTCGTGCAGTCCTTCTGGCATCAAAATCTCTCTCTGTTATGCTCATGCGCGCAAGTAGTAAGTAATGCTTCAAATAAGCTATAGTAAAGTAAATACCAGCCATGTCCTTGAGGCGCTGCTTCTTGTCGGCCTTGGTCTCCGGAGCGATCTTCTTGCACAGACGGTGCAGCTGCGTGAACTGAGACTTGTCCATGGTGTGGTTGAACTGAGCAACGCTGGGCGGGACCTGGATAGAAAGTTTGGTATTGCGGTTTTAGCATGAGCGGCACACTCTGTCATGCATCAAAACGCATTTCACGCCATGCGAGGCAGAAAAATATAAATCTGCTCTCAAAAGAACTTTGCGTTCAAATCTACATGTGTGTTTTTAAATTATGCCAGACAGCACATCACATCACGCTCCTGTACCTTGGCGCGCTGCATGAAGATGCGCTTCTGGCGCTGCAAACGGATGTACTGCGGCCATTTGACGAAGCGGGTCAGGTTGCGCTTGGGCTGGATGTCGCCACCGATGCGGTAGTTGCGGGCCTTCTTCTCAATCAGGGGGTTCTTCTTGTTTCCCTTGATGACCGGAGCGCCCAGCGGGGCCTGCGGCAGCTTCTTCTTCTGCGCAGCAGACTTCTTGCCCTTCATCTCAGCCTTCGGCATCTTGTGTTTTTTTGTGTGGAGATAAAACCTAAATCACGTCCCGTGTAGAGTGTTTGAATCAGGAAGAAAATCCGATTCAAAGGGTCCCTGTGTTTTGCGCGTGATTGTGAAGGAGTTTTGAAGAGTGTTTCGAAGTTTTGGTGACCTTTGTTTCCAATTGCAGTGCGTCCTTAGATCATGAATCTATGGTAGTTTGCGAGAACATAAAGACAGCAACATGATCTTCCACTTGACCATATTTACATCTCCATCAACGTGGATATTTTTACAGATCGTCCGCGGATCCTCGTGATCTAGATCGTTTGGCTTTGGAATGTTACCTTGCACCAACGACAGATCCTCGCGCTTTCCGATTTAGAACGCGGAAGATCTCTTGGCATCGATCAGGGTGCTTTCGCCGTATAGCACTGCAGTTGTCAGATCTTTAAAACTGAACTGGAATTTTGCACGATCGAGAGCCAGATCTTTAGAAGTGAACTGGGAATTTGAAGATCGTTCATCTCTACTGTGCCTGCGGACCAAGGGTATCTAAATATCACGGGTGGAGGATCACACTGAACAAATTTAAAGCTACAGCTGTCAGCTCCTCGGACTCTCTTTTTTTCTTCTAACTCCTGCGCATGGTGTTAGAAGTTCAAGGCACTTCAGACAGTCACGCCTTTTCTTGTTTCTCCTTTACTCGATTTCCCCTTCACGAGATTCTAAACAGTACGCTCGTCAAGCTGATCACAAAAAAAATTACAGTGTCGTGCAAACCAAACTGCAGGAGTTTTATTCAAAATCCGCAAAACCTTCCGCTTCGACTCCAAAAACCTTCTTCACCTCGTCATTTTCTGGCTGTTGCACAGCAGAAAAGAGCCCGCGAACAACCGAAAGCCAAACAGCAAGGCCACAATCGCGCCTAGATACAATCCGATATCCGACACAGTGGACTCACTTTCGAAGAAGGAGTCTCTCGCCGCAATCGCGATGTCGGCCCGCGTATGCATTGCAAGTATGTCTGGGTGGTCTGGATGAGTGCCAGGCTTGTCATGCATATTACCCACGGCTCATAATGTCTGTGTTGCATGCCCTTTAGCATCCCAGATTCTGCGAGGGCTTTCCGATATGCCCATACCGGACGAAAAATGCCCTCTCCGCGTAGCAAAAACTGGATCTCTTTTGCAGTTCGCATGCAAGACAGATTTTATGTACTTACAGTCCGAAGGCACTAGCGTGACAAGTTGCATCCTTCCAGCCCCAGACATATTTGCATCGGATACCGGGCTGGATCCGTTGCCGCGAATTTTAGATCCTTGCCCAGCTCGGAGAACAAAAACCACCCCTGGAGGTTATACGCGAAGCGGATCGGTACGAGCCACTGCAGCCAGGATATGAATTTCGGAATCTGCGAGATGGGGCGAAACGGATTGGCAAAACTGTTGGGGATCGTCGTGAGCACAAACGGCGCCCAAACGATCGCGGTTCCGGGCAGGTTGGCCGTCGCGGAGGCGAGGAAGAGGCCGATGGAGCCGCCGGCAAGACCGGTCAGGTATCCTGAGTAAAAACGTCCCCACACCAGAGTCAAGGTAGAAAATCTGCTAGACAAATCTGTCAGCTTTTGCTGTTGCGCATGACAAGTTTGGCCTCGTAGTGTAATCATGTTTGGCTTGTTCAGCAGCATCACAGATCTAGCACATCATGCTGATTCTAGCACCACAAATCCAAAAACACGACTAGAGGCTGCTTCTCATGTGTCTCCGCATGAGAAACGTTTTCAGCATGCAGATTTGCATTGCAACTCTGGGGTGGGGACGTTTTTACAAATGATATCAGGAACATGGACAGCATGATCCACCAGGGGGCGGTGTGTGCGCCGAGACTATGGAAGTGTCAGAATCGAAATTGACAAAGTCGAAATTATCTGTAATGCATAAAATGCCACACAAAAAGCGACTCTATTGCAGAGGATGCAAGGGAGGCGGATTCTAGTCCTGGCAAGGGTCAAGTGTTGGGCTGCTGACTAGCATGACAGCAGGGAGCTCTTTTGCCCTAAACAGCATGACAAACTCGCTTCCGGCGCGGGGAAAATTTGTCATGCGCCGACTATAGGACCTGGGTCCAACTGGTATCGATCTTATGCATTACAAATTTTTCGACTTTGTCGATTTCGATTCTGACGCTTCCATAGAGACCCAGCGTGAAGTAGAGGATGATGTAGATCAGGCCGACTTGGAGTGGCTGTGATAATGAAAGTGAATTTGTGTAGTTGCACGCAATTATATTAAGTAGTTCTTGGATGACTGCTCGTCCTGTGTACATTTTAGACTTACGCTTGTTGCCCCAGCTCGTCCCGCTCATTTGTTTACAAAAATGTTCCTGTTTAACACCTAGCGATGTCGTTGTACAGCACATCAAGAATAGCTGACCCCCGCGCCTGTGGACAACAACATCTGCGTTAGAACGCAAAACCTCCTCCCCCCGAGCGGACTTAAGTTTATGAAAATCGATTTTTTTCACGTGAGGTTGGTGGGCAAATCAAGACTATTATACCATCACGACAATTTCCGCGATCATCCGCACCAGCAAGTAGGTCCACAGAGAATACATCCCGCTGGTGTACTCCCGCAAGAACATTGGCCGTTCCCGGCCCAAAGAACTCACCTGTTGGCCCGCGGCCGTGAAGAGCAGCACCGTGTAGGTGTTCAACGTCGCGCCGTTCAAATTCACGATCGCGGACGCGAAGTCTGCTTCTGTTTGCAATTGCTCTCCCGTTACGGTTCTGCCGTTGTACAAGTCCGTGCCCATCTGCCAAAACACCGCGCCCATAATGGCCGTTTGCACCGCCGGGGAAAGAAACCGCATCAGCATCGGGGTTTTTCGCCGCCAATCCTCCCGGAGGATGCGCGCAAGCAGCGCGGGAAACTGATTTGTGAAGAACGGGGGCAGGGATTTGCGCACATAGGATTTGTCTTCTTCTTGCCCACGGTGCCCATTTAGCTCCGAAGACCCTTCATGTCTTACCGCAGCCAGAAGATGGGTACTCGAACTCTCATCTGCTTCATCGGTCTCTGGGCTGCTAGTGTCTCCTTGTCCCCGCGGATAGACCTCTTGTTCATGGTGGAGATTATACCCCGTCCTTCGATTTCGCGGTCTTTGTGCGTGCGCCCGCTGCAGCGCGGTCAACGGGCAGCCAACTTTCCTGTTGTCCTTGATCAAGCTTACCGCTCTTATCAAATTCCTAACTGGCTGCAACTCCACCTGCGACAGTGTCGACTGCGCTCGCACCAATCGAGACCCGGTCGGGTGGTGAATTTCTGATTTTATCGTGTTAAAACGCGGTCGTGGGAGGTGCAGCACATTGGAGCCCCTGGCTCCACCTGGGAGCGCGTCGTTGCTGCCTCTAGCCGGGTAACTGCTAGGCACAGACTGCGGGGTCGTCTCGATGTGTCGGTTGTTCTGGTCTGAGGAGACTCTTGGCTGCCCGCTGGTGACGCTGATCTTCCAGTCCTTCTCAGACGAATCATTCACAGGCGAGCCGCGAAAAGCACTAGTGCTCCCGGACGCCGCACTCTTGCGCCCGTGGAGGCTCTGCTCCGGAGAACTCAAGGCAGCAACGTCGCCGTCATCGGGTGGAGGAATCAAAGGTATCCCCGCCTCCTCCTCATCTACAGGTGGGAAGCTAATTTCGAACACGGCCGCTGTCTGCTCGCAAATGAAATCCGCCTCCGCATCGCTCACTGTCTGTGCCAAATAAACCAGCCAATCGCTGCAGCCGTAGCCAGCTGGCATTGGATGCCCGATCGTCTGCAGGAAGTTGCATATGACGCTGAGATCCTTTTTTGCACTACCGGAGCTGGTGTGCCCGCGCGATCCACTGGTGGGAGATGGATTATCTCGTCCAAACGGCGCAGGACTTATTCCCGGCGCTCCTGTGTCTACTTCTATGATAGCTCGTCCCAGAGCTGCTACTCGTCTCGAAGTCCTTGTAGGACTACTACTTCCATTTTGACCACTCGTTGTATTCGGGCTACTTGCAAGTTCTTTAGCGGTCTCATCTTCCCGCCCCGCCGGACTGAGACCCCGATCGAGCCCGCTGGTCTCCCGCGTCCAGCCCTGGAACAAGACTCGGCCTTCCCGCATGCACAGCACCCGGTCCACCTGGTCCCAAACCTGCGCCTCCGGCTGATGAAGGGTACAGACGATGATCGCGTGCTGCGCCACCGCGATCTCTTTCAGGTACACCAGCAGTTTCAACGCGGACAACGAATCCAGCCCGCTCGTCGGCTCATCCAGCATCAGCACCGTCGGGCGCCGGATCAGCTCGCACCCGACGGCCACGCGCTTCCGCTCCCCGCCGGAGATGGTTTTCAGGCTCTGGTCCCCGACCAGTTGATCCGCGATGTGGGACAACTGCAAGGTTCGCAACACCTCCTCCACGTTCTCCCGTCTCTGCTCGTAGCTGGTGGAGGGGGGCAGGCGGAGCCGGGCGTAGAAATCCAAAGTTTCCCGCACCGTCTGGTGCGGAAAGAAAACGTCGTCTTGCAGGACGTACGCCACCGAGTCCTGCAGTTCCGGACCGGTGACCCCGCGCTCGCCGTACCGAACCGCGTTTTTCCTGAGCTTTTCCAACCCCTTTACCCGCGCGGCGTATCCTCAGGAAAAGCGTCCCCACCAGCACCTAGTCATCTTGCTACAGAAATGAAAAATCCAGAAGTCTAGAGTAGAAGTGCTGACGCATGCACGACCACTTCGGTCTTAGTTGTAGTGATTAGAAACGATATCCGCATCTTCACAATTTCGGCAACGCCTGTTAATACAGTATTTTACAAATGCCACAAATCTACTTCACGGCCACGATCATGCATCTCGATCTCATAGAGACGAGCAGGCGCAATACAAATTATATTCGCGCAAGAATAAATACAGCGAATAATCTGCACAAGATCACAAATCTGCTGGGGCGGGAGCGTAGTTTTCACTGGGCATACGGCGAGCAGGTTCATCAAACTGGACTTCCCCGCGCCCGACGGTCCGATCAACGCGGTCACCTCGCCGGGCCGGAATATCAAGTGTAAAAATGTCTGGGTCTGGAAGAATGCGCGACTTGTCATGCTTCTCTGGCATGACTCTTAAACCTGTCATGCAGGTTACCCAAGAGCCCCAATTTCCTGTCATGCAAAAACGCAGTTTGTCATGCAGAATAGGCAACACCTAGAAGCTCAGAAACTTGTCATGCTGAGCCAGCACTTATGGCTTCCTCATGATACGCCACCCAGCATCACAAGTTTCCAGACCCAGACATTTTTACATTTGATACGGAAACACCCGAAGCAATTGTCGAGGATGAGTTTCTTCGGCTTTTTGCTTTTCCGGTTCCCGTATGGATTGCAAAAATGTCTGGGTCTGGAAGATTAGAACTTGTCATGCTAAATCTAAATGATGCAAAAATCTGTGTTGCGTGAGTGCCAAAAGCTGTCCGCTTTTGACCAAGTTGAGAGGGAGTTTCTCATGCAGGAAAGGCATGATCGAGACCTCAAAAAATCTGTCATGCTGGGTCTCGCATTTCAGACCTCATGGGTCATGGAAAACCTGCATCACAAATCTTGGATTCTTCCAGACCCAGACATTTTTACATTTGATATCCCGGTTGCAGCCGTTGACGTTTTCTTTCCGGAGGAAGATGATGAGCCAGCTGCTATTGAGAGGAAAAATCCCCCCTCCCCATGTTGACAAGGCACGTTTTCGAAAATTTGCGTTGCTGATTTGTGACCACAAATCGTCTCTGTGTTGCACGAAGGCAACTCCACAAGCTCCGCCGCATTCTACAGCCGGTTTGTCATGCTGTTTTAGCTACAGCGTAGACGTCTGTCATGCTAAGCGCCTAGGCCAAAACCTATCTACTCAGGCTTCATATGGGCCTGAAATCCTCGCCAGCAAGACAAACCTGATTTGTGTACGCAAATCCAGCATCAGAAACTTCGTTTTGATTTGGGGAGGGGGGATTTTTCATCGTGATAGCTGCTTCGAAGGAGATGTTGCGAAATTCGAACATCAATTTGTTCGCCCGGTGCCAGTATCCTGTGCAAAAGTATCGCACTCGTAGTAATCGCAATCATGCATTACAAATCTCCATCTTAACCTAAATCCGCATTACAAATTCCATTTTTCATGCTGAGGGAATTTGTCATGCGATTTATACTAGTACGATGCTTTTGCATTTCATAGCCAGCGAAGCAGAGCCGAGTCTTCGCTTTCCTCGTCCCCGATGGCAAGGGGAGGCAATATTAACGGCAGCTGGTCGCCGACGTGTTCATCATCTGCTCCTCCCGTGAGGTGAACCAAGTCGTCGCTGATCCTGCGTAAACTTTCCAATCGGTCGACAGCACCATCGTCTTGATCTATGTCGAAAAGATTGCTCTGCGGCGGACTAGCAGTCCTGGGCGATTGATGTGGCGTTTTCCTTCGTGTAGTGACGTCCTGCTGCTGCTGCGCCGGTGCAATATTGCCGCCCGGTAGAAGTCCTCCTCGCGGCCCCGCAGTTTCTCCCTTTTGCGCCGCAGTCGCCGTGCTTAATGCGAGAGAAACCCCGCGCAAAGAGCTGCTGCGGTTGCGCCGGGTGAGCAGCTCGAGCGTTTGGACCCGTTCTTCCTCGCAATGCTTTGCATCCACCTCGGCCTGCTCTTCGGCGCACTTGTTAATGAAATATTTCGGGTGGTCCCCGCCATCCGGATAGGACAGCGTGCCGCCCTCCATAGTGATGTGCGTCGGCGGTGGGGCCGACGCGGTCTATGCGACTGTAATATCCTGAATATCGAACCAGTTCATCGATCAATAGAAAGTGTCGCGTTTGCGCCGTGGAAGACAAAGAGAAAAATAAAAAAACGCTAGAAAATAACAAACTTGACCTGTTGAAATGCGAGCGCATCAAAGCTGGTATACGGATTTTTGCTCTGTACTAGATGTTAGTTTAAAAAGTAAGTAATCGATTCAGAACCTTCAGAAATCACAGATGACCCACTTGTCTTCGATCCTCTTCTCAACAGACCAACATCTTGTGGACACCGAAATTCCGCCTTTGCTGAGCAGGTCTCAAAGGTGCGAGATCAGAACCGAGACTCTTTTTCGCATGCGCGTTTTTCTTCCCGCTGAGCAAGGTCCGATGATGGCATGGCAAACCACGAGCGTTGCAGGTAGACAGATCCTCCTTATCAGATCCTCTTCGGCACATTGATCATTGTGGTACTTAAAGTACATTTCCGCATCTGAAAGTGTTGGAGTCGATCCTGTGGTGAAGATCGGCGCAACAAATCCTCGCCACCGGAACTTCATCTGCGGTCCGCCCGTAAGAAGAGAAAAGGTTGTGGCGCCTCACGGGAAACTGCCGTCGTGTGCACGACGTGAATCGAAGAATGCAAAATCTACATATTATCCTCGCTTGTTCGTCCATTCATTGCGTACTTCTGGTCGACTCTCCTTCTGTGCGCGCAGCAACAGCTGCGGTCACTAATTTTCAGTGTTTTTGCGTTTCGCAGGTACTCATTTTTGTTGCGTTTCGCAGTTCATCGGTAAGATATTCACTCTACAACTCGAAGTACTTCTGATGTTGTAATATACGCTACTAGCACTTACTCATACTCTTTTCAATGACAATATTTTGCATGTACTACGAAACACTACACACAGGAGAAAGCGGAGCACGCCAGGCTCGGACACGATCGTTTCCTCTACTTCCATTCGATTCTAGTGCGGTCCTGCTCATCTTTCCGATGGTTCAGTACATCGTCCTGCTGTTTACCCGGAGAACGATCCCCGCCAGCACCCGGTAGCCAACAAAGAGTGCCGCCAGCCCGAAAAAGTTCGTGAGCAAAATCTCGCTGGACAGCGCCCTTTTTTCGAATCTCTTGTCCCGAGCCGCGATCAGCACGTCCCGGGCTTGGTCACTCACTTCGCCCGGCCACAGCTGGTTTTCCACGTTTTGATAGAGTAAGAAATCCAGCGTCTTCGTCATGAACGCCGTGGGGAAAATGTACCCCGTCCACTGCTATCCAGTGCAAATATACCTGGATGTCTGGAGGCATGTAACTTGTGATGCTGCATGTGAATACTACAAAAATCTGTATTGCATGAACAGCAAAACGGGTCCAATTTTTGCCACGCCGAGAGGGCGTTTCTCATGCGGTATAGGCATGAAGTAGCCCTCGCGAAATCTGTGATGCTAGGGCATGCATCACAGACGTCAGGACCAGGAGTCATGCGAAATGTGCATGACAAACGTTGCATCCTTCCAGACCCAGACATATTTGCAATGCATAACCGCAGCGCCCAGGGAATCTCCGTGATGGGCCGAAAATTGCCGGACAACGCGGAGCTGAGCGTGAGGAAAAAAATGGGCTGGATGTAGAGAGCAACCTCCCCGTTATCCTGAGGAAAAACGTACCCACACCAGAGCCAGGATGGGGATTTTGCAACAAACCTAGGAGTTTTGTGAGTCACGCCTGACAAGTTGCACTTTGCAGTGTAGTGCAGGTTAGCCAGTGCAGCCGCATCACAGATTCATCGGCTCATCCTGTTCACAGCATCACAAATTCCAAAACACGATTGGAAATGGCTCTCATGTGATGCGCATTACAAGTCTTCCTGTTTTTGCAAATCTGCATTAACACTCTGGTGTGGGTACGTTTTTACCCAGGATACCCGTAGTCGGCAACCAGGCAGGAAATGAACATCCCTAAAGACCCGGACGCCAGCGAGTTCATGAGGAGCAGGCCGAAAAACGCGGGAATCAGTTCGGCGGCGAACCCGACCAGGATCCACTGCAGGAGAAGCAGAAGCACCGACTGGGCGAAAATCACCAGCAGCTCCACGCTGAGCTTCGCCAACAGGTAGGTCGTGATGCTGTACATCCCGGACGAGTATTCCCGCAGAAACAGCACCCGCTCTCGCGGAATGGTCAGGATCAACTGCCCGGCCGACTGCGTGGTCAACGTGTAGAACGGCTGCCCCGTGGCGCCGAACACTTCCATCAACTTTTTGTTCCACTGCTGCTCCGTCTCGAGTTTATTATTCCCGGTTATGTTATCTTCTCGGGCCACCCCGAGCCACTCCAGCCCGGGAAACCCGGTCACGGACCCGGACAGCAGCTGCCGGCCGGCCAGGAAAAAGATGATCCCGTAGAAAAAGATTTGAATCGCCGGAATCAGCAGTCGCGCCAGCAGCATCCCGCGCGAGCGACACAGGTGGGTCAATTCCCGGTACGCCAGAATGCGGAACTGGCAGGAGAAATTTCCCAAGTTTGCGCCCGCGGCCGGTGGCGGTTGGTCATACACCTCCTGCTTGCCCATGTCGTCGGCCGCCAAATAGCCACTTAAGTTCCGCAGGTACTGTTCGCTCAAATGCTTCTGGCGCAGCAGGTTGGGCACGAGCCCCACGTCGAGGTTGCACTTGATCTCGGCCGTCTGCTCCAGTAAGAGATTGGGTCTCGGTTCGAACCCCGATCCGCTTTTGTTCGACGAGGGGGTCGAGCCGGATGTGGTTGAATTGTTCCCATCACTGAACAGGTCCAGCTCCCCCCCGAACAAGCTGTTGCGCATCAGCATCGGGAGAAGGTGTTTACTTCGACCCGTTTCTGGGTCAACCGGTAGCACCGGGTGCTCGGTGCGCTCGTAGACACGGGACGTGAGCAACGCCAAACGCATATCCTATGGAAAAACGTCCCCACCGCCCCAGAGTCAAGATGGGGAAAAATCGGCTGGACAAGTCCACAAGTTTTGACTGTTTTGCATGACAAATCTGAACTCGGAGTGTAGTACTGTTTCAGAGGTAGTTCAGCAGCATCACAGATCTAGCACTATCATGCTGATTGGAGCATGACAAAATCCAAAACGCGACTAGACAATGCTTCTCATGGGGCTCCGCATGAGAAACATTATCAGCATGCAGATTTGCATTACAACTATGGGATGGGGACGAATTTTTTAAACACGATAACGCATCGCGGTCTCCTCGTCGACCATTTGCGCCAGGAGGAGGAGCCAGGAAGCGATGTTCACCCCCTCGGGAATCCCTCGGACCCCGTTGAATTCCATCGGGTCGAGGAACCCTTTGATTGTGTTCCAGACGACGAGCTTGGATTTCTCAGCCCCGTGCATCTCGTCCAGGAAAGTTTTTTGCTGCGTTAGCCGGGTAGTTGTTGTTATTTGCACAGAATTTGTGTTGCTGGTGACTCCGAGTCCAAAGGCCGCCGAATGGAGGGATAGCGATCGCGGTTTGGTTTTTCCTGAGTAAAAACGTCCCGCCCACAAGGACTCTATCGTCAAAACGGGCAGTGGTGTCTGCAAGACAAGTCCAGAACTTTTGGGGCCTTTGCATGTTGACAAGTTTCTTTACGCATGCTGTGTAGTAGTGCAGGTAAAAAAATTAGGCGGCATGATCTTCACATCAAAGCCCAAAAACTCGTATACTACCCTGTTTACCTAGAGCATTACATCTGTAACGCCAGATCTACACGACTAAAGATGCCTCTCAACATTCGGATGCGCATTAGCAGTGTTCAAAATCACCTGCGTCCCACCTCTGCGGAAGAAGTGGCCACGTAGTAGTTTTTACTCAGGATAAAACGTCTTCCGGCGGACTCATACTACTGTTCATTCGAGCAGCGCTCTTGTCGTTCCCTCCCTGTTCTTCCTGCTGCATCATCGACGTCGCGGACAGCCCGTTTTCGCGCAAATACGCCCTTGCCGCCTTTCCGTTCCACCCCTGGAACAGCACCGCCCCCTGTCGCATGCAGATCACACGGTCGAAGTAGTCAAAAACCTCCGAGCTCGGTTGGTGCACCGTGCACACCACGATCTATCGCAAGAAAAAAGTGTTACAGTTACACATTGTGTTGCAAGAGCGGCAACACAGACAACCTTTCTCATGCAGGAAATGCTTGGGAGCCTCGTTTCCTTCCTGTTTTCCCTTTATGATCTTCGCATTCCAAGTTCTCTCTGCCACACAGAGAAAATTTGTGTTGCAGAAACTCCAACAAACGTGTAACTGTAACATTTTTTTCTCACGATACGATCGCGTTCTGCTCCACCGCGTACTGGCGCAGGTGGGAGAATATCAAATGCAAATATGTCTGGGTCTTGAAACTTGTAGTGCTTAGTGGCCATGACTGAGTGTGCATTTTTGCATGACGAAAGTGTGGTGCTTTATCTGCTGCTTATGCCATACAGATTTTTTAGGAATGCGAAACACGCAATACAGGTTCACCCTTGCCAGATCCAGACATATTTGCATTTGATAGAGAAGAGCCGGAGCGTGCTGTAGCTGTCCAAGCCCGTGGAGGGTTCGTCTAGAAAGACAATCGCCGGTCTCGTGACCAACTCCACGCCCACGGAGACCCGCTTCTTCTGCCCCCCGGAGAGCGCACCGGTCCTCGTGGCGCGCGCGCTCTGCAGCCCCAGGGTTTCGAGCACGTTTTCCGCGTTTTCCTCGGAGTACCGGGTTTTTTTGCAGTTGCTCCGCTTCACCGCATATCAAATGTAAAAATGTCTGGGTCTGGAAGCGTGCATGTTTGCCATGCTTGTCTGGCATGACTCTCAAATCTGTCACGCACGTTACCCAAGAGCGCCATTTTTCTGTCATGCAGAAACGCAGTTTGTCATGCAGAATAGGCAACACCTAGAAGCTCAGCAACTTGTCATGCTGAGCCAGAACTTGTGGCCTCCTCATGATACGCCACCCAGCATCACAAGTTTCCAGAGCCAGACACTTTTGCATTTGATACCGCATTCGGCGGCACGTTCAGCAGGGGGGTCCGCAACGCCGCCGCGAACCGGATTTGTTCTTCGACGGTCTCCGTCTCTATCGCACAGAAAAAAGTAGGCACAGGGCATGGTTGTCATGCAAAAATTAATACACAGAAAAATCTGCACTGCGCATCCTAAACAGGATCCTGCTATGGGCTCATTTTGCCTGTTAACTCCTTTCTGGGTCACAAATATGCCTTGCCTGCTTGTTTCTGCATGATAATCTCCATCAGCGCCTCCTGCTGCATCACGTACCCCACCGAGGACTTTAGCTCCTCAAAGCTCACCGGCTTGCGCCCGTACAGGATCTGCGCCCCGGGAAGAATGCCGGTGGTGATCTTCGTGGAACGAGTACTTCTAGAGCTACTGGTTCTGCTGGTGGTCGTTGCTTGTCGTTTCTTGGTAGTTCCCAGATCCATCTTGATATCAAAATCTTTATCATCTTCGTTTTCGTCCTCGTCGCCCTCAGGATCCGGGTCCTGTGACTCGGACTCCTCTTCTACTTCAGCGCCATTCATTTCATCATCGCCCGGATGAACGAGAAGCTGCTGCTTCAGCCGCTTTTCTTTTTCCGGCTCCGCGAAAGTGGATAGTACTTTTGTTTGTTCCTGGTCGGCTTGCTTTATTCCGGATGATCCTGCAAAAATTTTGCTCTTCGCTTCTTGACTCTCGCTCCGAAACCGTGGTCCCCAGCCCTGCCGGGCCGCTAGCAGGTTCATCAGCGTGCTCTTGCCCGCCCCGGAGGGGCCGATCAGGGCGGTCACCTGGCCGGGGTAGACCTTCCCGTAGCAGTCGTGCAGAATGCGCCGGCCCTTGACATTGAACGAGAGGTGGCTCCACTCCAGGGCGAGCTTCTTGCGCCGGGCGGCGGTTACCTGCGTCTGGGAAAAAATGTCCTCCTCCACGAGGGACTTCAGATGCCGGCTGGACGAGGTTATATCAGAGCCGTCTTCTTGTTCCGCCACCGTAAAAGCCGCCTCGAGATCCTTGTCGTCGTTGTAAACGACATCGTCATCATCTGCATCGTAGCTCATGTTGCGCGGGGAAGAATCAATCATGGTGCGAAGTAAAAAGATTTTTTCTAACAGGCTCCCGGCCTTCCATCTTCTGGCAAATAAAGGCAGTTTAGATGTGATTAATAATGAAATGACTGCTTATCTATTTACAGGAGCCCGCAACGACGTCCCGCTCAAGGCGCCGCATCTCAGACGAGGGCAACGCTGTGGCGGGCTGGTGCAACAAGCGCTGGATGTACTTCTTTCTACCAGGTCAGTGTATTTTTAGACACAAAGTGCATATTCTGAAGTTATATCGTATCAGGAATACGTTATCGGAATAATTTGTTGAGCTGCAATTACTACATCCTCGTACAACTTCTATACGTGAACAAACAACTCTCGTCGCGTGCGGTAAAAGGTAACTTCTTTGGGTGGTGGTCAAATTTTGTTGTGGCGCACCTCCATCACAAGTGGCTTTTCAGCTCAGTCTGCAGATCAACAAATAGATTATGATCATCATCAAACCTGCGCGAGGCTGTGTGCAGAGGGTGGCATTAGTAAAAGTAGAACGCTTAAGGTCATGGACTCAGCAGTGATGGCATCCGAGAAACTGACATTCGATCGTGCAACAACCGAATCTCCGATCTGGCTCACGTGCATTCAGAACTTTTTTCATCGAGCCTTCGAGTTCCAGATTGTGCAGGGAAATACACCGACCAGTAAACTACATCGCATGGCAAAACTTCGGCCGCATGAGAGTTGTTTTCTTCCGGTATTATACCGAAATCAGCAGCCGCTATGAACCGAGGACGTAATGATCCATACAAAAATTATAAAGCTGCGGGCTGAGGTGGTTTGCACAGTTTTGTTTAGTCCTAGGCTAATAAATCGAAGAGACCGAGAGGCCGGAGGAACTTGAACTACTTAATACTTCGTGCAAAAACCGAAGCACTTCGCTTAGGCAGTGCCGCGTTTTTGCGTAGTAAAGTGCCTCGCTTACATAGTGCTTCGCCTAGGTAGTGCCTCGCCCACAGTGCTCCACCTTCTTCAACACTGCCTCGCTTAGGAACTGCCTCGCTTAAGAAGTAGTGCCTCGCTTACGTAGTGCCCCGCTTAAGTACTGCCTCACTTAAGTAGTGCCTCGCTTGAGTAGTGCCTCGCTTCAGCACTGCCTCGCTTAAGTAGTGCCTCGCTTAGGCACTGCCTCGCTTAATTAGTGCCGCGCTTCAGCACTGCCTCGCTTAAGTAGTGCCTCGCTTAGGCACTGCCTCGCTTAATTAGTGCCGCGCTTCAGCACTGCCTCGCTTAAGTAGTGCCTCGCTTCAGCACTGCCGCGCTTCAGTAGTGCCTCGCTTAAGTAGTGCCTCGCTTAGGCACTACCTCGCTTAAGTAGTGCCTCGCTTAAGTAGTGCCTCGCTTGGGTAGTGCCTCGCTTCAGCACTGCCTCGCTTAAGTAGTGCCTTGCTTAGGCACTACCTCGCTTAAGTAGTGCCTCGCTTAAGTAGTGCCCCGCTTAAGTAGTGCCTCGCTTAAGTAGTGCCTCGCTTAAGTAGTGCCTCGCTTAAGTAGTGCCTCGCTTCAGCACTGCCTCGCTTAAGTAGTGCCTCGCTTCAGCACTGCCTCGCTTAAGTAGTGCCTCGCTTCAGCACTGCCTCGCCTAAGTAGTGCCTCGCTTCGGCACTGCCTCGCTTAAGTTAGTAGTGCCTCCCTTAGGCACTGCCTCGCTTAAGTAGTGCCTCGCTTCAGCACTGCCTCGCTTCAGAACTGCCTCGCCCAAGTAGTGCCTCGCTTCAGCAGTGCCTCGCTTAAGTAGTGCCTCGCTTAGGCACTGTCTCGCTTCAGCACTGCCTCGCTTAAGTAGTGCCTCGCTTAAGTAGTGCCTCGCTTGGGTAGTGCCTCGCTTCAGCACTGGCTCGCCTCAGTAGTGCCTCGCTTAGGCACTGGCTCGCTGAAGTAGTGCCTCGCTTAAGTAGTGCCCCGCTTAAGTAGTGCCTCGCTTCAGCACTGCCTCGCTTGAGTAGTGCCTCACTTCAGCACTGCCTCGCTTAAGTAGTGCCTCGCTTAGGCACTGCCTAGTGCTTCGCTTACGTAGTGCTTCGCCTAAGAAGTGCTTCGCTTAAGTGGTGCTTCGCTTAAGTAGTGCTTCTGTACTGCCTCGCTTAGGTAACTTTTTCGCTTTGTTTTTGCGCCGGCTCGCTATCGCAAGAGCACCCTTCATGTCGAAACGTTGTGTCATGTTTTGTCAAATGGTTTTTCCTCGGTGGCGCTATGGTTTTTTTCTCAATGCGTTGCCAATGCTTTGTTTATAATTTAAACAGCATAAAGTGTTATCATTTACGCAAAACTGTGATGCACGCCCTCGTGCTGACAAGCTTCGCAATACAGCATTAACGTTATTCGGCAAAACATACAAGATTTAATCATGTTTGTGATGCAAAAACGAATGCAAACTAAACCTGAGCATAAGCCATGCGATATGGGCACAGTCAACTCGCCCGAGGCTCTCCGCGTTCTCATACCTCTGCATCTTCACAAACAGGATATCAATCTAGTATTTCCCGAATGATAAGTGTCCTCCCAGTGTCTGCAGACATCATTCCGCCTCTGCCGCTATCAAATGCAAATCTGTCTGGGTCTGGAAACTTATGATGCAAGTCCGTGAAAAGTAAGTGCCCTGTAATGCACCGCCAAGCATGACAAGTTTTTTCGTGCTCTTGTGCTGCGTATTTCGCATGAGAAACTGCGCTCTTGCATGACAGGCAAGCGGGCCTCTTGGTGGCCACGCAATACAGAGTGCAGAGTCATGCCAGACTAGCATGACAAACCTTGCAACCTTCCAGACCCAGACACTTTTGCATTTGATAACCGCCACACCGCGGCCACATCCACGTGTCTCGTAGAATCGCGTAGCGGACGTCGGTATGCACAAAAAATAAAAAACCACTTCGTGAATCTGAAAGACCATACGACGAATAACGAATCAATACATGGATGTTGCCCCCATAGCATAAAAATGCTCGCTTGCAAAGTGATTTTTGAAACGAGCAGCGCGTCATGTAGTTCTCTGCAGGCCACCTAATAAAGAAGTAAAGTTTTCGCATGCGGTTGATATCCGATAGTTTCGCACTGTTCACAGGCCAAGTTGGGGTCGAAGTGCGGAAAGCTATCCTGAATGTGCTTCCGCTTCTTCTGCGCCCGGCTTTCTTGCTTCTGCTGCGCTTTCTTGTCGCTTTCCCCGTCGACCGCACTCCCTTTCGGATTGGCGTGGTCCTCTTGCTGCCTGCCGCTCGTCCCCCCGCTGCGGTCCTCTGCGGATGAATCGACTCTAGGGTTTCCACTTCGATTCTCTTCGCGACTTCGATTCGCTTCCCGAACAAGATCCGGAGAAGACTCGCTACCGCTCGTTGCTTCGCTGCCGTTCACTTTCCCCGCCCCCGCGCGCCGCTTTTGCGGATTCCAAAATTTCTTCGCGTCCCAACCGGCCACCACGGCTGGATCGACCGCGCCTGACAACAGCTGCTTCCGGACGTGCTGCAGGTGCGGCTGGCGCAATCCCGCGAGGACTTCGCGCGCACGCTATGGCATTGAGAAACGCCTCTACCCCCGAACGCGAAACAACATCGCAAAGCTTTCCAATGGGGACACTTGTTATGTTGCATGCAGCATCTACACAAGTTTTCGATACAGCAGAGCAAGAGTCTGTCTATGCAAAAAATATAAAAATCCGGCAACAGCCGGGCTTATCATGCAGAAGATACTCTGCTCGCCTAGAATCTACATCGGGCAGACTGATGGTCGTCTCCCGCAAGAAAAGATCCATTGAAAAACTTTGTATTTCAGAAAAATGCCCGACTTCCGGGGGCCGGGCACGTTTCACCTTGATACACGGGGGAGGTAGGCGCTGCCGGGATTCTGCTCAAAGAGCGCGGCTTCGAGCCGGTCGGCGATTGCGGCCGGGGGAGGAACCCCGGCGGGTTGCGACTTCTCTGATCGTGAGGACGAAGATAGTTCGCCTTCGTTCGGGAGCCGCGACGTAGGTGTTTTTCCCGAGGGGCACGCACTGCTCGAAGCTGGGGGACAAGGGTTGCCGGGGTCGCAGTCGTGCTCGCGGTGCGGCCCGGCTGCGGAACGGGAGTCCAGCTGCTCGGAAGCCTCCGCGTTCTTATGCGCGGCCGCCGGGGAAGGGCCGGCTTTGTCCTCGTCCGAGCTGAGCAAGTCCTTCAGCAGTTTCTCTCTCACCGCCGTCCGGCTTCGATCGAGGTCGGCGGCGCGGTTTTCCTGCTCCGAGGTCGCCCCCGCTGGGCGGAGCGAGGCCATTATGGAGAAACCACGTTTCGGGGCGCCGGAGTATGACCGCCCCCGCCCTAATAAGTGCTTTTCCAAAATCGCTCAGCAAATGCCGCGCGTCGAAAGCCCTCGAGCGTCCGCTTTTTTTCGCGATAGAGGGGCGGAAGTACATCGGCGCGCCACCGAAATCGCCGGAGGCCCTCTGGTTGCGGCATAGTCCGCAGCGCAAGCAGGAGCGCCCCGCGCCGCGTTGTGAAAATACGGCGACGCGGCCGCGCATTTGGAAATGGGCAGCGGCAAACTTGGTAGGCCTTTTGCCAAGCCCACAGGCCCGGTGTCTGGGCCCGCCTCGATCGAACTTGTCCAAGGCGATCCGGCGCGGAATCCGCGCGCAGCTTCGGGCGCCGCCCGCGCGGTTAACCTGTCGACACGGCTACCCGCCCCCCTTGCGAAGGTCCGCCCGCGGTCGCTTGGCGAACTTGGCGGCATCGCCGCGGCCCCTTCGTGCCATCGGGCCACTGCGTAACCAGCGCCGGCTCGCGCGGGAAGAACCGGCGGCGGGCTTCGGTGCAGCGCGATGATAGGGCGCGGCGTGCCTGGTTTTGCGCCCTCACTTCATCGGCGGAGGCGGCCCAGGGCCGTCCTTGCAAGAGTGACGACGGGCGAGAATGCGCGCAGTAGGCGTGTGCGCACCATGCGGGCCTGGCATGCCGATCCAGTCCAGGATAGGATTAGGAAAGCCCCCCCCTCTTTTGGGTGCGCGCCCCTTTTGGGTCGACGGAGGCCATTTCCCATCCTGGAAGAGAATACTAGAAAAGAAGCAGGGGGGTGGGGGGGTAAGTATTTTTCTAGATTTTGCCAAATTGCGCACAATGCAAAAGGGCTGACCATTTCTAATTTCGCAGGTGGAATGTGCGTTGAAACGCGCAGAGTCATACCTTTTATAAGTTTCATCGGCCAGAGTTTGAAAGGTACTTGCTTCATGTGGATTTGTTCAAAAATTTTCAAATTTTTCAAGTTAGTTTGAAATTGTTGTAATATATTAAGTTGGCTTTCCTGAATTAACCAACATCCTCATATAATGATAAACACTTAAGCGACTAACTATCAATATTATATTTGGCGTGAGATATCTTATCTGTGCACTTTTTTAAAATTTTTCCCGTAATGGAATTTCTGGAAATATCACGAATTGGAAGAATGTTCACGGTATAAAATACCTTCAAAAGGCCGGAAACTTGCAAATTCACTTCATTCAGGGCGTTTTTCGTTGTTTTTTAATATTCAGTCTTGCCTGATTTCCATTTTTTGACTTTTAAAAAATTTTTCAGATTTTTTATATTATCAGAAAAAGCCATTAATTTACAAGAAACTACCTTGGTATATGAATAAAAAACGCATAATACCTGGGGTAGTCTTGATAGTTGACAGCTTTTACTTGATTTATTGATTTTTTTTCCACTCACGAATTTTTTTAATTTTTACCTTATTTTTAACAAATCCTCAATTTTACTTATGTGTCTTCATTTTGGTCATGTGCATGGACAAAAGCTGGAAATTAATGAAATGCATGCCCTTAAGACATAACGCAACCCGTGAAAAAACAGTATATTACCACGGTGAAACTTTTTGTGAAAATTATTGATCTTGGGAGGATGGTAAAAACTGCCCCAGATATGGCAACCAGATGCATTGAGGTGTCCAGTTTGATGGATTTCATTCATGTGATTGGATCCGTGCAAAGCAATAGGGGCGGTGGGGGTGGTGCATTGCCTTCCTTCCAGAAAATGCAGAAACTACCTACCTCACCGGCAATCACACTACTGGTTCACCCAGTAGTTGGCCCCTTGCATGGCAGCCCCCCCCCCCCCCCCCCCCCCCCCCTCAGGTCGTTCTACACTCCTCGCATCGACGGGAAGCGGTGCATTACCCTAAGGAATACGATGCGAAGACTCCGCATATGCGTCGCGATCGCGGGCTGGCAGGACCCTGCCATATGCTTGCGCCGGGCCCCCGAGCTTTGTCGCCATTGCCAACCCGAAAGAGGGAGCGGGCTCGCGACGATCGAAACAGGCCGCAAAATGCGACGAATCGAAAACCAACAAGATCGGGCACCGCTGTCGCGTCCGGGTGCAGGAAAATCGCGCGCGGCCCAGCGTGATTGGCGCCCGTGAGCGCGTCTCGCAGCGGCAAGGCAGGCCGACGCTCATCCGCGTGCGAGTAGATAGGCCGCTGAGAAAAAGCCAACGCGTGTCGCCCTTTCTTCTCCCGCAGTGCAACCGTGCGCCGTACTAGTGGCCAAGGGAAGGATCCACCGCGATCGCGCGCTCGTAAAAATCAGCACTGTTCGCACCCTTTTGCTTCCTTGCCATCCTAGATCTGCAGAAGGATCCTTTTCTCGTTTTCCTTTCCGGGCTCACTGCCAATGGAGATATTTCGTTGATCAAAAGTCCGTGAAGCTTTTCGATAAGAATCCGTCAACATTCAGTGCGCCGCTAGTTCATCGAGTCAGCATGTGGTTTAAAGTACAGTAGCCAGTACAACTTTATTTTGCTATTGCGATTTTGTCTTCACTCCCAACTTTGCGTGATCTTCATTTTTCGAAGCTGAAGCCGCGAAGGAGAGAAAATGGGCCGCCGCGTAGTCGGTTTTTCTTTCCGTGTCGTCCCACGTGGGCATTATATGTGGGTCGAGAGCCCTTGAAAGTAAAGAAAAAGGACCTTCTTGCCTTGATCTTTTCCCGACACTCACCCGGTCGTCGAGCTGCGGCACGGATGAGCCGGCAGTAGTCCGCCTAGAAGACGATCGGTCGACGGGAGGACAGCTTGATTTCCAGCAAGCGCCCGGTACGTCTTGGGCACATTCGGGCCGGGAAGAGATTGGGAATTGGAAAAATAAACGGTGTAGTCGTGCTGACCAGTAGTCGCCATCATGTTGCGGCTTTTCCCGACGCGGATCGCGGTGGCTGCTTTCTCGGCGGCGCGCGCGGTGCTGGCACAAGCGGAAAAAGTGGAAATCATCATAGACGCGGGGAGCACGGGATCGCGAATGTACTTTCTTGACATACCATCGCTCTTCGCAGTGGAAATTTCAAAGCAGCTGTCTCGGAAGATAGTTTTCATCGTTCTATGATCTTTTCAATGCTACCGCGTCTCGCAAGAATGCCATGGCGGTCAAGTGCCGCATTGCCAGAGACGTCCTTAGGAAATAAACGCGGCAAAAGAAAATCTTCAACACCTGTACTACATAAAAATCCGTACTATTCTGTCCAGGTACGTGTTTCACAGCAACACCGATGGCGTTCTACTCCACTCCAAAATTGTCGGCAAGAAGAAGCCGGGACTCAGCTCCTTCGCCGAGAAACCAGAGGGGGCGCTGCAGCCGTTGCAGTGGCTGTTCGCGAAGTTCATGAAGGAGGAGGGGCCGAAGTACTACGGTAGGGCGATCGGGGTGAAGATATTCGGGACCGCGGGCATGCGGCTGTTGCCCTCCAGCAAGCGAGAAGGGGTGTGGAAGAGCGTAAGCAGCGGGCTGAACGACTACTTCCGGGGGGATGTAGCGGGTTCTAAATTTTGATAATTTTTTTATACTTGCGACGTTTGGTGCCCTCCATTTCCGATCGGACTTAATGTTGTCCGATAAATATGCAAAGACCGAAGATGATGTATGATCATGATGTCACCTTCGCGAAGAAAAAATTTAAAAGATAAGTGGTGCCTTGACTTTGTAATCCGTGGACTGATGATCTTATTTCAACAGACAAGTTGCAGTTCCAGCTGTTGTATCAAATGTAAAAGTGTCTGGGTCTGGAAACTTGTGATGCTGGGTGGCGTCTCATGATGAGGCTACAAATCCTGGCTCAGCATGACAAGTTTCTGAGCTCCTAGGTGTTGCCTAGTCTGCATGACAAACTGCGCTTCTGCATCACAGAAAAACGGAGCTCTTGGGTAACGTGCATGACAGATTTAAGAGTCATGCCAGACAAGCATGACAAACATGAATTCTTCCAGACCCAGACATTTTTACATTTGATATCTTGAACACGGAAACCATCGAGGGCGAACAGGAGGGGTTTTTCGCCCTGATGGGCGTGAACTACCTGGTGAAGCAGATGCAAAACGTTGGGCAGCCCTGCGAACGGCACGGAATCCTGGACCTGGGCGGTTCTAGCACCCAGATTGCCATTCCGAACGACTGCAACCGGATCACGAGGCAAAACAGCTTTATCCGCTCTTTCCCGGAATCCGGGATGGAACTCACTCGCGAACGAGTCAACAAACTCTTCACGGCAGCAGAAAGGAAAAGCTGCTACTTCTCCGGCTTCGAAAGCAGCAGCGCGGGTAGTAGTTCGAGTGGCGGGAAGCCCTGCGCAGGTGCGTGAACTTTGCGTTGAAGTGTTGCTTTTTCAGAAATCAGTATGCAACTACTCTTACAGGTCCTCTGCTGTTGTTGCCGCCGGAATTGCTTTGATTATACAGCGAGATGAGGGGCGAATGAATAACGGTACATTTTCGCAAAAAAACAGATCTCGTGCGCGCGGCGATGGAACACGATAAGGGGTCACCGCACCACATGCAGAAAGACTGGAAAAAACTGAAGAACAAGAACTTGAAATTTATCGCGGTCGTATGCTTCGGGATAGTTTTCTCGTATCCTCCTGCATAGTCCGCAACTTAATTACTTACGAATATGCTTGTCATGCGCGGCGCCATGAAAGTGCGACTACATCGTGCGTGTAAAGTAATTAGTGTACAGACAATCGGCTACACCACGGACGAGTGCCTTATTTTCGGATATGATGGAAAAAGTAAGATTTTAAAAGTGCCGGATCATCATGATGATACTAGTGAAAACTTTTTTTCTCGCCATAACCCAGCGGCTACATGTACGTGACGCATTTTGCGCGGTGGCTTTTGCAGCAGCACTACCCGGAACTCGATTATCTCAAGGAGTTTCCCGCACCGAAGCTCAAATCGGTAAAGCAAGCGGCGGATATGCCACAGAAAAAAGCTGGCAGGGCATATTTGTAATGCAAAAATAAATACACAGAAAAATCTGCCATGCTTGGCCCCACAGCATGCTGTTTCAGATATGCAACGCAGATTTTTTTGCGTATCTATTTTTGCATTATGCCAGTTTTCTTCTGTGTGATAGCGGAGAAGCTGTGCTTGCTGGAGTGGCAGAGCAAGGTCAAGGAGGGACACGAGTACACGAGCAAGTCCAAACTCCCGCACCGGTGCTTCGAACTGCACTACATCTACACGCTGCTTCACATGTACACCAACGGTTGCGACGAATGCAGCAACATCACTTTCACGGAAGAAATCAACGGCTCCGAAGTCGAGTGGCCGATCGGGGCGTGGCTGTATTTCGCGGAGAAGGCGAAAAAGCAACTGCCAGGCAGCAGCAGTAGCGGGGTGAAAAAACCTCCGCCGAAGGTGGAGCTGTGACCACGACGGGAAGTGGGAAGAGGTGCCCTGTGTCGAAGATGTTAAGTGCGTGGGACAGCGTGGTAGTTAAACGGCCTGGTTTCTGCAGCAGTCCAGATTTTTTCAAATTAATTCACCAATTCAGTAGTTGTACATTGTACAAGTATCCTGTTCTTCTTCTTCTTCATTTCTGCGGCTGCTTTTTGAGATCAATGGATCAACTAAAAATACACTAAAGTTCTTGCAGTTTATCGATAAGCAGTTATAAATCAATGAACTGATAAAGCTTCAATAGGGCAGAATCCTGTGCGCAACCGGGATTTTGTTCTTTTTTGTTTTAAACAATGATAGATAACACCAGACAAATGCCTCGAGGTTCTTTAGATAAGAGTTCCCCTGAAGAAAGAGTCCTTTCGCAACAGGAGCATGTTTGAGTATGCTAAACTTTTGTGACAGTAAAAATGTGAATTTAAGACCACGATCTTCTTTTTGGCGAAGTAAAGTCAGAGGAAAGTTGGAGACAGAAAAAATTCCTGCGGCGGCGGTAGAAATATCCTTTTCGAGGAGTACTGTTCCACCGTTCTGACGCAAAATGGGCGCCGTGACCTCGAACCGGTTTGGAGCTGTTAACCATAAATGAGGTGAAATCCATCTCCGTTCCGAAGATTTTGAAATGCGCAGTCATCCGCACCAAAGCGGCGACGACATTTTTCTGTGACTTTTGATCTGAAAACTGAAGAGGAATGCGTTGATCCTTTGTGTTTTTTTTTTCTGAATCACAATGAATACTTAAAGAGACCACGCAGGAGCTTCCTGTTTCACACGAACCGTAACTGCTGCCCGCTTCTGTTTTGCTGTGAATTCGTGTTTAGGTAGAAAAAAAACAGACTTGGCTGGTAGTCTCCACACGGAATTCTTAAGTCGTGAAAAAACTTACATATATTTTCTATCCACGTTGTTACGTGTAGTATATGTACACCGCAATTGGATCCGTTCCAACGCCTACTTCGAAGTGAAAATGGAAACGTCCATAGCCTCTTTTCGCACCAGGTCGCAATCTTCCCCGGGGCACTGCAAAAGCAGAGACGCGAAGGAGCGCTTTAGCTTTTCACTGTTCTACTAGTCAGATCTAGTAGTACCCCACGACTGAGGTAGCAGGCTATAATTTCCAACAAACTCGGGAACAGACCAAACGAGAACAAAACAGCCGAACCTCGCTAAAGCCACCATTATCGGGGCGAGGACCGCTGGGATAGCATTATCTTCGCAACCCCCTTGCGACAAGCAAGCCCGGAATACAACCAGCAATCGCGAAATCTGAACCACGACGAGTAGTCGATTAGTTTCAACGAATCAAGCGACGATAAACGACGCGGTCCATCAAACCCGCATAGCAGACAAGAACAGCGACAAAATGGCTCTGAATCCACTAGTCTTGGAGATAACGCAGGGCATAGCGGAGTATAATGGCTTTCGTTTTTTTTCAGTTTCATAAAAGTCGAAAGAAGGATTAGCGCAGATGACGTGATCTTCGGATGATGATTTGAGGTATTGATCTTGCAGGCCGACAGTCATATCGTGAACGCAGGGATCAACTTTGTTTTATGTTGCTAGTAGCAGAACATCAAGCAAAAAAACTCTAAATCAGATTTTCCAACCGCGTGGGCCTGAAAACCCTTATGTCGCAGTACGGGGAGGTTGATGTGTGCTGGATACCACCTTACATGGACCGCGACAAAGACGTGGCTTACGTGAAATTCAAGTCCTCCGAGAGCGCGGAGCTGGCCATGAAGGCCATGACCCAGGGCCTGGTTATGATGCACGGCGTCCAGCTGCAGGGGCGGTACCGCATGGGCATGCCACCGAAAACGGATTCGAAGGGGGACGGGAACGTTCGCGTGGGAACGGACGAGTATAAATTTTTTTTTGCAGCTATGTTTATACGATTATAACTCGTTGAAGCGGGATGGTTCTGGTCGATTGCATAGAATTTCAATCAAAATAAGTAAGTCGACTGGTACACCAAACTTCATGCGAGAGAAAAAGATGCGTTTCTACACTGACTTCCAGATGAACACCACCAGGTTTTCGCTTTTTTCCCAAAACTAAGATATATCACACCCCCTCATCTTCAGTGCCAAATCCAGTTACGGCGCCGGCAGGTTCACGGACAGCCGCGCGCTCATGGCCTCGCTCCGCGACAACGGCCGGCGGGGCGGGCGTGACCGAGAGAGGGACCGAGACCACTCGCGGTCACGGCGCGCGCGACGACGCAGCCACCGGCGGTCCAGGTCACGACGGGACTCGCGAAGACGCTCCCGATCCCGGTCCCGGTCGAAGTCGCGAAACCGCGACCGCGAGCGGAGTAGACGGGAGGAGAAAACCAGCGGCGCGGGATCACCTGCAGAGGCGATCGGGGAGGAGGAGGACGGCTGCGTGGTGGTGCACAACTTCCTAGGTATAGTGTGGTTCTTGTCGTGATGCAAATGAAATAAGATGATGGCGAAAGTGAAATTGGTAAATGCAGTATCTATAATCCTCGTCGCGGCGAGAAATAAGCCCGAATGAAGAACTGTATTATTGCAATGAACTCTTTATCCCAGGCCCGAAGCAGTCCCTGGGCCTGAAGCTGTCGAACGACAAGCGCGTAGTGGAGTTCGAACACCCGGACGCAGCGTTTTTCGGGTGGCGCATCGGCGACCAGATCGTGGACGTTAACGGAACAGACGCGGCGGACATTAAGGAGCTGGTGAAAATCATGGGCGAAGTGAAGAAGTCCGGGGTACTGCCGCTCAGCTTCCGCATCCGCCGGCCCTTGAACGCGGTGTCGGCGAAGGCGCTGGGGTCCGAGTACAGTCGAATGAACAGCTCGAAGGACAGCAGCAACAGGGAAGAGCGGTCCGGCGGCAGTGCGAATCAAAACAAGCAGCACCAAGCCATTGAGGGTGTCAACGCGGTCCGAGATCTGATCTCCCGCAGGTGAGATGTGACAGAGTTTTGGTTGGAGGTGCTTCAACATCTTGTTCGTCCCTACTGCAAGATAGAAACCGACGAAGATGAACTACTTACCCAGCGACCCGACCTGCAGCCTCACCCAGCGACACTTGTTATAAGGGCCTACAGATTTGTTGTTGTAGCGACATGTACAGGAGCCACGTCAGAGCCTTTATTTTCAGAAGCGCCTACTGCGTTGCTACTTCAAACTTTTGGAACAACAAACGCTAGTAGTTGTGCTTCCCGACGACACTTTTCTTGATGACCTTGACGACCAAAAATTCATCCTGTGCCAGAGTTGTTGCTTCTGAGAAAGATTCAACGCACGAAGACCCGTGGTCTTCAGTTGTAGTAGAGAAGCAGTAAAACAAAAGAGTATTGCCAGAAGAAGTTGTGTGTGCTCAACGCCCGGGTGCTCCGCACTCTGCTTGGCGCATTCCCGTTCTCGACATCGGGAAGCGCTCAGTTTTGTTCTCTATTATGGTAAGTACAGTTCGAGACGCTATTGTGTAGGTTCTGGTAGATCTTCTTCTGCATGCAGTTGGTACGTGTCTTAGTCTTTGCATCGGAGTATCGTGTGAGTTTCTAGAAGTTGCGAATATCGTCTTCGTCGTCATTTGTCGGTTTTTTCTGGAGATGAAAGTCGTGGCCGATTATTTTTGACCGCCTTCGTGGAAAGTCTACTACGTAGAAAGCATCAGAGTGGTTTATTCGTCGTAGTAAGAAAAAGAAAAATCCAAGTCGTGCTCTTCCCGGAATTCGGTTTTCGTGAAAAAGTCGTTGGGGTAGATAAATGAACTTCGTCGTGACAAAATTAAAAATGCGCGAACTACACGTCTATTCGTGATGCGCGTAAGTGACGTGAAGCGTGAGCATTCATCATCATCATCATCATCTTGCTAGCATAGGGGAGGACTGCTAGGGGTTTTGGGACATTTCGTTTTAGTGCTTGCCCTAAGAAAGGGGTCCTCAAAGTGATTTGGCGATTTTCTGACACAGTTTGAAAAGTGCACACAGCTTTTTTTTCCTGCGGTACTCCGTGAGGGGAAGAAAAAAGACCCAACAAAGGCTCACCACAATGGTTTGGTGCAACAGGAGTGCGTTGCATTTTTGCAGGCGCGGTTCAGGGGCGGTTTCCGTGTGTGCGGCTGTTCTTTTCTCGGGCCTGACCTCCGTGTCCGCGAAGCAGGTTCATCTCCGGGGTCCGGTCCAGCAAGGAAGCGCGGAGGGAGCCGATGCCAGTGCCGCGGAAACGGGGGCAAGCGTGGCCGGGCAGACGGACAAAACGGTTGGAGATGCGGGTATAGAAAATTATGATTGTTCCAGTACTGCGGAGGTGTGAGTATCTTCAGTGTAGTGCACGATCTGCATTTTTCCGTGGCAGCACTAGCTCATCTGTCCCCGGAGTGAAATCCTAACATTGCGTCAAAAAATTCATTGCGTCAAACCCAAATTGCAAGATATCATTTCGCTGTTGGCCACCAGCCACAAAAACCCCACGTCATCCGCTTTACAACACGGAGAAAATCGTGATGTGCTGACGGAAAATCTCGATGGGGAAAAGGGAGCTGTGGTGACTGACGAGGAAGGGGAATTCAGTCCGGAAGGTGGACCGCAGGAGATGCAGGAAGTAGTGGGAACGGCTGACGATGGTATTTTGATGTGAAATCCGTTTCGTTCGTGCATCAAGCAAAACAGCACTCCGTTTCTTTTCAACAAAAATCCGCCCCCGCATTAAAATCAGAAACTTCGAGGTTTCACCCACTTGCATTACCAATCGCAAGAAACAGAAAGAAACCCACCATATTCCAGATGCTACCACCAGCAAACGCACGGACGAAAACCTCGTTTCCGCTTTGCAGAAAAACACGATGAAAACGTCGACAACTACCAGCGCAAACGCAGCACCCGCATCCGACGCGGTGGCAACAAGTGGGGACGAAGCTACTGCTGATCCCCGAGATGGAACCATCGACGCACCGAGCGCTTCGCCACCGGGGGAACTCTTGCAGGGAAACGTCACTTCCTCGATGCCGATCCAGCGCAAGTACTCGGAAGCGGAGTTTGAAGCCGATCTGTTGGGGTTCCACAACAGCACGAATCCCGAGGAGCGGACGCAGTTGTTGGCGAAAATCAGCTATCCCGTGCAGAAGTATCGCACTAGAATAGATGGTAACTTTGCATGGAAAAAACCACCTTTATGCGGCCCAATTTTGCACCATACTGTTTACTCGGACACATTTTTTTCTTTTGTAAGTGCGGTAGTTGTGCAATGCATATCAGCATGAAGTACAACCTTCCGAGCAATCTGGTGATCATGTACGCGCAGGGCTTGGCGGACGGCATGACCCTGCGGTCCTTGCAGCAAGCCAGTGAAAGCGGCGTCGAGGGGCGGTTTGTCGAGCTGGACTTGAACGCCGACGGCGTGTTGGCCGGAGAGGACGAGACGGTATCAAAGAGATGAAGGGTCCATCACCTCTATTTACCTTGGCAGTGTTATCTACTTTTGCATTTTCCTGAATTGAATTTGCATCGCAGATCTCGCGCTCCGGTATCGTGCTATCAGTTGCGTTACTGAGTTACGTGCGAAACGGAGCATGATGTGGTTTTTGATGGCTGCAGCGGCAGCAAAGTAAAAACCGCAAGGGTCAGAACAGGTGCGGACACTCTTTCCTCGCGATAGACAAGGAATGTTCCGATGAAGGATGTGGACACGTCGGAAGACGGGAAACTGCAGTACCCGGAGGTGGTGCGGTACTGCGGGGGTGCTGGGGAAGCGAAGACAGTGGCGTTTTTACAAATGTCTCCATCCCCTGGGCAAATCGCGACTAGTGGTCCCACGGGCGGAGGCCCGAATACTGCGGGCGTGTGCCGTCGATACGAAAGAGACGACGAACTAACCGTAACTCATCTTCAGTCGAGATCAAACACAAACATGAATTTAGCTATTCGTGTTCCCGGTGTTCCTCGTCCACATTTCGTGCGTGCACAAATTCAAAAAACTCAAACCATGCGAGATCTGCCCGTTCTCTGGAAGGTCGTACAGGAAGAATCATAGAAGGGGCTTCGAATCCCGCAGTTCAGAAGCGGCCCGCTCCGGCGGGCTCAGGTGTCCGGCCTCGCTCATCCAGCGAAGAGGATGCCTTCCGAGGTTTTTTTCTCTTCTGCCCGCTGCCACATGAGCTACGCAGGCGCAGCTGCCCAGCCGCTCACACGGTAGGGACGCGTGTGACTGCCTGCGAGGCGGCGCGCTAGCCCCCTGACTCGACGAGGCGATCTTTTCGGCCTGGACAAGTGCGCGTAGCGCCGCAGACTCTCGGTCACCCAGCGGACCTCTCCAGGGGGCTCGCGGACGGGACCGCGCTAGCAGAGGCGTCCTGCCTCTCGTGCCAATACGTAGATGTTAGGTGTCGTAACAGTGACGCGCACGACGAAAAATGTAGCTGCCCTCAAGGGTGTTCTCGGACCTTGATCCCACACTTTAGTAAGGGAGTTACGGCGAAGTTCAAGGCTATTCATTGGCGACCCGGGGAAGCCGCGTAGGCGATGTAATAATTTCACACCTAGCTGATACTTTCAACCCAGAAGCAGCGGCACGGGAGAGATATCGTAGCGAAAAATGTCCCAGCTCCCGCCTTCGGACAAGAAGACTGAATATTTGCTTGCCTCTGTTGCCCGAGTCACTACCTTGAGTGACCTTGCAAAAAAAAGGCCAAGCCTTGCACTGGCGCGGCAGACGGTTTTCTTCTCTATGGCCGAAAGATAAAATGCCCAGATTTCGTATGTACATTTCGTGAGGTCACGAGCGTTCTAATAAATCTAGCGGTTTTGTTGGCCGACAGCCAGCAAAATGGCCGGAAGGGTTTTTACACGTAGAAAAGTCGTAGTTCTTACGTGGGTCTGGGTTACCTGGCACCGACCGAATCGACCGCGGAAAGTACGGCTCACCGTTTGGAAAAACGAGACAGCTGAGCCGGCAAATGCGGCGCCCTTCTGTTGAGGCGCCCGCCGCGTTAGATTCTGCCGACTCGGGGCGGCCAAAAAAGGACGACAAAAAAATTGCGACGGGGGAAATACAGCGCGCCCGCATGGTCCGGGCCTCATTTTCGTCAAGAGCCGGAGGCCAAAAAAGCCGCGAAGCAGGCCGGCCACTTTCAATGCGGGGGCAAGCCAAAAGGCGAGACCGTTCAACAGAACAACAAAAGACCAAAAAAAGCTGGCCCCGCCGAAAGCTAAAAGCCACGCCGCTTGCTACGGGGGGGGGCCCGATTTGGGACGCCCAAGGGGCCGGCCCAGGCAGAGGCCCAGGCAGAGGCCCAGGCAGAGGCCCAGGCAGGGTCATAGCACGCGAGGAAGGCTTTGTGTTTCGGGCCGTAATGGATGGCGACTTTGGGCCGCGACTTGTTTCGGCCGCCCTTCCGTCGTGCATAGCATTAGGCGCGGGGGCGTGGCGCGAATCCAGGTTGCGTCGTTTTTTGGCTTGAAGAGAAGAAAGCCGCTTCAAACTCTAACTCACTACACCAGCCGGCGGCCGGTATTGGTATTACTCCACTGGCGAGACGGGGTCGGAGAGCAACACTCTTGGTGTGCGTTCTTTTCAGGGTGGGGCTGCGGCATTTTTCACAAACATACCTTGGAGGAGGAGCGGAAGGATTACGTCTTGGAGAATCGTTAGTATAAATATGAGGTGGTCAATTTTTGATACTAGTGATTTGGTAGTGCGCGATATTGAAACTCGTGCGCGTGCGCATGATGTCGGCACTGTGTGACCAGCTGCTTGCGGCTGTGTAACTGGTTTCGTCCCTACGTAAAGCATATGAAAGACGACGCTGATGCAGGAACAGCAGCGCTCGCTGTTTTGGGCTCTGCGCACACATGAAGTTTTTTTGCGTTCTAGTGCACGCTCGCGCTTTTGCTGTGGGGGTGACCGTGAGTACTTCGAAGTATTTGCAGCGGGCGGCGCTTCGTCGCGAGGCAATAGCAGAACTTAGTTGTCGTCTTTTTCGCTTCCGAGGAAACTCTCAAAGGAGGTTCAAAGCGAAGAAAAGACTGACAGTTTGCGCCAGCTACAGGTGCACTGTTTCTTCTCCACAGGTCAAGCAACATAGTGACAAGATGCAACATTGACGTGCCTCCGGGGAATGGAACGTAAGGCGCGCATGTGCATTTTTAGCGCTTCGCCGCTGCCGCGTCCGCGTCGGCATCACACCCCCAACCGTCGTTACTGCTTCCGAGGGAGCCTCAGCGTGACGCCCCCGCAAAACGCTCGGTCGCGGATTAGTGATGCACGCATAAGAGCCCGCCGCTCATGGAGACAAATGAATCCGCAAGAAGGGCGCGTGTAAAAATGAACGAAAGGGTCCGCAGCTTCGGGGCCTTTCTCGCTCTTTAGACGGGGACGTGGCATAGAGGTACTAGCGCAATTCTGTTTATGTTACCGAATTTGATACGGTGAAGACAATCAACAACGCAGAGAAACGCGGGCGAAGTGAATGCTGGCCATCTTTGATGTAGAACGGAACTAGGCCTAGTCTTAGGGCGTTTCTCGTTGCAGTCAATCTGTGGCGACTAACGCAACAGCCTGCGGGGGTAAAAATTCGGTGTGGAGGGACAATCAAACTCTGTCTTGAAGCACCATGAAACTTCGTACATCAGACCACATTCATAGTGATCGTCACATTACGACTACAGACCGGGACTCACAATGGGAATGGGCCTCATATTCATTCATCTCGATCAACATCCTGACTCAAAATTTGGCCAACAAATTTAGCCCGTGATTTGCATGAGCATTCAATTTAGGTCGGTGGGAATTTTGTTTGGCTGAAGATCCTGAAGGAGGATTTCATATCTTGGCCTACAGTTTATCGAAAAGGAGGAGCGGAGTCATGCGCTTTTTTTTTCGCGCTTTTCTTCGCTTGTATCCTGGTGTGGGTAGTTTGCACAGCTATTATCACCTTTTCCTGCTAGTGCTTAGCGTCGATTGATTCTCATGAAAAGTTCACCAAAAATTCACCACCTCTAACGCTAGCACGTGTTTACAAGCTGGATAGATAGCAGCATATGCGGCTCTTGGGTTGGAACTTCCCCCGCACGTACCATAGCAAATAGTGTCCCCATCTCCGGCCACCTTGTTCATCTTCCCCGGCTATTAAACTAGAATTGGTCTGGTCGATCATTGCATGAATATATAAATATGTTATAAAAAGAAAAGCAGAAGCCCACATGAGTAGTACCAGTAGAAAATGAGCAGAAGCGATTCATTGGCGTATGTGAATCAGACTTGTGACGAGGCTCTGAGCCCAGTATCAGTTTCAGATGTTGGAATTAATTTCGGTTCGGGACGAGGGCACTTTTCAATCACACAACGGATCATTCGTGCCTGCGAGGAATGAAGATTTGGGCGTGGGGAGGTATGAAGGAATGTAAGAAGTGGCATTGGACCGTAATTCCATTTCAACGTGTTGTTCAGCTGCTTTTCTATTTTTGATTGTTTTGATGTCGAAATATTTTCGCTAAGACAATAAGTCAGCATTTGCAGAAAGTTTTCCTCTTGTTAACACCTTTCACCTTTCACCCTGAAATCAAAAAGTTTTACTTAAGCTTTACAGACGAGGTCTCGTTTCCGCTTTGCGGAAGAGGACGATAAAAAGCGTTGAGTACATTTCATGTTCGGAGATAGTTGAATGCTCAGTGTGTATGGAGCATCTCACTTTTTATGCACATTTTCGCTAGACCTCAGAGCCCTTCGCCCCGTGATTACCTTTGCAAAACGCTTGAACTCTACACATTTGGATTTTTGTCGTGGTCTTGAGTTGTAAAACATAGAGAATCTGTAAAATATTTGTAGTAGTCAACGCCCGGGTGCTCGACGCTCCTGTCGCATTCCCGTTCTCGAGCAAGGGAAGCGCTTCATTCCTCCGTATCATCGCACAGGTTGAGATGGTCTTTATGGTGTATGAAAAAAATATGGTGCTGGCTGTGCAGACGTTCCCGCCGTGTATTGTCCCAGAACAGGACTCTGAGACTCCATGCGTCTGCATTTCATTCCTCGTCGTACTTGTAATCCCTCGCTCGGAAAATCGTTTTCAATGCAAGAATAATATTCGCTGTGTGTTAAGTATTTATTGTTCTAGCCCGTCGTCGGCAAGTTTGAGACTTTACCTTTAGTTCGGTAGTCGTGGTTATTTCGCTAATTCGTCATGCTCGATGTCGGAATCAATTCGTCTCAAATTCACCGCACGCTCGCACTGCAAGACGTGAGAAATTGAAAATTCTGGCGCCTGGTCCTATCACTTCAGCCTCGTTCACGCACCGTAGAAGGAAAGCAAGTCAAACCCAAACCATTAGAATTAAAGCGTACTGAACGCAGCCTCTCTTGGCTCTCAATTTTTCTTCGACATACTTAAGGATAACGATCGAGACCGGACAAAATTTCACCTGCTAAATCTCCTTTACACCGTAAACATCATTGCATCGCTATGGTTTATCTCACCGTGTGCCGCGTGGGCGAGGACCTGGAGTTCGTTGCGGGAAAATCCGGCTCGGAGGTGAAGTTCACCCACAGTCGGCAACGGGGCATGTGCGTCAACGAGTTCTACGGCACGCGGCAGAAGGGACGGTATGAGACGAGTATGAGTTTGACCACAAATATCTCACGGAAAAGTACACCGAGACTGAGGAAAAATAAGTTCGTGTTGCTAGTGTGTTCGCTTCTCTGAAAACTGAGTAATGCGGAGACCACAAGAAAGGCAGCCTGCCGCTACACAGAATGCACTTTGTAATTCCTTTTGGCGATTTAGACAGAGCCACGCAGACGATTTGTCATGCTGAACATACTTTTCTGTAGGATGATGAGTGCGAAAAAATTCGTGGTGGAAATCAACCGCATCGACTGGGGAAAAAAGGTTGACAACTCGGACACGGTAGACGAAAGTACCGCGAAGGGCCGCTTGTTCTTATACTACGGTACTGCGAATAAACTGAGATGTTTCTTCATCTCTCGTCTGTGACTAATTAATGAAAAAACTTCTCTGAAGATAGTGATATGTATATACGGATTTTCCTCCCGCAAATCTTCTCCGGGTCGGTTTCTTTCCTGATGTACGGCCAGAACTATTACCCTCACCTTCGCAATGAAACGCAGGCACTCTGAAGAACCAACCGGGGGGCAACTTGTGGCGGATGGAGGTGCCGCTCTCTGGCGTTAGCTCGGTCGAACCGGTGGGCGACACTGCGACGGAGCTGCGCTTGCGGCTGACATCCGGTGCCGGCGCAAAGCGGCGAAGAACGTCGGCGTCCACCCCCTACGTGCGGGGCGCCGGCGGTCCGGTCCAGTGGTGGGAAAACGTGCACGCGACGTTTGGGCCGTACGGGCAGAAAGGCGGGCGCTTCACGCCCATCGATGCGCTGCACGACCAGGCGGACGGCGGCTCTTTGGAAATCGTCTTGGGTTTCGAGCTATCCAGTGCAATGAATACCTGTCGAGGTCGTGGTCGGGATAGTAGTGCTTGTAGTGCTAGTGGTGTGGGGCGGGTAGTTCCTGTGGGCACGGGATAGTTCATCTTGTGTGCACGCAGCAAAAAATTCCTATATACACACAGCAAACCACGAGATGATGTCTTTTCGACCTTATGTATTGCGTCTTGCGCAACAAAATAGTTGTGGAGCTTTATGTTCGTCTCGACCAATAGATACCTTTTAGCACTGGATACGAAACTCCCGGAGCGGCAGCGGCGACGCTGGACCTGCTCTCTAAAAAGCCGGCGGCGGGCGGGTGTACCGCGGACGCGAAAAAGGGGGCCGATCCCGGCGCTGGTTCGGGGCCAGGCCACGAGCTGCGGAATGCGACCGTGGTGTTCTCGGGGCTGATGCCCGGGGAAGAGACGCGCTTCAAGAAGGCGATCGAAGCGCAGGGCGGTCGCGTTACCTCCGCCGTGTCTGGGAAAACTACCTTTTTGGTCCGGGGCGCCTTTGCTGGCCAGACCAAGTACAAAAAGGTGCAGGAGCTGGGAAACAAGGGGATTATAGTGAAAGTCGTGACACCGGAAGAGTTCGAGCAGATGATTTGAATGGGGTGCTGCTCTCTTCCCGCTCCCGAGTCGTACTTCCGCAAACTAATGCTCTTAGCGCAAAGAATAAGCAGTTGCTGTTATTTATGCGTGCGCCCCATTTAAATACTCAAAATGAAGATCAAAATCAATGTGATGTTTGTCGTGTTTCTTTCTTGAAGGAAAATTTAAATTGTTATTTGCGTTTCATAGCATATCATCTGTCACTTAAGAAGTCTTGTACCACTACTGCGGCTAGTATTGTGAGCACCCGAAGCGTGATAGTAAGTAAAGAGTTGCGTCTTTGTAAGATTTATTTAACCCTCGGATGATTTTCACCGTATAAAGATTGTATGAAAAGAAGTGTACTACCGTGGCTGCGCAGACACACTCACCGACTACTTTCTAAGGACAGGAGGATACTATCGCACCTCTCAGGGTTACTACAAAGTGGTGCCCTGTCACGAGTACGAAAATGGTCTCTGTACGAAATTCATTGCAAGATCGCGCTGTGAAGTTCTTGAAGACATTACGAAGTAGATCCCGACGTTGACATGCCTGATCGCTCACAAAGGATCGATGCTCACAAGAAACTGCGCCATGGGTCGCGATATCGTGGCAAAAGGTCCAAACTGCAACAGACGCGAGGATCCTCGAGAAAGATTTAGATCCACTGAAGTAAATGATCTTCGAATGCTGATGAAGGTTCTGAAATAGAAGGACAAAGAAAAAGATGGTTTCAAAATCACCCTTGACCTGCGCATGATTGCCTACGGTCATCCGTAATTTTAGTGCCACCTCTATCCGAACAGGAACGAACTATCTAGCTGGAGCGCATGGTGCTGACAGCGATTCACTGTTTCTACAACCGATTATGTGGGACTTCCTTGCTGATGGTATTTAGACAAAGACCACACTTAAACTAGAACTACAACACCGACATACGAAGTTCACGCCATTATACACCCTGCCGCACCATCGTCTCACTTGTGTCCAACCTCGAACTACTCACACCACCAGCATGTCGGCCAGCGCTTCCAGTAGAGCCCCCGCGTCCGCCGGGAACAGGGTACTACCTCCTGCAACCGACGCTACGGTGCGGTTCTCGCCGTGCGGGCAGTTTTCCCTGACGCACGCCCAGAAAAACCAGTTCAAGGTCTGGAGCACCCGGGACCAGAAATGCCTCTTCGCCCACACGGACGCGGCGGAGATTTACAATCCGCAACTCGCCGGTTGGTACTGGATCGGGAGCCGGCACATTCTCGTCCTGGGCTGCAAAACCTCCGGACACCTGCAATTCTGGGAGTTCACGGACGAAAAAGCAAACCTGCTCGGGACCTTCACTGAGGTATAATTGGGTGGGACCAGGAACAACTTCTCATATCAGATCGGACATTTTTGTAATCGTGCACAGCAGGACTCGTCTGGTCTTTGCGCGTATCTTGTCAATGCAAAGCAGACAAGCATGCGCTCAGTACCAATCGATAAATGTCACGCCAGGATGTTGTGCAACTTTTGTTCACCCCGACCGCATCTTGCATTTTGGTACTCATTTTGATTAAGTATTTGGAAGATGCACCTTGGCCTAAAAATAAATCACAGCTCGCCAACGCGGAGGCCACCTGCTTGGCAGCGCACGCGGGGCGTAACAGCGTTTTCGTCGCCACCAAGGGACGGGTTGTGGAAGCGGATGTGGACAGTCTGCAGGTGAAGCAGACGATCAAGACGAAAAAGGACGTGGTGCTGCAGATGGCGGCAAACGCAGAGCGTTTGGTGACCGTTTGCGCGACGAAGATTCGGGTACTAGAGGATTTTCTCATACTGATTTCGATTTTGCACACTACAAATTTCTATTTTTTCCCGCACACGAACACGTCGTACAAGATGCATGACAGGCTTGGTAGAGCATCCCACTTGTGATGGTGCAAAGAGTTGAAGAAAGGTTTATTTGTCATGCAGTGGACACCAACACGGTAGATCGCATTTAAAGAAGAACGACAACTACCCAGGTTTACGCCGTGTCGGACGGCACGTGCACGTCCAAATTTACCGCCCCGGTGCACGCGTGCACCAGTGTGGCGGTGAGTGGCTCCAAAATCGCGGCCTGCGATTCCACGGAGAGCGTCTCCCTGTACGACTACAACGACGAGGCGTTCGCCACCACGCTGAGCACCGGTCTGCAGCTGCCGCTGCGCAGAATCGTTGCCGTAGAACACCAGCATCAAGAACATGCGGTAGGAACATCAAGTGGTGAGACAAAGAACACGACGAGACAAGCAAACTGCTTCGTCGCCCTGACCGCGGACGGACAGCGGGGGTTTGTCTGGAACGACGTGTCCAAGGCTGCGGCGAACGCGCCGGCCATGCCCGACGCGGAGATCTGCGCCGGAAATGCCGCCAAGCCGGTATGATGTAGTTCTGGACCTTTTTTTTCGATGTATAAAAGCTAAAGCTAGAAGTGCTGGCGTTCTTTGTTAAGAGATCTAGCATTTACAACGACCCGTTTGACGAAAACCAACTGGATGAGTACTGACTTCTTCTCACGACGGACCGATTGATATGATGATGAAGATGACGGACGTTGATATATTAACAAACACGACTGACAGATTCTCGGCCTCCAGCTGCTTTCCCAGCAACATGCAGTCGCAAAAATCACCCTCGCCCGGGGCAGTCTCGTCCTGCCGGAGTTTTTGGTTGCCGAAACTTCCAATACGAAGAAAAAAATCGATCTGGAAGTAGGAAGTAGCTCGACTGTTCTTGGAGCAACAGGGGAACATCACAGCAAAGACCTGACAAATAGCAACAAGCGGACACGCGATCATCTTAAGCAAGGCGAAGAGCAGCAGCCGGACTTGTCCAAGCCAGCCAAGGTGCAGATTCTGGAGGTCGCGGCGAAGCAGGCCAAGACGCGACCCACGGCGGCGGGGGCAGGAGGAGGCGTGGGCGGGTCGCTGATCGATGAGGCCACGGTGAAGTACATGAAGGACAAGGAAGAAGCGGTCGAGCGGGAAAAAGTGGAAATTTTGAACGAGAAAGCGGCAAGCAGCAGCGCAACGGGAGCAGGGGCCGCGGGCATGATCACCGTGGTGTCCAGCGTGAAGCAGTATCTGAAGTCAAAGGACGCGAAAGGTATTTATTTTGCCCTCATAGAAAGTTTTTCCTTTCACCCTTAATGTCATTTTCTGTAGTTTTGTATTGCTTTCTATGGCGTACGTGTAGGAGGTCGTGTTTATACTTGTCATTTGTCAACCCACACACGACACCACAGCCCTGGCCACCGTGCTGTCGCAGATCGACTCGAAGGTGATCAAGCGCAGTACCGGGGAGCTCACCAGCAAGGAAGCCTTCGAGTGGTTTTTCGAGTGCCAAAAACTGCTGTCCACGCAGCCGCACCGGGCGAACACGGTGCTGGACTGGATGCGGTGCGTGCTCACCACGCACTGCAGCTACCTGCTGAGCAACCCGGAACTGAAGGACCGACTCGAGCCGCTGTACAAATCGCTCGAGGAGCGACTGCAGGCGGCGGAGCCGTTGCAGAGGATACAGGTGACGAGAAGTTTTTTATATTGGGAAATGATGTGTGTTTGTAAGCATAAGGAAAGGTGAGGCGTTCTCGGGATCTTGTTGTATATGATGGTGCGCATGATGTGGATTTATTGGCCATGCCGAACATGATGTATGACGCGAATAAACGCTTTGACGTGCCTACAACCAAGCAGGTTTTTTGTTTCCTTGTCGCACATGAAATATTTTTCATCGGTTGCAAAAAAAAACAGGGCAAGCTGGATCTCCTGCTCTGCACCGCCCGGGAACGCGCGGCCGCGCGCGCAAAGACCGACGAGGCGGCGCAGACCGCCTGCATTGTGTACGACGAAGCGCAGGATAACATGAACGGGGAAGAGAACAATGACGAGGAAGGAACCAACGACGACAGCGAACTGAGTGGTCTGGATGCCGACGACCTGGAAGGGCTACTCGATGACGACGCCTTTGACGAAGCGCTTCTTGCATAAACGAACTACTGCTGCGATGAACCAAAATGCAGGAGTAGAGACCATGACCACCTGAATCATAATATTACAACGCTGGTAGTTTTAAACTTAAACGCAAAGCGAATCTTCGCGAGCATGAAGATTGATGATAAAATAAGATCCATGTGGAGTTGTTCGCTCGTGCTTGTGCTTTTCACTGTGTTTACCTACCACTTTGATTCGGTTCGCTAGGATCACTAGAGGCGCGTGCTGGCCATTTAGAGAACAAGAGAAACAGACCAAATTCCACTGCCCAAAGAAGCCCTTGTGCAGTCGTCATTTTTGCTGCGTCTTTTCTGTTTTCTGTCGTCCAAGAGAATTCCAATGTCGTGTCGTTCTGAAGATATCTTTTCGCTTCCTCGTTCGTCGGTTCATCTGCAAGCCACATTTCCTCGTACTGTGGTGCTTGGTTTAATGAAGTTTCTGCTTCGGTCATTTTCGTGTTCTCCAGAACGGTTGGTCGGTCATGTAAAGGATTTTGCTCCGTCTTCGTTCGGTTAGACTTTTCGTTCCTGAAGCAAACGCTATTGTTTCAGATGCAAGCGTCGTCCATTTCGTACCAAAAAACATTTGAGGTTCTCCTACCACCACCCGCTTTTTTGATATGTCACCTTCCGTCTTTTCGCCACAGTAGTTCCCCCTGTGTACTACAGAGTTCCCCCTGGACGTATATTCATTTTACAGTAGAATTTAGCTTCCCCCCGTCTATTTTGCTACAGCTACACCAGAGAAAATTTTTTTACTCTACATTAACATGATTTATTTCCTGGGCACAGGCAGATTCCTGCCTGCTGAGATAAACCATACGAAGTAGTAGTAGATGATAGAAATTTTTTACTTCGGCCCGTGCGACCCACGGACTGCCCGGAAAAAGTGAAGGCGGGATGATACAATTGTGTTTTAGAAAGGTAGGTACTCTATGTTCTGAACTTGCTACAGTTTTCCAGTTGTTATGAATAGTTTTGTGGCAGGTCGCGGTCCCGCTCATTGAATTTATTGTAGCAATTGACGTCGCTTTTTCTCTTCTTTTTATGCTACTATGAAGTCTACTTTTGCGCAACATCATAAACGCAGTGCCTTCGGGCAGCGACGCTCAGTTGCTATCGACAGAAAACTTTTACACGTGGTTTCAAGGAGAAGTCGCTCGTCCAGCGGAAGCAAGCGCATGGAAGAGGAGCCCTAGAAGATTCTTCATTTCGCCCATCACAAATAACTTAAATCTTCTAAGGGCTTATATTCCATGCTAGCCGACAAGTTTCGCAGCGCGCTCGCGGCGCAGAAGGGGGCGACGACGCCGGCAGGTACAACAACCGGTGGCGAGAACAAGGGCCTCGTTGTTAGTGCTGCCTCTTCCGCCCCCGGGCCACCACCAGCGAAATCTAGTCCGCTCGGTCCGGGCGCCCGCGGCCTGCTGGCGGTGGTGGCGGAGGTGCGGCGCAAGGCCGCGGAGGGCAGTCCCATGATCCCGCCGAAGGTGCGAGGGCCCGGAGAATCTACTTCAAAACCCAGCGCAGCTGCGCAAGAGACCTCCTCCACGACGAAGCCACAAGCTACTTCGAAGGGAGCTGCTCGTCCTGCGAAGGACGCAAAACCGCAGGCGCGTCGTGTTGCCGTGAGACCCGCGTCCAAGGCGGCGTCTAAAGCTTCCTCCACTTCCCGGTCGCGGTCGCCCGGGAGTCTATCAAATGTAAAAATGTCTGGGTCTGGAAGAATTCATGCTTGTCATGCTTGTTCGGCATGACTCTTAAATCTGTCATGCACGTTACCCAAGAGCTCCGTTTCTCTGTGATGCAGAAGCGCAGTTTGTCATGCAGAATAGAGAACACCTAGGAGCTGAGAAACTTGTCATGCTGAGCCAGCATTTGTTGAGCTGGGCGACCTCAGATGGCACCCCCGTCCCGATTTTCTCTTGATTTTTTTAGATTTTTTTTTCAAAAAAAAAATTTTGATGGTCACTCGTCGTCGGGTGACAACGTTCGCTGGCCAGCCGCGAAGCTAGGCTGCACTATTCTACTAGACCCCTCTCGTTCTAGTACTGCTTTTATTTGCAGCTTGTCCGCATTACAAATTGCTGCTTTCTTGTCTACTTCTAGCGACCTTTTTCGGTATCCTTTAGAAGTGGTGACGTATCCTCACAAAAAGTGCTCACTTTTGATGGCCAAAAGTGAACTCCAAAAAAGTCATACTTTCCCATTTTTACCTCAAAAAAAAAGTCTCTCGATTTTCTAGAAGGTGAAACCGAAAAAGACCCCCAATAATTGAGAATATAAGTGGGAGAGGAGACTTTTTTCTAGACTTTTTTTTTGGGTATGCAAGGTCGGAAGGCGAAATCGAGGAGGAAAAGCAAGAGACTTTTTTGGAAGCTCAAAAGTGATCATTTTTGGCTTCCAAAAATGAGCACTTTTTGTGAGGAAAAGTTGAGGCTTGCTTTGGTGAGTGTTTCACGAGTCCACCATACCACTTGGAATGGCATCGATGCAGCATACCACACAGCTTCGACTCAACAGAGGAGGTGGGAAGGCGAAGCCGCCTTAGAAATTCACCGGACGACGTGAGTCGCAACCTTTCTCCCAATGCAAAGCAAAGCGAAAAATTGCAAATTTTTTTTGTAAAAAAAAATCTCAAAAAATTGAAAGAAATTCGGAAGACTTTTTCCATCTGAGGCGCCCAGCTCAACATTTGTAGCCTCATCATGAGACGCCACCCAGCATCACAAGTTTCCAGACCCAGACATTTTTACATTTGATAGAGTCGGCCGCCGAGCAAACCCTTGACGCCGCGCACCGGGATATCCTGAGTAAAAGCGTACCCACACCAGAGTTGTAATGCAGATTTGCGATGACAGGAAGACTTGTAATGCGCATCTCCATGAGAGGCATTACCAGTCGTGTTTTGAAATTTGTAATGCTGCAAACAGGATAAGAAGATGGATTTGTGATACGTTTTTCCTTGCTAACATGCACTACACTACGGACTGCAACTTGTCATGCGTGGCTCACAAAGCTTCTAGGTGTGTGTTGCAAAATCCCCATCCTGACTCTGGTGTGGGTACGTTTTTACTCAGGATACGGGAAGCACCGGCTGGCGGCCCAGAAGCACACGCAGCCGCGGATCAAGCACATGCGGGACCTGCACGCGCGGCTGGACCAGGTGGAAAAGCTGTTGCAGGCAACCGCCCGGGCCTCGCAGGTGGACCGGTTGCAGGAGCTTTCTGGAGGTCTTGCGACGTCGGGCAATAGCGATAATAACAAAGGCGGTTTATTTTTGTCCTCCTCCGAAAAAAATCTCTTTGGACCTGCAGTTACCACAGACCCGAATAGAAGTTTATTGCTGAACCTGCCCCAACAAGCGACTACAACATCAACGGCAATTTCTACTAATTTCGCGTCGCCTGCTGCTCGCGCGGGCGCGCGCCCCGGTTTCTGGCGCAACCTGAGCCACCAGAACCTTCTCACGGCGGGGGCGACTGGTGCGACGACCACGACGACCCGCAGTGCGCATTCCGCGGCGGCACTGGCCAAGGCGGCGAAGGCTTTCCGCACGATGTCGAGTTCCAGCGAGTTGCTCCAGCAGCCCCCGTGGAACGCCGGGGCGGCGAACGGGAGGAGCAGCGACGGGAGTGGACCACCAGTTGTGATGTCCTCGACCACAAATCAACATAGCAACGCAGCAGCGAATTCTAGAAGGTCCAGTCCCAGTGCGCGGTTTTCCGAGCTGTTTCAGAACAGCAAACAGTTGGCCGGGGCGGAGGCTCCGAGTCGTGGTCGGGGTTCTCCGAAGAGATCGGGACGAGTCGAAGATCACCTACTGCACATGGAAGGAGAGGAAGACCAGGAGCGGCGATCCGCGGTGCTGGAGCAAATTGACACGATTCGCGACACGATGCACGAGCTGGATCTGCTCCAGCTGTCCGGGAAATTGAGGCACGAGGAAGACATTGATTTCTTTTCGTCGGAAAATATGAGTACGACTCCTGTTCCTCGAAGACCTGCTCCCGCGGAAGGTTTAGATGAAGCACGAAAAAGTAGGACAGAAACAGCGCCGGGTTTGATGTCGGGTACTAGTAGTTCTACTTCGCCTCTGTCGGAACAAGAAAAGCGGCTTTTTCAACAATTATTGAAGACCCGTCCCGAGTTGGTCAGCCTGCTGCAGGAGGTGTTGGCTGGGGGCGCTAGTGAAAGAATATCATCTACTCGTGAGGACCAGCTTCGTGGGCCGGCAGGAACTACAAGTCTTCAAGGTCGGAGTTCGACGGGGGGTGGTCCTGCTGTTCTTGGTAGTTATGATCTGCCAAGAACTTCTACTGCTGGTCCGGAACAAGAACTACAAACTCCAGAGCACCAAACGATCGCGAGCGCGGTTGCCGCGCTGACCAACGTGCGGCCGTACGGGCTGCAGTACCGCCCACCCCATCTAGTGATCAACTCGCCGCACGGAGAAGAAGACGAAGTTGGACACCAGCTAGAGACCACCACCAGCACGAAGCAGGTTCAACAACATAGTAGACGACCCTCGCGGTCGCCGGAAGGGGAAGCAGTCCACGACGGCCCTGGAGGTGCCTCCGACGGCTTGCATCTAGTTTCGGGGGAAAACGGCAGCGAGGAGGAGTTTCATTTGCACATGCTCGAGCGTGCGCGGCGGAGTTCCAGGCTGCAGTCCGCGGCAGAGATTATTTTTCCTCAATTAGCAGAAGCAGTAGATCAATACGACGAGCAGAAGCTGCGAAGCACCGTCAGCATGTCGTACCAAAGTGAGACGAACCGCTCCTATATTGTGGTCCCGGGAGCAGAGGAATGTTTGTGATGCGTGCAAGCAAGAAGTTTATTTAATGGACGAAGCGTTGTAGTTGCATTTTGATTTTGTTTTGCTTTTGGTTTTTTGTTTTCTTGTAGAGAGCAGGTGCAAGCAAAAGCGAAACTCGTCATGTAGAAGCTGAATGGCGCCGAATTAGAATGAAAAAAGTAGAGGCACAGCTTTGTAGGTCGTGCAAGGCGGGACGAAAAATGCAATAACTGTCCATGTGGAAGAAATAAAGCTTTGCTCGTCATCAACATCACATCTTTCTTTCCACTTCTGGGACAACACTGCTGAGGGAGAGCTTTTCAATTGGATATTGCTGCTGAAAATACGCTGAGCACCACGAGCCAGCTGGACGATATTGCCCGGCGGATGGCCGGGCTGCGCAAACTTGTGGAAGAGGCGGTCGCGTTGGGCACGTTAGCGCCGGAAGATGCGGTGGCGCTGCAGCAGGCCGGCCTTTCAAGACTGCGCACACGGGAGGGCAGCCAGGTAGTAGGAGAAAATTGCTTTCAAGATAATGGTCTTCTAGTTCTGTTAAAATTGTTGTGAGTAAGTAGGTAGAACAAGATTGCCGTGTTGATACTCGATATTGATTCGGTCGCGCTTTTTTCGTACGCGAAGTATGTAGCTGCTTGCAAAGCAAATTGATACAGAGCCTCTGAAAAAATGGGATTTTTGCAGTGTTTCAGGAAAACTGAGTGCGGCGTGTTACTTATTTTGCTCACGTTTTCTAGTGCCCAGCGTCGCTGACGTTCCCTAAAACTACTATTCGAACAATAAAACACATTGCAGTTTTCGCAGACCAACACCAGTATAATCTCCGGATTGTCGCTTCCGAGCGACCCCCCGAACCCCAGGTTTAGTGGGATGCTGTCCCGGGCGTCCCGCGAGGAGAGCCCGCCAGTTGCTCCTGAGCGCATGTCGCTAGAGGTTCCACAGCTGCACACGACCGCAACGGATGTCGCCGTGGAGATCGCGCCCGGGAACGACTACAAGCGAGAACGTAACAGTGATGCGGAACAAGAAATTAAGACAGGGACGGGTCGTGGCTCTGGACCGCAAGATGAAGAAAGCCGCGGCGATATGATTTCTAGCCCGGAGATCGTCGCATCTACTAACAATTATATCAACACCGTTAATACAAGGGACAAAAACACGACGACCGCCGGTGTTCCTGCTGCCGTGCCTGCCGCTTTTCGCCGGCACGCGGCGAAAAACAAAACTGGAGGGCCAGGACGAGGTAATATTCCACCATCTTCGGCGAGTGGGTTCTTTGTGCAACTTCCGGCGAAGGGCGTGGTGCACCACGCAACGAAACTGGCCGACCGCACCCCGAGTCCCGCCTACAGCCACAAGATGGCGGCCCTGCAGCGCGAAGAGTCGTCGCAGGACCACACGCCGCGGCAGGCCTGGAGCCTCCACGGCACGCCACGCAAAGAAGGAGTTGTTCCCCGCGCAGGGAGGGCGGGGAAGAGTAGTAGTCTGCGTGTGTTATCCGCGATTCAACGGCGGGATCGAACGCCGCGGAAGGCGCCGACGCCACGTGTTTTTCACGCGTCGCCTGCTGCGCGGCCGGTTTCCACCGCTTCCCCCAGAATAAGTCCGGCGACTGCATCAGCGTTCGCGTCGAGAAGTCCCAGAGGAGGTACTGGCACGTTGACCCCCACTTCCCGACGAGAACAAAGAACAAGCCCCCGGGCGATCACCACGAACAAGCCCTTGACTCCCCGCACGATGTTGAGTCGCACGACACCCCAAGTACTTCAGGCGAGCAAAGTGAAGCCCCGGTTCGCGCAGCCGACCGAACAGAGCGCGCGAAAGCTTTTCGCGCCGGATCGCCTCCACGACGGGCGGGCTACGGGCGCCGCCGCGCGTGTCGGCTCCATGCACATCACGACGTATCAAAAGGAAAAATCCCCCCTCCCCATATCAAAACGGAAATCTGTGATGCAGAGTTGTCACAAATCAGCTTTGTCATGCTACACGGGAAAAGATGCGGACTGTAGTGCTGGGTGGCGTGGGGAAGCCTTGCATCTTCAGCATGATAGGAGGCATCTGAGAGTGGGAAACAGCATGACAAATTGCCTGCAAACGAGGCCACGACTGCGGCTCTTGGCCTTCTAGCATGACAAGTCGATTTGTGACCTCGAATACAGCATCACAAATTTCGTGTTCGATATGGGGAGGGGGGATTTTTCCTTCCGATACGACGCCGGCGCACATCACGCCTAGCGGTACCAGTGCAACACCTTACAACGCCGATCCGCCTTCTAAGCCGCTTCTGGAGGTGGATCATCAGGCGCCTACAGGCTTTTTGCATCACCGAACCACCAAGCTGAAAACCGGCGGGGCAGCGACGAGGAGTGCTGAAATAAACCTTGGACCGGCCACCACCTCCCAGCCCCGCGAAGAGTGGGTCGGGCCCATCGACCAGAGGTTGCAGGAGAGAATCAACGCGAGCCGACACAGGATCGCCCAAGGGCGGCTATCAAATGTAAAAATGTCTGGGTCTGGAAGAGTCATGCTGTTTCTGCATGACACAGAAGGTCTGGCATGGCAGCTCTAGCATCACAGGTTTCGAGAACCTTCCGCAATGCCGAATCCGCATGACAAGTCCCCTATTTTGGTGACAGAAAGTGAGTAGCTTTTGCTGCCTGTGCATCAGAGATTTTTGTGTGTTCTGAAATGCGCATCACAAGTTACATCCTTCCAGACCCAGACATTTTTACATTTGATAGCGGCGGAAGAACGGCAAGGTGTTCGGCGAGATGGAGGACGACACCGCCGCGAGCGTGTACTTTTTCAACCAGATGTTTGGAGCAGCTGCGGAGAACGTCGATCGGGGGATCTTTCAACGACCAGCGGGTCGTGAAGAAGCTGGAGCCGCAGCACCGGATCAACAAAAATCTTACAAAAGCGCCAGCCTCAACGAGGTTGACGACGAACAGGCGTTCCGGTCCCGCGTGGTGCAACTGCTGACCCAGGTTGCGTCGCAGACCTCGTCCTCCGCCGAAAATAACAAACCGCGGTCTTCGGAGAGATTCACGAAGGAGTCGTTTCAGGCCGTGGACTTGAAGCCGCCCGTGTCGGTCGGCGCCTCGGGGATTGAAGAACTGCGGCGGGAGCTGCGCGCGAGTTTGCTGGAATCCCGGCTGCTGGACGCGAACGGGGACATTCCGGAGGACCAAAAGTTCCGTCTCCAGGTGCTGAACGGGATCGTGCTGCTCCTGCAAATGCAGCAGGAGCAGGCTGTTGCCACGAGGATGCGGGATACTAGTAGTATGCTGCGGAGCCGGAGTCCTGGCAGTCCGAATGGTGGGGATTCCCTCGCAGCGGAGGAGGTGACGGGCGTGAGCGGAATTCTGTCGCCGGAGCACCACGCGCTGCTCCGGGCGATGAGCGAGTGGTCCTCGTCTCCGGGGGGGACGGGGTTGAATAGCAGCAGCAGTATCTTCTTCCCGCAAGGGGGAAGTAGTAGTACAACCGCGAAAATGATGAATGGCAGCAGCGAGCGCGAGAAGAAGTTGTTGGCGCAACTGGAATCGCGGACCACGTTCGACATGTCGGGTGGGGACGACGCAGGAGCTGTGAGCGAATTTCTGAAGTTCCCCAGCGCGGTCGTGGACCACCACAGCGGGGGCGGCACGCCACCGCAGGAACAGAGCAGTCGGGAGCTGCCCTCGCGGGGCGGCAGTGCGCTTTTGGGACGACCTTCTGGAGGTGCAGGTGCTCACAGTTACAAACGTGTCTCGGTCGACGTGGACAATGATGTTCATCTTCACGGAGCAGGAGTTTTTGAAAGGTCGAACAAAAAAAACGGTGAGCAGCAGCAAAAGAGAACATCAAGCGCTTTGTTCTCTTCCGACGGCGCGCATCATAATTATCCCAGGTTGTCTGCGGCCGAAGCTGCAGGTAGCCCTGGACCATGGGGGCACCAGGGAAGATTATCCCTAGGTGGTCGGTCGCAAAACCAGGAAGATCATGTGCGGTTCTCGGGAACGAGCCAAGGAATTACTGGCGGGGAAGATAATAGACCACAGCAGGGCACCATTAACGCATCTTCCATAAATCGCGTGTCTACAACAAGCGGACCTACCATCGTGGATAATCACCGAACCACGGGGTCAGCCACGATTGCAAGTATGCGCGCGGAGGATCAACAGCACCAGAGTACCACCTCTAAAGCGTCTTATAATCTTCGTACTTCCGGTCCAACGACAACCGCTCCCGTGGCCCGATCGCCCAGCTCCCGGTCCCCCTCCCGGTCGTCCGCGGTCTCCCTGGGCGGGCAAACTCGGGCGTCGGCGCTGCGGGCGGGCAGGGCGGTGCCATCCGTGTCCAAGCAAGCCAAGCAGGTGGTGGTGTCCAGGGGGTCCCTGAAAAAACCCATGGGACGGGGCAGCGTGGTCGCGAACCCGGTTATTTCGTCGGGAAATCTCAATAGTAAACGAAGTTCCTCGTCGCCCAAACGCTCGGCGGGAGCAGGAGCGCCGGAGCAGAAGGAAGGAAAGAAACTAGCAGGAACAAGAACTTCCAGCACCAGAAGGTCCGGCTCTCTGTCCAGCAGAGCGAGCTCCGCGTCGCGAAAAGGAGGCGGCACAAAAACCTCCGGGAGCAAATCGCGGAACCACACTTCTACCGTCACAAGAACGAGTGGGACGAAGAAGACGAGCCTAAGACAAGCCGAGCGAAAAGGAAGTGCAGCAGTACAACCAAATCACGAGGACACCGACTACCCGGGATTGGTGCGGTCCAGCGTGAACACAGTCTACACCCTGGCCGGGCGGCTGGAAAGCCCCTTCGTCCACGGGATTCCGCAGCTGCGGGCGCACGTGTCGCAGCAAGCGCTAAGGAAGGGAACGAATGCGATCAAGGAAGTCGGCGCATTAGCCTACAACCGGCACCAATTGCTCAAAGCCTCGAAAATCAGCGGCGTGGCGTTACTGACCCCCTCTGGGCCGCAGCCGCTTGTGTACGATCCGAATTTGATGTTAACGTTGACAAGAACGTCCAACACAAACTTTTCGAAAGACGAAGCCGAAGCGCGGGCGGACGAAATTCTTTCCTCCGCGCGCGGGCACTCCAGGAGTCCGCCGCGGTCGTCGGAAGCAGGTGGGTATGAAGACCAGGAAGAACAGCGTGGAGGTGCTGGACCTATTGTTCCGAACAGAAGTTGGGCGAGCAGGTCGACCGATGTGGTCGACGTCGAGACAATGCGAAGGTCCGCCGCCACGCCCACGACCTCGTCCGCAGCTGGTCGTGAAAATAAAAACCAGGACCGTCGCGCAAGGGACTCGTTTTCGCCGGAACTCCGCACGGCGTTGGCGGAACTGAACAAGGTCACGACGATCGTCAAGGGCCGGGCGCGATCGAAGGACGAAGATGTGACAGTTCCAAACGACGAGGACGCGGTTCGCGCGGGTAAGGCGAGCCAAGCGGCGAAACAAAAGCTCCTCGAGGAGTTCGAAAAAACGCAGACCGATCAGGACATGACCACCTCCGCTGCCCGGGCGCTGTTGATCGACCAGATGATGCAGAATCCCAACCGAAAAACGGGCGTTTATTTGGAACAGCTGCTGCGGATAAGGGGAGCTGTCGGGGAGGAAGTTGACGAAAAGATCTTAGCGGGAAAAAATTCGGAGGATTTCTGGCACCAAACGCTGTCTTCCGCAGCGGAGAGCAGTGGGGTGTTTAATATTCCGGATCGAGATAACAAGCGAAACGATCGGTCTTCGTCGCCGTTTGAGAACAGGCACTCGGCATTAGAACCCTCCGACATTCCGCGGATGTTCAGCCTGAGCATGCTGCCGTCCCAGGAGTCGCTGATCTACGAGCAGGCGCTGCGCCGGCAATCCATGCTCGGGAAGCAGTTCGGGTTGATGGACCAAAATTCAAAAGATACGGACAGTATCGACTTGATGAAGAAGGAAATGAAGAAGAGAAAGCGCAACCGGTCGGGCAGTGGGGATAAAGAGGATATTAATTCTGCTGCTCTCGACGTCGTCCCGGAAGACGCCGGCGGAAATTATGGCAATTTTTCCAACAAGCAGAATATTAAAGCTGCATCCCCGCTGGAGAAGATCCCGAAGGACAAAGAGCATTTGTTTCAGCTGGACTTGGATAAAAAGAAACGGGAAAAGCAAGAAAAAGCAGAAGCTGGCCCGGCAGACGGCAGCAAATCCGACGAAATCGCGAACGAGATCGAGCACGCGCACAAGGCCGCGCTGCACGCGTTGCGACAGGAGAAGAACACCGTGCACCCGATCCGACGGTCGAAAAAGGAGTGGAACGAAAAGATGGGGCTGAACAACAATAAGCCGAAACCTACTCTTTCGCTTCGGAAGGTCAGTGAAGCGGCGACCAAGGTCGCAATCGTGGACAACATGCTGGGAATCGGAGGAGGACATCACGGAACAGGTGGTGTAGTTCCACGAGGATCATCTTCCCAAGTCCAGGCCAGCAAGAACATCAACAAACCGAGTACAACATCAAGTATAGTGTCTGTGTCGCAAGACGGAGCTCCTGCTGCGGCACCGAGTGCGGCGGCGGGCAAGAAAAGCCGGGACTTTACCTCGAAAGCGTCGTCCGGCATGCTGCCGGCGCCGAAGGAATCTTCGCTGTCCCTGCCAGAGAGGTTTTCGCAGCAGAAGTTGCAGCACGAAGATTTTGTTTTCGACGAGGACAACGAACTTCCTGAAAATGTGCTCCACCGCGATAACAGCACAAGGGAAACCTGGCAGGAAATCGAGGCTGGAAAAAGTTCCGTGAGTAAGAACGATGCTGTAGGAGGACAGCAGCAGGGACAAAATGTCCAGGCTGATGTTAAAGAGCAAAAGATAAAAGTCCAACGGAAGCACGAGTCGATCGGGGATTCGATCACGCCGACGGTGCACAGCAGAAATAAGCACAATCGGGCGAAAGCTAAAGCCGGCGCGCTGAGTGTGCCGTTCAAGAAGCGGGGGGATACTTTGTGGTCCGGGTCCTCGACGAGTGACAGCGAACAACAAAAACCGGTGAAGATGTTGGCAACGAAGAAAGAGAATAGTAAAGAAAACCCGTCTACTAAAAATATAATGCCCGCGCCGTTCACGGAGATGCGTGTGTTTAACCAGAAACACGGGCGAAAATTTGACCCGAACTTTAAAGTCGCCGACGAGCCGGTCATGAACCCCCAGCAGGTGGAAGTTGCGGAAAGTATCTTCGGCAAAAAGGAAAACCTCGCCCGCGACCAGCCCACGCCAGCGGTTTTCGTCCGGCCGAAGATCCTGCCGCTACCGAAAAAAGAGGCGGTGATCAGCCCCCGACAGCATTTCCCCTTTGCCGCGCCGGTCGTGAGCGAGGCGCCGAAGGAGGCGAAAAATTTGTTCGACGCGTTACCCAAGAAACAAACGGCTATTGGTGGTGGTACTAACACAGTAGAGGACCCGCCGCGGAAGTGGAACGTAGCCCCCGCTGTTGTGCGGAAAGAGGGGTTGGCGAAGAACAGAAGGAGGAAGCAGGAGGAGGGGGAAGAACCTCAAGGAGTGCAAATTGTACAAGGCAGAAGTGAAGCTGCAGACGCTCCTGTAGACGGTGCCAGTTGGAGTCCGAATTTGTACGGGGGAAATAACAAGATTTTTGCTCAAGAACAACCGATATTGAACGGGTTTAATACTTCCTCTAGTGCACCAGCTCCGGAGGACAATACAAATACTCCTGTTACAGATTTTCTCCCTTCCTCAGAAATGGATGGGAACCACGATGGGCCAGATCCTGGCCGAGGTCTTGTGAACGGCCGAGAACGCTTACAGAATGCCGTCGGAAAAAATGGTACAAATGATGCTATTAAGAAAACTCCGCCCATTCCTGCTCAAGTAGTAGGCCGCGCCCTCCTAGAACAACAACCGGCGATTTTACTAGTACCAGGACCCGGCCGGCCGCCCGTAGAGCAGCAGCCGCCGCTAATGCAGTCGGGGACCAGTGTGGGCTCACACCAGCTGCAGGCACCAGCGGAAGCGGTCAACGTGGCGGAACCTGTGGTGGCTAGAACAAATCTGGGACCACAATCGTCAGCGTCGGAAGCAGCGGGCACGACAAATGTACCCTCCAGCAGCGGCGGAAAAACAGGGTTTAGGACCCACCAAATAGACGACACCGACGAGTCTTCCTCGCATTTCGAGCACATGCACGCCTTCCGACCCAAGGCCGCCTCTGCGCCCGTGAAAAAACCCATGCGGGGGAACAGTTTTGTCCCCTCACTGATGCACCACTTCGATATCGGGGCTGAGCAGCCGCAGAGTGCTGCTAAAAACGAGGCTGATACAGATACAAGAACGACCGGAGCTGTTGTAGAGAGTAAAAAGGAAATAACTACAGTAATACCTCCCAGAGGAGTTACAACTACTTCGCAGGAACAAAACCGGAGGTCGGTGGGTGACGACGGTGACCTGCAGGGTGCGCTTCTGAAAAGCGTTCACACAGAGAAGAACAGCACAGCACCATCAGCAGCTCCGTTGGTCAACTCGCAACAGAAATTCTACTCGGAGCCGGAGGAAGTGGAAGTTGAAGTTGAGGGTGAGTCTTTTTCCAATTCCGAAGCTGGTTCCTGCGCCACGGTCGCACCGGAGCTGTCGGCGGAGGAAACTACACTGTTGAACGACAAGGAGGAACAGCCGAGAAAGCAAATCCCTCAGGCGGAACGTTTCGATTTCTGGCGCACGGCGTTCGAAGTCAACACGAAGAATGCTAGCGCTGCTGGAGGACTAGATCGTCTTTCAGATGAGAACAACAATAAGTCAAGGCGGTTGGAAGATGACATCACATTCGCGGGAAATAATTCTACAGGGTTGTTTCATCATCTTCCTAGTAGTCCGATCGAGACCATAGATTCGCAGATTGTGGAGCTGGAGCGAAAAGTTTTCTGTTGGGAGAGGTTGCATGCGGATCATGCTGGGACGTCGAGCAAGTCGAGGAAGAAGGCGGAAAGTAGCGAAACCGAGCCGCGACCGGTTGCATTTCGAAAACGGGCCGAAGAGAGGGTGTCTTTTCCGAGTAGGTTAAGGGAGCAAGCAATGCCAACAGAGGTTCTTGGAAGTGGTTGCTCAAGAAAGACGTTAATAGCGAAGAACCCGAGCCGTAAGCAACTGGAAAGGGAACAAACGCAAAAATCTTCCTCTGCGCATCAACTTGTCGGGGGAGCTGCATCTTCTGCGAAACCGAAATGGAATCAGAGTACAAAAGCGCTCACGGCAGACCCTGCACTTAGAAATTTAGACAGATCCTGTAGTAGAGATAGGAGCCGAAGAGGGAGGAGAAAAGAAAAATCACCCCCCAGGGTGCTCAGAGAGGGAATGCAATACTTGTGGCGAAAGCCACCCGAATGAAAACCGTACTATCAGAATTCATTTTATAGCGAAATCAAACGCCGTGAATTTGGATAGAAGTTGTCTGCAATAGCAATAGAGAGTCATGTTATTTGCTGTAAGCGATCCAAGTTTACCAAAGTGTATCGCTGAATGCGGCACTGCGCGGGTGGCTTAACGAGATCCGTCTGGTTTTTGACACGCTGTTCATCAATCGCATCGAAGTTTCCCTATTGAAGAAGGACGTCGACAAAGCATGCTCGAACAAGTCATAACTGCGTCTCCCTTTTTGATCAGGATTTTCACACCGTTCCCGCGTTTCAAGCTGAAGCGGCCAGGATCTTTTCCGATTTTTGCCTTTCAAAAGATGGATCCTTTAGTCTTGTTCTGCTCTGCTGCAACGGTTAAACTAGGCACGATGTTTTCAAGAGTCCAAAAAGTTGCATTTATCGCAGCGGAAGATGATGTCCCGCCACTCCCATGGATAGAAAAAGTTTAAGTAGCTCGATAGCATTTATTCTGGAAAAGAGCTTGATGCCCTCGGCAACGGAGCACTCAGTACAGTTTTAGCGATTTGTGGAAGATCTTTAAGTAAAGCGGGCAAGTTTTGTGATTTTTCACGACACTCTTACTACAAGTCTATAGGAAAAACATCTTCAGAAATTCGCGAAGAACACTTGATACGTTCAAAAATATCGCTTTAAAAACGAAAAGATCCAATGTACAGTGCGGGCGCTTGGAACAGCAACAGTGATGGGGAGGACGATAAGAATCGCTTGTTCAGGCAGGCCGTGAAAGCCTTCGACCGGGAGAAGAAGCCTCTGGCCCCGGGCGCGGTCGTGTTAACCTCGCGGAACACCACGAAAGCGGACCTAGACGAGGATGAGCCCCGGTGGCGGCGGACGACCCCGCCGCTGCTGGAGCAGTCCAGCAGCGGGGGCGGGAAGAAGGGCGCGGTCACGCTGAAGCGGGCCCCGGGCGGGGGCGGGGGGAATGCGAGCGGGGGCGGAACAAGTAGGACGGTGCAGCTGCTGGGAAACAACAACAATACGTCGAATAACAGCAACAAGGAAGGCGGCAGTGCCAGCAATAATCCCGTGATTCTACGGGAAAACGCGGACTATCTCCGGGACCGCGGGGCGGACCGGGAAAACTCGGCGAGTGGCGACGCGAACGGAAGGTATGAGAATTGTCTGGCTCTGAGTTCTGGACGAGAATTGGATCACGTAGAAGCATACTCACGTAGTTGCTCTGCATGTGAAGATTGATTTGCATGATGTTGACAGCTGTGAAATATTCAGGCATGAGGACGTAGTACGTTTACATTTAATACCAAATTCCTCACGACTGGAACTGATATGCAAAAAAATCAGGGTGACCCTGGTGCCTGCGATCCACATCCGGCAGCAGAACGAACAGGAAGACAACAAGCAGCAAAAGGTCGTGCTCCTCTCGAAGCGGGACCGCATGGCGCGCATCTCGAACGACAAGCGTGTGTCCCCGAATCTGAGCAACGACATGCACCCGGCGGTGAATCTGCGCCGGGCGGTGACCTCCTCTCCGGAGGAGGATTTCCAGCGACTCCGCGCCGGCGGCATTCCGACGTTGATTACCCGCGGGCCGAGCCGCGGGGGCACGCCGCTGAAACGGGAGGGAGTAGAGCGTGAAGTAGGAACAACAAATACGACGATCGTAACACGACGAGGTGCTGGGGGTGGTACCACAACTGGGAACAAGGATAGTAGAAACAGCGGGTTCATCCTCTCGCCCAATCCGAATGGTGCTGCGCGGCGGGCGGCGGAGCGAGAGCAGCGGGAGTTGAAGAATCATTTGAACTTGAAGACGAGTAGGGACATTGAAGACCACAGGAGCGATATGAAAAGGAAAAATCCCCCCTCCCCATATCAAAACGAAGTTTCTGATGCTGGATTTGCGTACACAGATGAGATTTGTCTTGCTGGAGAGGACTGCAGACCCATATCAAGCCTGAGTAGAGAGGTTTTGACCTAGGCGCCTAGCACTACAAATGTCCACACCATAGGCCCAACAGCATGACAAACCGCCTGCATAATGCGGTGGAGCCTGTGGAGTTGTTTTCTTCCAACACAGGCACGATTTGTGGTCTCAAATCAGCAACACAAATCTTCGAAAACGTGCTTCGTCAATATGGGGAGGGGGGATTTTTCCTTGCAATAAGCGACGGCGAAAGCAGTAGAAATGATGGCATGAAAGTCACCACAACGAATGGACCCGCAGCGGGAAACGAAACGAAGATGAAACTCACGACCCGGAGTGCGAAGCAGGCGAGAAGCGCCGGCCGGGCAGCAGGAGTAGTTGTTTCATCCGCGAATTATATTCCAGTCGTGAAGGAGATTGAGATTCTATCCAGGAAAAAAACTGTGTTAGTGTAACTATCTTCGGCTGACAGCATCACAAATTTGCTCTACATCACTGAGTAAACCTGTCACGCGTGGCTTGTAAGGGAAAACACACACGAGAAGACGACTTCATGGCTGTCTGGCATGACAGGCGTAACTCTGTTGCATGTTTTGCATTACAGAGCTACACTTACACAGTTTTTTTCTTGCATAGATTCCGTCCGACCGTTCGGCCAGCAGCCTGGATAGCAGTTCGCCGAGCAGCAGTAAGAGCAAGAGCTCGGAAATGAGGGAGCGGGGGCCGCGGGTCGTGCAGAGTCAAAGAGGCACGACAACTGGTGGGGGCAAGAAAAACGCTTTGGACAACCACAAACCGGTATCGAGCACCGTGGCTGCAGTGAACAAAAAAACGAAAAATACTGCTTCTGAGCCCCTCGTAGAGACGAATAAAGCGAGTAACAACAGATCAGGAGCTAACATCAAAACCTCGACACATCAGCAGGACAAGGAACATCAACACCAAGGGCGGGGCCACAATAAAGCTCTCAACACCACAACCACGTCCACCAAAAATGGCCCGACGACCTCCGGAACTGCACAGAAACAGCAGAGTCGAGCGGACAGTCGGTCGAAAAATTTCGAGCAGAGAACTACTACGACCCGGGGAGGGAACAAGACCCGCACCACCGCCCGCGAGGAGCCCGTGACGCGGAAGCAGGTGAACTCCCGAGGACCGGGGGCGGAGCAGAGGGGCAACAAGCGGAAACCCAGTCCGCAGAGCTACGAGGAGTCGGACCTTTCGTCCTCCGCGAGTGAGCGAGGGCGCGCGACCACGAGGAACGGGAACTACAACAAACAGGCACCAAGAACCAGGGCAGTGGAGCAAAAGGAAAAGAGCAGGGGACGGGGGGAAAGAGGACAAGACAGAGGGCAAGACAGAGACCACCTGAAAGAAGCCTCGCCTCCGGCACGAGGAAGTGGGGGCACGACTAGGGACAGAAACAACAACCACGACAGTGGTACGAATAAGTATGCAGGCGCAAAGAATTCAGCTGCCGGAGCAAAGAATTCAGCAGCGACGACGACGAGGACAGGCGCGACCGGGGACCGGGACAGGAACAAAACTGAGAACAACAGAACGGCCGAGCCACAGCGGTCCGCCCGCGGGACTGCCGGACGGGACCGAGAAATAAATGCAGGGAAGTCTGAGAGGGAGATCCGCACACGAGAGGGCGGTGCGCGGGGAGGGAACGCGCGGGAAGACCGGACCAGTGCCCGCGAAGAAAATGCGAGGAATATTACGGGCAGGACGGCGAAAGAGGTAAATGTGAAAATCTTATTTCAGTCGTGCCTGTTGTAGCCCTGGCCGCTTTCCTTGTCACCGCGTGGCTTCGCAGAGACCTAAACCGTGCTATTCCTTGTCCCACATTGAGCTTGCCTCCACTGCTAAAACGGGTGGTGTTGCGTCGCTCGAAAAGCCTGGCTCTAAATGCATTCCAGCGCAGACAGTTAACATTCAGGAAACCAACGACAGGACGAGGGCGAGCATTTCAAGCTCGCCTGACAAATTATGTTTTGTCTAAGGAGCTTGCACTACATTGTTTTTTCTCAAAGGAAGAGTGCAAAGTGAAATGCTGTCATTATCGATCCAAACACTCCCAGGCCCCCTCTACCGCACCCCCAGCGCAGAAACGACCAGCGACCACCAAAACGGGGTCTAACAATGCACCGCCGCAGAAAAAACCTCGGCAGCAACTGTCGTCCACAGAGAGGGGCAAAACCGCGAAGAGACGACGCCAACAGCAGCAGGCGTCGAGCAGCTCCTCCAGTCAATCCTCCGATAGCGGGAGCTCGAGCTCAAGCGACAGTGGGTCCTCTGGGTGAAGATGGGGACATGACGATTTTCGTGTTTGGACTAAAAGATTGCGTGATCATGTTTTCGAAAAGTTGTCTGCGGATGCAGTGGTTCGTAGTATCCATGATTTCTGCCTCTGGAAGAATGAAATACATCATCCGTGCAGGTAAAGTGTTCTCGGATTGTTGGTATGCCTATGCTCGAAAAAAAAGTGGTTCTTCCGAAACGATAGCCTTGTACTGTTTTGGATGTATCTGTCTCTGTGCCCGAGGGACAGTTTTTTTGCCCTCCGGTAAGAAAGTATGTTTTCGGATGAAAGCGACACTGACCTGTAAGAAAGCGGAAGACCCCTCTGGGTCGACTGCTCTATTTGAACTCTGTTGCCGAAGAGCAGATCACTGGAAGTGTTCTACTGGACCTGATTTCCAATCGTCCTTTTCGTGCTGATCCCTTGCGTACAAATCGTAGACACAAGAACCTTCGTCCGACCAGAGACATTCACACCTCGTTCTTCAATTACCGGATGACAATATGAAACGTTCTCGCGTTCACACATGATAGTGTGGCAGTGAACTACGTAGGCGGCCATAAGTGCTATGCGCCGGACTATCGTCGCGGTCGCCCCCTCGTCCAAGAATCAGAATCTGCATTCGTGTGAAGAACATGGTATTTGATGCGCTATCATTTCTTGACCACGTGTGTTATTTTCGTATTTTCAGTTTCAGTTCATCTTCATCTAGTTAGTCAGTTCATCTTCATCTTCATTCTTCTTCTTTTTCGGTCAGCGACTTACTTACTAGGTAGGAACGCGACACCCTTTGCTCTTGTTGGTTTCCACTGATACTCGGAGAACGAGACTTATCGTTATCTCCAGTTGTTCTCGACTTTCCGGTTCATTTATCGTCACACTTTTTGAGTTGTCGACAGGAAATTCTCAAGGACTCAGAAGTCAAAAAAACAAAATCATGGCGAAACTGTCTAGTGCGCAAAAATGCGGCGCATTGTCAAGCAGGAACTTTTCGGGAACCGGGGGTGGGGGGAGTATGAAGGTGCAAGGCAAGTTTGTCGCTGCTCTCGAAGTTACTGCCACAGCCGCGGTACTGCAATCCTCTGGCGGAGCAGCGCCTGGCGACCCGATGCATCCGCAGGGAGGCAACTACGAGCAAGCACGGGATGAACCTCGGGTCCTGGAAACGGTTGACGAATTTTTCGCAATCCATGTCCCCGGCGGACAGAATTCGGATGGGTCCGTCCAGAAGCCTACCGTTTTGCGGCAAGACCGCGGTCGCTACCGCTTCGCCGCGGTGCAGAGTCCCCGAAGCAGTACTGCAGTGTCGCGCTTGGCGGAGAAATTCGGGCGCTACGGAGTTACTGGAGGGAGCAGCTCTGTCGCTTCGGAAAACGCCGCCGGTGGATTTGGTGCTGACGATGTGGAGGGCGACTCTGCTGAGTTTTTCGGGAATTTCGTCGGGGAATTTGATGCTCCTTTTCTGGAAGGGGAGAAGATGTTTCGGGCTCTTGACAAAGCGGAGAAAGCAGCGAAGGACAAGAAAGCTTCGAGGAAGAAAAAAGCAGAGAAAACGCTGCGGACAAAAACAAAAATAGTTCCGTTCTCAAGGTTTACAAAAAAGTACAGGTCGTATTATGGTGACGCGATGCCCGTCGAAATGAAGCTTGACGAGAAAAAAGGCGCGGACCGCAAAAAAGGCGCGGAAGGCAAAGGCGGAGGCTGGGGCGTAGGCGGAGGCTGGGGCTTCAACTGGCCCTTCTGAAGGAGCTGCTCCAAGTCCGAGCACTCATGAACAGCAGCGAAAATGAGTCAGGTTTATATATAAAACCGTCTTTCCTTCGTAGTAAAGTTAACCAGTGCGTTGCATACAGCCCTCTTCTGGCTCGACCTGAGAAGGAAGACACTGTAAACATGGGCACAGAATCTGCTCGGGTCGCGCCCTAGATTCGAGCGATTGACGGACTTGGTACTGCAATGTAATCGCAGGAGGAAAAGCTTCCACTTCCAGTGTTTTCGGATTCAGGGGACTACCAGTTCGATTTTTACGTATCTGGGGGCTTGAGTTTCCCTTTCCTGCCTGGACCTGTGTTCCTGAAAACTGAATCCTGGCAACGTTTGGTTGTTGGATAAGCTGCTCTCGCCTGAAAATCGTTTTCGTGTTTCGCAGATGTCTTCACAGTCGTTGCATCAAATCGTGAAAGTCGAATCGTCCTCGGCGCGCGTCAAGAATGTTTTTCTCGCAATTCATTGTTTCGTTTGATGTTCCTTGCCGACCTGCTGTATCGGAAAAAAAAGACCATCGCAAGAAGCCTAAAGTTCTAGACTGGCTAAAGACCAACGAACAGTAAGTGGGATCCCTTCGGACTGCGGCAAAGTTGAAGTTCTTACTGCAGATATCAAAAAACCATGACTCTCCGTGAATTTTTCGTACACGGTTTCTCCATTGGAGATAACTTTCCTCCTTTCCGCCAAGAGCACCCCCCTCGTCCGCAGGTGCCAATTTTTTCTTCCTGGTGGCGACAATTGCTCGAAGCTACGACGACGCCAACATCGTCTTCCGCCTCAGTACCACCCCCACACGACCGTGGACACCAGCACAAGACCGTGTTCGCGGAAGGCGACGAGGGAGAAAAGCCGGCCACGGCAGCGGAGGAAAGTCCGCCCGCCGCAGAAGCCAAAACCCAAGAACCCGACGCGGCTGACACTGAGAAACACGCCTCTGCAGATGAACCAGCAACTGACCAGAAAGAGGAAGCCAAGCCTGCTGAAGGTGATGCAACATCAGCAGCGCCGACCACTACACCGGGTCCTTCAGACTCAGCTACAAATGACGACCAGGCTCCTCCAAAACCTGAGCCCAAACCGCGAAAAAAAGCGAAGAAACCGCACGAGCTCCCGTTCGCGTCCACTCTGGAGCAGAACCGGCGACTGTGGGCGGACAAGGTGGAAAACGAAATTGCGAAATCGCTCCAAACGCTCGTTGACCGCCTGCCGGAGATGAAGGACGGGATCCGGAAGATGCAAAAACAGACCCACGCGGCGGACAAGGCGGTGAATAATTTAAAATACCAGGAGGAGAACGGGTTCCCGAGTGCGGAGCAGGCGAGCCGGAAACTGTCCAAACAGGCGAACAAGGTGCGGAGACAGATTCGGAAGCAGATCGAAGTCGAAAAGAAGCTGGCTGCGGCGGAGTGAGTTTGCTTTTTGTGAATGAAAACTTTTCACACGGCTTTGAATCAATTCAAGTTTCGTACGTGCGCCGCATCAAGAAAGTGTATAGTTCTGGGACACTGCCCTCGCAAAGGAATCCAAAATTCGTCCGCTGTGCTTTGCTCCAAGCCATATTTAAAGGTTTTGAATTGCTCATATACTCTTCGTCATTGTTCTTTTTTCCGTCTCAGGGAGAAGAGCGAGTGATTGCTGTGCGGTGCGGTCCTCTTAAGTGACAGAGGAACGTCCACTGCAGTAGAGTTGAGCGAAGAGAGTGTGAGTCGGTGCAGTTGAGCAACACTTGCTTCGTGAGTCTTTGGTTCGCCCCGTGTCGATTTCGACGAAAATCATGTGGGAAATAAAGCCGCATGATATGGTGGTGAAAGTACAGGTGCATGATTGAATTTGTCGTGCTCTCGAAGCGGCGGCGGCGGCATTGCAATTTTTTCGACGACGAGACCGGCTTTTCGAAGATAGGATAGGTGCAACAAAACGTCGAAGACTCCAATAAGAATGGTCATCCGCGTGCCGTCGCGTGCTCCGCACGGCCGCTTGCGGTACTAGAGCTTCCTACAGTAGTAAGTACTAAACTCGAGTCCCGGAATATTTTTGGAGCGAGAGGCGACCCGAAACGGCTCAACGCAAAACCAATTCCGAGCTGCGACAGTTGTAGCCCGCGAGGAGCTCGTACTCGTTCCTGCCCGAAGCGACGTCGCAAAGAGACCTAGGTACCTTCGAGAAATCCATTAAAATGGCGGACCCGGTGTTGAATCCCGAGCCGCCGGCGGTGGGCACCGTCGAGGAGGAGTATGATGCTCTGGGCTACGAGCAGGATGGCGACGCGCTGCCTCCCTTCGCCTCCGATGCCGCGAAGGCGATCGACAAGGACATCAAGGCGTCGGAAAGCGAGATGGGCACGTTGGACTTTCACATCGGGGAAAACGCGGAGAGGGTAAAGGTGATGGCCGAGCACTTGCAGAACGTGCAGCAGGAGGTCACGTTGACGCAGCAATTAGTGGACGCGAGAAGACGAGAAATGGAAACGGAAGACCATTTAAGGCAGTTGACCGTGCGGCAAGTCGGTATTTGGAACAAGTTGGTTTCGTGTATGTTTCTTTTTTGTCATGCACGATTGCGTAAAAGTAGTCTTCATGCATGGGAAATGCAGTACCAGTATACCATTAAAAAAAGGTCGGCTCGAGGGTGAATGCGTCAGATTGAAGCGTGTGGTTGAAGATTACAAGGACCGAGCGAACACCTATCAACCGCAAATATGTCTGGGTCTAGAAAAAGGCACTTTTTCGTCATGCATGTTTTGGATCACGCAATTGGTTTCTAATGCACGCAAAAGCACTACAAGATTCGCGCCGGCCTAATAATGCCTATTCCACCGCATGAGGAATTGCCTATTTGCGTAGAAGCAAGAAGTGCGCAGCTCTTGATATTCATGCAATACAATTTTTTGTGTGGAGGTCCAGAGTCTGCATCACAAGTTGGAACTCTTCCAGACCCAGACATGTTTGCAATGCATAACGCCATCCAGACGGACATTTTCAAGGGCAACGAGAAGTTGGACCAATTCAAATTAGAAATGAACTGGAACCAAGAGGAATTGGAGCAGTGGGCGCTGGCTGCACGGCAGAAGGAAGAGGATGAAATCGCACTGGAAAGGTACAACTTGAACTTGTACAACAAGTCGCTTGTCATAATTCCAGCACGACGTCGGAGTCGGTCTTTTTTGCGCTCTTCGCATCACGTGTGCACAATAACACATGCAATATTCTTGCAAATCAAGAATCTTCTAAATCTACAAACAATAAAAAAAGGTATCGTCGACAGGATGACCAGAAGATCCGCGAGCTGACCCTGGAGATTGAAAAGCTCACCCTCGAAAACAACGGGAAGAAGGCCGCAGTGGAGGAGGAGGTGACGACGACGCAGTCGCAACAGATCGAGATGGACAAAATTGCCGAGGAGTTCAAGCTATCAAATGCAAAAATGTCTGGGTCTGGAAGATTTCTCGACTTGTCATGCACGTTCTGGGTGAGCCATGATGTCTGTAATACTTGCCGTAGCATCACAGATTTTTAGAGGGCTTTGTGATACCTCTACCGCATGAGAAATGCCCTCTCCGCGCAGGACAAACCCGACCCGTCTTGCCGGTCATGCAATACAAATTTCTTTAGAATCCACAGACAGCATTACAAGTTGTGACCTTCGTCCAGACCCAGACATTTTTGCAGTTGATACAAGCGGTTGCACGAAGAACGGCAAAGACTAATCCAGCAGTGGGAGCAAACCGTGCAGAGCATGAAATCGCAGGACGAGAGGCTGAACAAGCTCGGCGAGGAGTACGCCGTGCAGAAAAACATCGAGAGGGGAAAGGAGCAGAAATTGAAGGAGAAGGAATCCTTTTTAGCCGAGGTGCAATCGGAAAACCAGAAAGTCACCACTGTGATCGCAGCGTATAATTACTTACTTATTTTGACGTGACAACTTTTGTTTCTATCTTTCTTTGGATTGTGTAGTAGTTTTTGTGTGGTGGGAGCAAGACGAGGTGGACTCCATGCAGAAAATGTTGTTCATCACGTCAGGCGCAGGAGCGCCGTTGTGCAAGAATGCAAAGCAATTGATTTCTGTAGTGTAGCTGACTTTTTATGCAATACAAGAAAAACTTCAACAGCTCCGACCGGCAGTTGATCCGTGTCCGGCAGGATCACGTTTCCATCAAGGACGGTCTCGGTGATTTCCACGACGAGGTCGAAGTGCTAAAGGGCCAACTTTCCGGCCAGTCCAGCGAACAGGCGCAGCAGCGGAACAAATTGATCCAGCTGAAAGAAGTGGTCGAGGAAAAAAAGGTGCGACTGCAGTTTGTCACGAAGAAACTAGCGCAGACGCAGAAAAATTTGGAGGACGAGAAGGACAAGTCGAAATTGCGCGAGATGGACGTGGCCACGGCGGATAAGCTGTACAAGGAGGAGATACAAATTCTTGCGAAAGCGGAGCAGGATCTGAAGGTGAGTTTTTTGGGTGTTGTTTTTGTCGTGTGGTTTTTTTTGTCGTAGTTCTTGTGCTCGTGCATGGTCATGGTATTGGCGACAAGAAATATCAGGCAACGAATTTTCAGGGACCACTTCTACGAGTAGTTTGTTCGCATGAAGTGCAAAAAATCAAACTGAAAAACTATCAGCTCGTGAAAGAGGACATGTTTAAGCAGACAGAAGACCTGCGGCAGATCGAGTACGACGAAAAAAACGCTCACGGGGAAATCTCCTCCGCGTTTGCCGCGGTCAAAAACTTGAGTTCCCAAATCGCGAAGCTGGACGCCGAGAGACAAAGGCAGCAGGAACTGCTTTACGCGGTGGATTTTCAGTGTCAGTTGATGCAGAGAAAAGTCGCAAACGTGTCCGGGGATGGGCCGCAGGTCGGGAACGAGGAGCTTTACGGTAAATTTTTTGACGTTGAACTGTGATCTCTTTGTTGAATATGTAAGTTCGGTTCAAAAACACTTCGGCGTGCATAATTTCAAACAAACCCTCCCACAGCCAAAATCGCCTCTCTCGAAGAACAGCTGGAGGAGCAAAAGCAGCTGGAGCAGCTGCTTATTGCGCAGGTCAGGAAACAGGGCCTGGATCTGGTCCAAGCGGAGAGAATAGTCGGTAGAACAGAGGAGGAGTCCAAGAAGGTGGAGGGAACCATGAACGAGCTCGCACTGGAAACTGAAGCGGTGGAACGCGCAGTGGGGGACGCGATAAGGCAGAAAGAGGAGGTGCTAGTGGAGCGGGACCTGGCGAAGCTGGAAGCAAAGAGGATTCGGGGCACGCTGAACACGAAATCGGAGCGGGTTTTCACGCTCGAGAATAGGAAGGAACAACTCGCGATCAGCATGATCGAAAGGGAAAAGGAAGTGGAGTGTCATCAGGTAATTAGATGGAGTCGCGTCTGCTCGGCTGTGTTGATTTTGGTCTGCTTTTTGTCATGCACAATACACAACATTCAAATCCATTGGGGTCACGCAGAACGTATTAACTTTACGTACTGATTTCAAAGGTTCATCACAAACAAAAACCTTATCAGGAAGTGCTGAAGTCCAAGCTCCGAGTAGCGGAGGAAGACCGACACAAATCTGCTTTGGAACTCGCAGAAAGGTCAGCGAAGATACACAATTTGAAGATGAAGTACGAATCAGTGAAGAACAAAATGCAGAATGAAGGCGGCCACTCCCAGGCGTATTACGTGTTGAAGGCGGCACAGGCGCGAGAGGTATGGGATATAGAGTTTGGTGTAGCTGCTTTACTACATGAGTAGAAATGCATTGTGTACCATGCCGATGCCGGCGATAGGATCCATGGGATTACTTAGCAAATTCCACACTTTAATGATGTACCTCAATAAAAAATAGGAACTTCAACGGAAGGGCGACGAGCTGGATGCGAACATCAAAAAGGCAGAAAAGGAGGTCCGCGCGTTGGAAAACACGCTTGCGCATTTGACCCACCGAAACGACGCGTATAAGAACAAATTCCGAACTGCGGACCAGGCTTCCGCGGCGGATACGGACCAGAAGCAGGTGCTGGAGGAGCAGAACCAAGCCGCGAATGACATCTTGTATTTCCAAAGGATTTATTATTTTGTGTTTGTCTTTTGCTACTTGTACTTTGTTGGTGTGCAACCAATGACAGCATGATAAAAACTTCCTCTGTTGCTTGATCCAGCATCGGGAAGAACCCAGCACAGATCAACATCGCATATATTAATTGTAGGTACAAGAAGAAAAAGCAGCTTTCCCTCGTCGAAAAAGACCACGGCGAGGACACGATGCGGCTTGAGGAGGTCCAGCGCCAGGGGGAGCGGTTAGACCACGATATCAGGAGTTTGATGCAGACGAAGGACGAGCTAGACGGGCAGTTGTCCACGCTGCAAGAGGAGCTGAAACAGACCGGCGAGCCACCGGTGGTGCCCCTGAAACAAGCGAACGCGGCTTTCCTCCGCGTCTTCCGGGCCGCTTTGACCGAAGCACCGCAGGCCGGGGAGTTGGTGCCGGCGTTTGAGGATATCTGCCGGCAGTTGGGCATCGCGGCGGGGTGAAGAAAATGTAGAGGACCGGTTGCGGCTTGCTATCGGATTTGCGATGGATTTATTAACAAATAAAGAAGTGGGAGTCGTGAAAAAACCACAGAAAGTAAAACCCTTATCATCTCCTTCAATATTTTCAGCTTATACAACAGAAGAAATCTTCACAGTTTATGTTTACGGATTAGTTGTCAAATTAGTTACGCGGAAAGCAGTCAAAAATAATGCCCGTGCAGCTGCTGTCGGGCAGAAAGACTGAAACCCAAAAAATCGGAATAGTTTATCACAATAGAGCGCGACGAGTCATGGCCGCTCTACAGCGGGGGAGTTGTTGTTTTCGTCAGCTCATGCGAAGTAGAACTCCTGACTCGCTCGATTGACTAAATATGATGACAGACAGTAGAACTTCTACAAAAAATCGGAATAGTTTATTGCGGAAATTGAAAACAGACAAAATGCAAGGAGTAAGTACAGGATTTATTGTGCCATTGTACCAAATGTGTCCTTCGGCCTGCTCGCGCGGTGCGAAGGAAATGAAACTTGCAAGGTTGCTTCTGCAAGCAACCCGCAGAGTACTACTGCGATTTTTGTCCTCTCAGGATGATGGCGTGATGAAAAATCGCAAATGTAGTGGAACGATTCTTCAAAAAAAATTGTACGACTTTGAATGTACCATGGCGGTTTATTGAAAAAAAAAAATTGAAGAAGAAGTAGCGGACTAGCGGACGAGTGGGAAGGAATATCTTGCTCCACCTGCGTTGTTTGATGAAATTTTTTCTTGCTGTGCTGTTTCTCCACTCCTGCTTTTCCTTTCTGAGTGAAGTCGTACGCGCACGTAGGAGATGGTACTTCTTGAGAGCGGTTTTTGAAAAGATCTGGGCTTTCAAGCCAGGGAGGTACAGAATGAAAATTCAGAGTGCTGTCAACAGCAGGCAAGGGTGGGGGCTGCACCTGCGCCGCGCAAAGTCATTTGAGAGCCGTGCTGGTTTTCCACAAGAGGGTAAGATCCTTGAACGATTCCACCTAACGTGTTTCTGTGCCGGCGAATTCGACGAACTTTAGCTTCACATCTAACGATTCATCAACAAATTTGTTCTCATCTTTCACCATAAAAACGCCCCACCCTACTTCTGCAGCTGCCTGCCCCACCGGCGCCTGTCATGGGGGAAGAGCGCGGCAGCAGCAGTAGCACGGGCGCTCGCGGGGGCGCGACGGCATCTACTTCGATGAACGGAGCTGCAAATCAAATAAAAGCGCCTGCCGACAGCACGAGCAGTTACTACGGTCCGGGGAATGATGATAGTCCAAAGACCGGGGATGCGAAAATCTTTGCAGATTTGTACGAGGACGCCAAGTGGCGGCAGCAGCGCCAGGAAGAGCGAGATTTGCTCGTTAGGATGGCCTTGCAGCACCATACGCGGGAAAAGACACAGGTATGATGGTAGAGGAGATTGATGTTCTCGTGGTGTCTGCTGGGTGATGTAGAAGCGGGTGAAGATTTTCGTGCTGTGGCAAGGGAAGTTTTAACTTGTTGTTTGTGAAGAATCATCTGGCATTCACTAAGTGCACGACAAATTTAGGTCCGCACGTCTCGGTCCGCCGACTTGTCCATGCAACGGTACCGTCGGGAAGCGATGCAAGTGGTCCGGGACTGCTTGAGAGACTCGCCCTACGACGAAAATTTTTCCTCCACAACGGATGTGGAGGTGATGCCGCCGAGCAAGGTGTTGCAGCCGAAGCCGTTCCAGGGTATCAGCTCCGACGCAGAGACCACAGCCGGAACAACCACGGATAATTCGGCAAATCATTCCAACGCGCCAAGAGCGACGTCGCGGCCAAATAAGGAGCCACAATCGACGAGCAGTCATCAAGTGCTGCAAGTTCCGAATTCCCTGCTCCAGCAGGTGCTGGAGAAACTCGGTTTTATCAACGTCTCCGCGGAACTCCGGGCCAGTCTGCTCGTGCACGCTTTGGACCAACAAGACCAGGGCTGTTTTCGCTCCGACGTGCTGCTGCATTTTTTGGAACTTTGCATGACCCTGCCAGGAGGTGGACCAGCACATCATTCGGAGCAGGGACCGCATGCAACAGAACTTGTACATCAACCCGGGCAGATGATGAACGGTGGCACAACTTCTAAAGTACCAGTCTCGACGACGTCCCCGACGACCAACATCCCAACGAATCCCGTCGAGAACCCAGCAGACCAAGCGGAACTGCAGGTCGCTCTAGCGAAGCAGTTGCGGAAGTGTTTGGTTTACGCCACGAGGATAAAGAACAGCAGCGGTTGTACTAGTGGTGCAAGCACAGGAACTACTTCTAGTGGTGGTTATAAAGCAGCGCATAACCAATTTTACGGGCCACCTGTTGATGCGGGTGGTAGACCAGCAGCAGCAGGACGAGGAGCGAGAGGGCAACAGGAACAGCAGCAGCCGATTACCGGTAATAGCGAAGCGTGCTCGTCCACGGCGAAGATGTTTGGGGCAAGTCAGCACCGGGTGAGTAGGAAACCGCGCAGACCGCCGGATACGATGTACTACTTGTTATGCAAGAGGTGTAGAAAAAAGGCAAAGGAAAATGCTGCAAAGGTGATACAGATTCTTATCGTGTACTATGAAACGGCGCTGGAGAAAATAAAAATCGAAATCGTGCTGAGATTTTCCCAAATGCTCTCGACGCTGCGTCCCAAGAAGATGCGCAAAAAAGTATTCCGACTTTGCCCTTTTTTCCTTTTAATGCCTATGGTCGAAAGGCAGAAACTAGCCGAGGAGAGACTGCAGCAAATCCGGCAGATGCAGGAGGAAGAGGAGTTCGCGGAGTGCACCTTTCAACCGAAGATTTCAAGCAGCGCCGGCTGGTCGCCAGACACAGTCCGGACGAGCGAATACGAGGCAGCGACCGAGGAGAAAGGAGGCTTTGAACAACGGCACGACCACCCGGCGGCGCACCACTTTGAAGAAAGAGAAACAAACCTAAACCACGAGGAAAATTGTAATGGCAGTAATTCCAAGCACCGAACGGACCTGCTGTACGAGCGTGCGCTGATCCGGCAGGAGCAGATCGTGCGGAGACAGAGGTGGAAGGAGAAGCGGGAGGAGGAGAAGGAATTCGAATATTGAGAGGAAAAATCCCCCCTCCCCATATCGAAAAGGTATTTTTCCAAAAATTTGTGTTGCGGATTTGAGGTCGCAAATCACATCTGTCTTGCAAGAAGGCAAACCAAAAGAATCCGCCGCCTTATGGAGGCGATTTGTGATGCTGTTTCACCTACATGGCAGGCCTCTCTTATGCCAAGCGCCTACAACAAAACACCCCTACGCAGGCTGAGGCTTTGCCTGTAGTGCCTCGCTGCAAGACAGGGCTGATTTGTGTACACAAATCCAGCAGCAGAAGTTTCCGTTTCAATATGTGGAGGGGGGATTTTTCATTTTGATATCGAAGCCTGCACGTTCCACCCGGAAACGAGTTTGTCGAGAACGTCACAGAGGAAACTGCAGGAGATTCTGTACAACGAAAACGAAACGCCCTCCTCAGCGGTCAAGGGCTACAGCCGGTTTGTGGAGCGGGCGCGGAACGCGAATCGCCGACGGGAGGAGGATAAAGTATGAAAATCTTTATTGCTCGATTGCTTGTTGAAGATCCGTAATTTCATCCCATGTGTTTGCGACGAACTTGTTGTGATGCGCAACAGCCATCCGGACGGGCCCGGGGAAACGAACAAAGAACGTATACTTTGTGCACTTGACTTCAACATCATCGACCTGCAACACAGGTCCGCGCTTCCCACGTTCCCGTGGGCGAAGGCTATGAGGCGCTGCGGAAGAAGGGGCCGCAGCCTTTCAACCTCTCGGTGTCGAATCGGGGGAACAGCAAGGGGTACGTATAGAGTGTAGGCTTGGTGGGATGTGCAGGACAGGAATGAGTGGTCATTGGATTTTCGCATCAGAAATTGTTTGAAATGTGTCTATCTATCAGGTGGGAAGAGCATGTGGAATTCTCCGAAAAGCCGGACATCATTGTCGAAGTCAAGCTCGGCGTGGGGAAAATGGGCCGAATCGCGCTGTACCAGGATGATGATCCACTTGAAGTGGTCGAAGAATTCTGTAAGCACTACGAACTGGATGGGGCCAGGTATAAGCAATAAATTCAGTGTTTGGGCTACATGCCCCCATGCAATACAAACTTTGCTTGAAGAAAGAACTCATTGCGGTTGTTCTGCATGAGAAATAAATGCAAATCTGTCACTGCAGACGCGGTCGCCTCGAGAACACGCTTCGTCTGGAGCTGCAGCGCGTGCAGAAGAGCAGACAAGGCACTTCAGCTCCGGCGAGTAAACAGAGTGTAGCAGGAGCGGGGTCTGGTTCTGCGGTGGACGGAAGTTGTACAAGTAAACGGTCTGTGGGTTGTACTAGTGCGGAGGGAGGGAGTGCTCACGCTGGAGGAGATAGTTTGTCGAAAACGGATTCAGGTAATCTATGATGCGTACTTGCTTCATTTTCCATCGTGTTTTATGCACTGAAAATCATGTAGTATCCTCTACGATTCAGCATCCAAACATCGCCTCCCGACCCCAGGCCCCACTCCGCAAACCACGGACAGCACACCGGCGCATAGGACGACTTCTAGTAAGAACTCGAAAATGCTGAATACCACAACGCCGAAATCTACTTCTGCTGCCCAACAACTCCCCGGGGGCCAGAAAGTCGTCGCCTTCGGGCGGACCAGTTTTAGAGAAACACACCGTGGTGGTGCTGGTGCTGCAGCACCTATCGGCCCGCAAAAATCCAGCCGGCCGCCGCACAGCGCAAGAAGGAGCACGACGCCGTTCCGGGGCGGGAGCAACTTGCCGAGTGCGAGAGGGGGCGCAAATAAGCCCAGGGCGGGTCAGAACATGGTAGATGATCCGCACGATCGTCTTCCTGGCAGTAAGAAGTACAGCTACTACCCCTCAAAGCGCAGTCCGGGGGCGAAGAAAACGCAGAGCATATCAAATGCAAATATGTCTGGGTCTGGAAGAATGCAACTTGTGATGCTGCATTTGGATTCCAAAAAAATCTGTATTGCGTGAGCAGCAAAAGGAGTCTGATTTTTGTTACGCAGAGAGGGCATTTGTCATGCGGATTCGGCATCAAGAAGCCCTCAAAAAATCTGTGATGCGAGGGCATGCATTACAGACATCATGGCTCGTGCAAAACGTGCACGACGAGTCTCAGAACCTCTCAGACCCAGACATATTTTCACTTGATAGGGCAGCATTTCAAACTACGGAGCGTCGAGTCAGGCGATTGATTTGCAGAACCCCGGGTTGCTGCGGGCGCACATGCGCTTGGCGCATTCACGAGCCAGTACGCCAATGTCGGAGCGGCAGGTCGGGTTGTGACCAAGAGGAAAGGGGGAAGAGAGAACGGTGGGGTTGTGAGAAACAATCAAAGTAGTGCAAATTTAGTGCTGGTTCCAAGAGAACCTAGTGGTCTAGTCAATTTTTATCCAGTCGCAAAAGAACCAACCAGTGCAGACACAGAAAACCATCTGTCTCTGTTGTATGTGTGTGCATGGAAGATGTCTATACTTCTAAAAGACGTGCTAACATCACGAAAGTAAACCTATGCTTCGCGAGAAACGCTAAAAGCCTAAATTTCAGTCTAGAGAATTCAAGCCTTTTCCATTTTGTAGTAGAAATCCGTTTTACGAAATTTTTGTTGTTGAAAGAAAACTTACGAAATGCAACTGTATCTAAGGACATCAAATATAGCAACACATTACATTTCAATTGGTAACTGATGCAGATGAAACACTGAGAGGACTCATGTCCCGGTAGTAATCAAGTGGAATTTATGACGCAAGATCTAGATCTTCAATAGATCCGAAATCTCTGCTGAGAGTGAAGCTGTTCTTTGAGACCGAGCTCTTTTTGGAAGACTGGAGAGAAAGTCATTGCACCAGTATTGCACCAGTAGGGTGAGTAGATCACGTGGAAGGTGAATCGCTCCTTGAGGCCACACGTACAGGCGACGGACCTTATTTTTAGCAGTTACGTTTTTTAAAGATGCAGATAATTTCATTTTTGTCTCTGCCTGGGTCCACCTCTACCTAGCTTTACCCCAATTAAACGAATAGAGAATTCACGCGTCTATGAGTAGCGATTCCCGGTCCCGTTTTTTTACATAGAGGTGGTTCTTGTTACTTATAGCAAGCGCCAAGTACGACTACCCACGAGTAACCCCTCGCTACCAAGAATGAAGTAAAATTGAAAGTCATCCGTTCCAAGAAGCATTATCGCACCGTCAATCGGAGTGTTTTTAAGGACGAGCCCCTGCAACAAGCACCGAAAAATACCGTGCCCGGCGCATCAGAACAATCGCGCAGAACGCAAGGCAGAACTGGGTGGAAAAGCGACTACACGGAGTTTATTACTACCAGAAGACGCGACACAGTATTTGTATTTCCAAGATAGCGCACTCGGGTAAGAAGTACTAAACACGCGACGAAATCTATCATGGAGAATCCATTCGAACAGAAGGGCGGCGCCGACCCGTGGTTCCAAGGCGCGAACGCCGGGGCAACGCCGTCCTTTCCCTCACACCCCATGGCCGCCGGGAGCATGACCGCGCAGGCACAAATGATGGGAGTCACGGACGCACCAGGAGGTAGTTTTTGTCATGCTGATTCGAATCAATATGCGCATAAGTCTAGAAAGTTTATTTGCATGATGAACTGACACTTGCCTGAGAAACATATCAATTTTTGATCCCATTAGTTTCGCATCACAAATTATCCAGGGGACGGCGAGCTGGACGTGGAAAACGAGCCGCCAATTTTGGAGGAGCTTGGAATCGACATCGACGCAGTGTTTCAGAGAATAAAGGTAATTATCATGGCTTCTTTTGCGATAGTACAAATTTCCGCTCCTCCTCAGCTTGACTGTGTCATGCAGCATATGGACGACCTGGACCTCGACCGCAGCCAGAATCAGAAACAGAGTCAGTGTGTTGCAAACATTTTTGTGGAAGAACTCCATCAAACATATCTACATCCAGGCCGTCGCGCTTCTCCGACCACTTCCGCAGTCTGTCGTGCTAGAAGGCGACTTAACCGGCCCGTTGCTTATCCTCGGCGCTTTGATGCTGGGATTTTTATTGCAGGGGAAAGTCCAGTTTGAGTTGCTCTACCTGCTCGCCTCCCTTTCCTCGTTCACTTCCTACCTGCTCATAAACCTGATGGCGCAGAAGGGGGGGATTGACTTGTACTGCGTGATAAGCATGTTCGGGTACGGGCTGTTGCCAGTGGTAATACTCAGCTTCATCGCGGTGATAATATCGCTGAAGAGCTACGCGGTGGTAGGCACTGTGTGCGCACTGATAACGGTCTTCTGGTGCACGGCCACCAGCTCGAAATTCGTGGAATCCGCGATGGACACGCATTATGGTAGTGTCAGGATTGAAATCGTCAAAGTTGAAATAATTTCTCATGCATAAAGTGCAAGGCATGAAGCGCCTCTCTTGCAGGGATGGCAAGTGAGGCCGACTGTCAGCCTGTTTCGGATCTGCGATAGAGCTGCTAAAGTAGCATGACAAAAGACGCCTTCTTTCCCTAAACAGCATGACAAAGTGGATGTAGGCGATGCCAAAATTTGGCATGCGCCGCTTGGAAATTGGGCTTCCAACTGGTATCGATTTTATGCATCACAACTTTTTCAACTTTGTCAATTTCAATCCTGACAGTTCCATACGCATGATCAGCATTGGCTGATCGCCTACCCAACGGGACTGCTGTACTCCCTGTTCGTCGTGGTAACGATCTTTTAGTAGATAGAATTACAGTGAGGTTTTTTATAGGGGAAGAAAGCAGTTCTTTCTGTATCTTCCCAAACAAGAACTACAAGAAAGCGACAACAAAAATAAAGAACACGGAGAAATTTTTTTCCGTGAGCCGTTGAAAGCTGCGGGGATTTCCACTTAATACTGGTGGCTTGTTCATCTTCATTCGTACAGAGCATAAGTATGAGCAGGTTTCGATTTCGTCCGCCAAGTTTCAGACTACCATCTGCCATTTCCGGAAGAACAAACAACGAGTGACATACTAGAAAGGACTATACATTGTATTTTTTTCGCACGTGAGTGACAAAAGGAAAAGGTCATGCTTTTCTCGTTCAGCACGCAGACACACTTTTTTTTCGTGAGTGGTGTGCTACAAATAGCAAACTGAGAGGTAGTGTCCGGAAGAAAGGAAGTTAGAGAGTGCCGCAAACAACTGATCTACTTCGCGACCGAGAGCATTTTCTTTGAGCGAAAATTGTTATTTGCAAGGCCGTGTCCTCGTCGAGATGATTTCCACTTTTCGTGAAGAGTTGGGACTCGTCATTTTTCGTAAAGCCACACAATTCGTAATCATTTGCGCAGGTCTCCATTTAGAATGAACTAGATGTTATAGTGCTGCTCCTATGTTTGTGTACCCATAATGCCTAGAAGATTATACCCATGATGTGACCTCTATGGAATGCTTGCTAAGGTATCGACCTGCATGATTCTTTTTTCAAATGCTGAACTACACTAAGTGCCAACTATTTACTTTACGAAAAAATGCATGAAGCTATTTTTTGAAGATATTTCGATACACGGCCTTATTTCTCTTTCGTTTCTTGCCGACGAGCTCGGAGCGGTGTACTCGTGGCTGCGGTGTGGCGCAAGAAAGGAAACCGTGGGCCGCAATGAGTGGAACTACCGCGCGGGGTAAAAAAATGGAGCAACTCCGGTTGATGATATCAAATCGATATTGAGCGGTCTATTAAAGCCCAAACTACCTGCCTGGATCGTCGATGATGGAGCTGCCTCGCGGCATTCGGCGGTCTGCGTGGCCACGGGAAGCAGGATCTTCACAGTCTATTGGGAGGAAATTTTTCCCCTCGCAGCTGCTCGTGTTCACAAGAAGCCTGCTGCTTCTACTACACTTGCAGGATTTTTACACAACAACGACCCTCGGGGGCCCAGGACTGGTCACCGCGTTTCCCACGTACAATACGTACCAGATCAAACCTAACGCGGTTCCAAACGCCGGTGAGGCCTTCTACGTGGAGGTGAATGGCCAGGATGTGGATGTGGTCAACAATCGCGTTGCGATTATGGACTTCTCCGACGGCTCAAGCAGTTGCACCGGAGCCTCGTTGGTTTCGGATAGCACCGTGGACTCTTTGACCAACGTGAAAAACTCCGCGCCATGTTCGGGTAAGGGGAATGCAACTCGTTTTTTTCTTGAAACCGCATCAGATGAAAGGGCAGAGGCATATGCGCCGCGCATCATGGCAGCAAGGTTTATTTTTGTTCAGAACACAACTGAGATTGAGAAGCAGTAAACTACACTTTTATTTCAAAAAGTGAAACAACTTTCTCATAGGTGGCAACTCCGCCCCAACGCGGCTACACTGCGGGCCGTTCAAGATCTACAAGCAGGCCGCGAACCTGGGGTTTTGCATCTGTGGGGCGACGGCCGCACGACCTTCGCCAACCTGCCTCTCCTCACAGGATTACTCACACGGGTTTGGTACGAGGTTCACCATCGCAGGGCCAAACCCGGGTCAAACGTTCGACGCGCAGGTAGTATAGTGGGTAGATTGATTTGCCCGATTTTCTACAACATACTATACATGTCAGAGCATGCTGGTACAAGGAGCGCATCGACGGGACAATTTCCGTTTCGCAACACAGGGACAATTCACTAGTAGTAGACTTTGCAGGTCGTGCAGCAAAAATACCCGTACAATAAATTTCCCTCCCCTAGGTCTCCGTCCCGACCCCCTTTACGATCCAAGGCACCGCTTTGAACGCCGAGGACCGCCTCGTCGCGATTGAGAAAACCTTCTCCCCGTCCTGCCGCAACTTCGAATCCACCAGCGCCACGGGGAACACGATGAGCTCCCACGTCATCAATCTCTCCGGCGGTCGGGATGCCGGCACTGCGGATACGGTTTCCACTTGGAACAACGTGCAAATGACCAAGGTAACGCCCTTCATTCTCTGCTGGTGCGGCGCTGCGAGGCAGACTTGCACGGATACCAGCGAGTTCCGGGTACAGGTCGGAGAAGTTACGGTGAACGGGCCGCAGCAGAATCAGGTCCACAACTTCGTTCTAGGGATGAGCAGCACGTTGATGGTGTTGGGGACCGGGATGAGTCCGAAAGACCGGGTCCGGATCGTGAACGCGGCGTCGGTAAACTGCGCGGGGGCCTACGCGGGATCAAATAGCAATTCGGTCGCGCGCGGGGCGGACGCGGGGCCGACGTTTGTGGACGGGCAGGTGACGCCGAGCATCGCGCAGTGGGGGGACGTGGTGGTGACGAGTGCGGGAACGTATCTTTTTACTGCATTTTTTTTGATGAATGACATCTTCGTTCAAAGGGACAACTTTGTCATGCGCTGCTACAAGAAACATCAGCATGTGTCTAGTACTGCACTCTATGCACAAGTCTAACAACATTGTCTATCAGGTATAAAGTCTGCTGGTGCGGCGCGAAGAAAATCGACACCAATGGTTGCACTCGGGATTCTGAATTCAACTTTGAAGTCGGGTCCATAACCGTTTCCGGCCCGAACCAGGGCGGCAGCTACACGCCGAGGTTAGGCCTGCCCTTTTCCGTCACCGTTTCCGGGGTCGGGATGCACGAGGGCGACCGGGTGATCCTGACGGACCAATCCTGCGGGACCACGGCCACCAATTCTGCCGGCGTGCTCGCGCCCCCAAGTCTCCAAGCGGACGAGCTGAGCGAGATGAAGAACATCTGGCACAACGTGATTCTGAACGAGAAAAAGCAAGTGCGGCTCTGTTGGTTATTGAGAGGAAAAATCTCCCCTCCCCATATCAAAACGGAAATCTGTGATGCAGATTTGTTGTCACAAATCAGCTTTGTCATGCTACACGGGAAAAGATGCGGACTGTAGTGCTGGGTGGCGTGGGGGAGCCTTGCATCTTCAGCATGATAGGAGGCAGCTGAGAGTGGGAAACAGCATGACAAATTGCCTGCAAACGAGACCACGACTGCGGCTCTTGGCCTTCTAGCATGACAAGTCAATTTGGTGCCTCAAATCCTGCATCACAGATTTCCATTTCGATATGGGGAGGGGGGATTTTTCCGTTTGATATTGGTGCGCGCGGGCGGGGATCAACTGCGACAAGAAGGAGGATATCAAATGCAAAAATGTCTGGGTCTGGAAGATTGCTAGGTTTGTCATGCAGGTCTTCCATGACCCACGCGGTCTGGCATGCACCGCCTAGCATGCCAGGTTCTGTGAGATCTCTATCATGCCTTTCCTGCAATGTTGAGAAACTGCCTCTACTAACTTGTTAAAAAATGGACCTCTTTTGGTAATCATGCAACACAAATTTTTCCACGATCCAGATGCAGCATGACAAGTTACACTCTTCCAGACCCAGACATTTTTGCATTTGATAGAGGAGTTTCTCGCCCAGGTGGCGATCTACACGCCGTTAGGGGTGGACAACGTGAACCACTTCTTGAACTTGGACAACGTGATCAAGGGCATGCCGTTCAAAATTGAGTTGAAGGGCCAGACCGCCACCGACACCCCGATCTTCTTCCACCACAGCAAGGTGCGGATCGTCCGGAAATCGCAGGTGACAAAATGCGGCGATTTAGGCTCGAGCGACTTGATTTCCGCCGTGGAGCAAACCATCTGTTGGGACTACACGGACGGATGTAAGAAGAACGGGATCACGAAAGACGGGCCGCAGGAGCTGGAGGGCGAGACCTTCGCGACCTACGATCCCGTGGCCTTGCGGGAAAACGGGGATTTCATGATCTGCTACTGCGCCGGCGGGCCCTTGGGGAACACCTATCAGAACTGCGACAAGGACGAACATTACAACACGCACGTCGGGAATATCAAAGTGGCGGGGATACAAACCCGGACGGAAACGTGGATCTGCTCGCAGTCCGGCGGGGATGATTGTAAGATACAAATCATCTCCGCGAAGCCCAGCATGAATGACAGGGTATAGCTCGTTTTTTTTTGAAATATGTAGTTCGTCTTCGTTGTGCTGCACCTGCATGTTGCTCGTGGTCCTTGCTTTGTAATGCGCGTCGAAGAAGATCATTTACATCTCATTCTAGTTTGCGATCGACGAGGACGTGCGTAGTCTAGTAGTAGTTTGTCCAGCAGGCCAATTCGCTGTGCATGAGAACAAAAACGATTCTTCTCAACAACTCTAGATTCGCGTCATCGAGAAGGGCGGCACGGCCGGTTGTTCCCAGTCCGAGCGCGCCGACCCGACGGCGTTTTCCCTGGGCACCCAAGTCTCCCCCGTGCGGATCTTCAATGTGACCACGCTCGGCGGGGTGCAAACCGGCCAGCAGGCGATCGAATTCAACTTTGGCACGGCGAGCCGGACGGGGAGCTACGACGTGTGCTACTGCCAGGACTACGGCGGTTGCAACGCGTATGGGTGTGTCAGGATTGAAATCGACAAAGTTGAAATAGTTTGTCATGCATAAAACCGATACCAGTCGGAGGCCCAGTTATCAAGCGGCGCATGACAAATTTTCCGAGCACCGGAATCCAATTTGTGATGCTGTTTTGGCACAGAAGACTACATTTGTCATGCTACTTTAGCAGCTCTATTTCAAGCCCTGAACAGGCTCACAATCGGCCTCATTTGCCATTTCGGCAAGACAGGCACTTCATGCCTGGCATTTTATGCATGACAAATCATTTCATCTTTGTCGATTTCAAACTTGGCGCTTCCATAACGCGAACATGCACTTTTTCCAGTATCAACTGCAAAAATGTCTGGGTCTGGGAAAGTCCGAGATTTGTCATGCTAATTTGGCATGATTCTGAACTCTGTATTGCGCGGCCGCGAAGAGCTGGCACTCCCTGTCATGCAAAAAGGCAGTTTCTCATGCGGAATACGCAACTCAGAAGTATGCAAAAAACTTGTCATGCTTGGCAGCGCATTGCAGTGAGCTCACTCTTCCCTTGCTTGCATCACAAATTTCCAGACCCAGACATTTTTGCATTCGATATCCAACTGGCCGGGACCATCTCGATCGGCGGGGTGAACGGCGCGCAGGCGGCGCAGTTCTGCTTCGCGAACCAGCCCTGCACCGTATCACAATGAAAAATGCCCCCACCCCCGAACTTGGGAGCATTTGTATTGCAAACCTTTCCAAATGAAACATTCGCCCTCTTGCATCTATCAGCATCACAGGTTTTCAATCGTGAATAGCAAAAATTTGTATTGCAAAAGACTCCAGCAGGAGCGGCACTTGTCATGCAAGCGGTGCGCTACACGCCTACATTCTGCATCAGAAAGATTCATACTCCTTTCATGCATGACAAAAAGTTTTCATTTGGAATCCTTGCATCACAAATTTTTGCAATTTAGGGGTGGGGGGCACTTTTCACTGTAATACACCGCGCGGATCATCGGCACCCTGCTGGACGGCTATCAAATGCAAATATGTCTGGGTCTGGAACGTTGCAAGTTGTGATGCCGTCTTTGGATTCTAAAAAAATCTGGATTGCATGAAAAGCAATGGGAGGTCAGTTTGTGCTTCGCGGAGAGGGCATTTGTCATGCGGGATAGGCATCAAGAAGCCATCAAAAAATCTGTGATGCTAGGTCATGCATTACTGGCGGCATGAGTCATGCAAAATATGCATGACACCCAGACATATTTGCATTTGATAACGGCGGCGCGAGGATGATTTTGCTCGATGGGTCGCAGCCGGAGGACAGTTGCGGTAAACCGGGGAAATTGGTCGTGTCGGATCACTTTGTCCAGAGGCAGCAAGTGAATTTCCAGTCCCCGGCGCTCTACGGCTTTACCGGAAACAAAGGCACGCTCGGCGCCGCCGTCGATTTTCTCGATTTCCAGCTTGGGGAACCCGAGGTGGTCGGAACCTACATGCTGTGCTACTGCGACCACACGCTGACGCCCGCGAAGGTTTGCGAATACCAGGAGTACTACACGCAGTTCGCGGGGAAGTTGTACGTTCGTGGGATCGACACGTCGTTAGCCATGGCCTGCGAGCAGGGCGGGGAGTGCCAGTTCGCGGTGGTCGGGGCGATCATGACGCCCGCGGATCGGGTGATGGCCATGACAATTGACTTTGACGACGCGGGAAAGGACGTCACGCCGGAGGATAGGAGGTATAAATATGGATTGACGAGTTTTTTGTGATTGGACTTTTGTGCATGAGTGTGCGTGTATCGCTAAGGCTATCGCAGCGTCTTTTGTAGTGTTGCATGTGAAAAAAGACGAGGACAACTACGAGCGCAGAGTTAATTCCAAAAATCTTTTTAATACAATGTAAATTCTCAGGTGCGGTGGCATCAACTCCGCCGCAGCTCCCGACGGCGTCTTTTCCCCGGGAAATGTCCTTGCACCACAAAACATCGACTTGAATGTTCTCACCCTGAACGGCAAGTCCCGCGCGAACTACAAGTACGCGCAGGTGAACAACCCAGGGAAGTTCCGCCTGTGTTTCTGCCCCGGCATCCCGGGTTCGGTTTCCTCCGTTTGCGAATCGCCCCCGCAATTCAAACTGAACCTTGGCACGGTGAGGATCCAGGGGGTGATCTCGGACGTGAAATCTGGGATTTTGCCGACGAACAAGGTTGTTTCCGTCAAGGTAGAATCCACGCAACCCGGTTCCCGGATCGGCTGCGTCGCGACTCTGGAGACGATGTTCACGGTCGCGCGCGCCCCCGACTTGAACGACCTGATGCACTGCGAGGACACGAGCCTCAACCGGGGCAGCAACGAGTCGCCGCAAACGATGTTCCCGCTCTGCGTCGGGAGAACGGAGAACACGGATTTGACGGTGACGGGGTGGAACGACGTGAACATTGAGATAAAGCCCGACATGCTGGACATCGCGCGGCGGAAACTACCCGGGGGGAACACGCCCAACTGGTACGTCTGGTGCTATTCCGCCTCCCAATGTACCAGCCAGCGGTGCGTGATGCCGCGATCGCCCAACGGGCTGAAGATCACGCAAACGGGCTCCGACTCCCCCTACGTGCAGGACCACAAGCAGACCGCGGCGAGCAACATCGAGCAGCCGATCACCGTCGGAATCAAGATCGACAACCCGACGGCGGAGATCGCCGCGGCGGCACGACTGAAAATCATCGACCCAAACGAGGGAACGGGGTTCGACGACCGGGTGAATAACAATTTGCAAGCCGCGGCGTTGTTTGGACTGACAAGAAGGGGATTAGGAACAGAAAGCGCAGCAATAGGATCTTCTTCATCTTCTTCTCGAGAGTTAACAACCACGAACACGACCACCGCAACGCTGCACCCCTGCGAAACCCACCAGCTCGCGTCCGGAGTTGCGTCCGGCCTCAACTGCGGCACGAAAGGGGACAGCAAATGCGAACCGGCCGGGACGTTGGACGTGACCAGTAACCAAATAACCTGGCCGAGCATTCAGATGCAGTCCGCGGGCATGTACGGCATGTGCTACTGTGATCGCCATCTCGACACTAAGTGTCTGCAGTGGATCTCCGTCGGGGAAATGAAAGTGGACGGCCCCTTTCCCAACGCACCAACGCAGTACGGGAACCCCGGGGTGCTGGCCAAGGTGCATCTGCACGGGCTGGAACTGTCCAGCCGCGACAGAATTCACGTCGTGGCGGGGAGTGACAAGTGCGGGCAGGCGACGGTCGGAACCGGGAGCAACGCACCTTCGACGAACGCACCATCGAACAGTTCCTCCCGTCAGCTGTCGCTCGTGTGGACCAGCACGGCGCCGGTGGTGCACAACAGCAGCTACCTGCAGTGGGAGATCGGGTTGCAGGAAAAGTCGAGATACAAAATTTGCTGGTGCCCGGGGAAGTTGAAATCTTGCACGGACCACAGCGACTTCACCCATTTCGCCGGCTACTTGGAAATCGCGACCAGAGTGGACTGCGAGCTGTCCGATTTCTGGATCGTGGAGGCCTGCACGGTTCCGTGTGGCGGTGGGATCAAGAAGAAGAGGCGAAGGATCGTGCAGAACCCGCAGGGCGGCGGGACTGCGTGCCCGTCGAACGCGGAGTCGTTGATCTCCGAAATCTGCAATCCCGACCCCTGCCCCTTGCTCCAGATAAACTCCGTGACGACCCAGCCGAGTTTGAAGGTGGTGTCCAACACGGTGTTTCAAGTTCGATTAGACGGGCAGTATTTCAACCCGGTGGAAGATCGCATTCTGCTGATCGACGCGAACCTCGCGTGCGGCGCCTCGCAGCAGCACTACGCCGGGGCGGCCTGCAATTTCGTCGGGTCGGACATGGAGAAGATGATCTGCGGGGACGGGGTCAGGTCGATGAAGGTGGCACATTCTGGGGCGGTAAAGATTTGTGTCTGCGACGCCAGCGCGAGCTACGTCAGGAATGAGGATGGTATAGAAGTAGAGTGAGTTTTTGCATAAACGTGCTCGGATTTATTTTCATTTCAGGGAGTGTATTTTTCCTTTTTTCAACATACCGGTTCTTCTCATTTTGATCTTCTAGCATCATCTTCACATCAAACCAAAGGTTCCGGCTTCAACATCGCTGGTGGGCTTAATGTCGAGGGCAGTTTTTCCGCGGGCTGTGGTGACGCGCGGAATTACCTGCTCGGCGGTCAGCTCGTCACGATCCACGCTCCGGCTACCAATCCCGAGGAGGACGACCTGGTGGCAGGAATGTCCCCGGGCCTGTTCGCGTTTCTCATGGTGCTGTGCTCCTTAGTGGTTCTCTCCCCCGGGGCGTACTTCGGGTACAAAAAGTACCAGAAGCAGAAGGACGCGGGGAAGTACCAGAAGCAGGTCGACCCGTTCTTGCCCTTCCAGCAACAGAAACCGGACAACTTCGGGAACAAAAAGCTGCAGGCCCTCATGGACGGGTCCACGGCGCCGGAGAAGGGCGGGAAGTCGAACCTCTTCACCCGCGCGAAGAGCCTGCTCGGGATCGGGAACGGGGATAAGGAGAATTTGTCGGAGGAGGAGGAAAACCAGGCGATGCTGATCGCCTGGGACGAGTACTACCAGTCGCTCGGCTACCCAGCGGGGACCGCCTGGACGGTACTCGGGCCGCAACTGAACGGGACGGGGCCGAGCATGCAGCAAAACATATCGCAGCAGGCGGCATTGGCGAATTCGGCGTACGATCCGAACGACATTTTCGGAGGGTACGGACCGTCGCCATATGGGCAACCAGGGTATACTTAGAACTCGAGTTGGGGTTTTTCATCTACTGCACGGCCTGTTTCCTGCTCAATGCAGGGCTAATGTTTTGCACAGTAAGATAAATACGTCGTGCAGCCCTATGACTGAGGTTTGATGCGTCGATGCAGCTGAATTTTCATTTTGAACGGAAATTGACTTGAAAACGAAAAAACCCAACAGCGCCCCCCAACAACAACAATCTGGCCTTCTCGCACTCGGGTACGACGGGCACCATGCCCCGAACCAAATGGGCGAGTTTCTGGACCAGTCGTTCACGGATAGCCGGTCGCCCGCCGCGGCGACCAAGAGCAAAATCAGCCCACTGTCCTCTTTCGTGGACAAAGTCCGGCGGGCGTCCGTCCAGATGGCGCAGAACAAGGACAGCAATGGCGTCGACGGCGCGTCGCCCGCATCCTCTCAGCCGGTAACGCCAAGAACCGCCGCGAACATGATGGCCGGGGCTGAGAAGCCGTACGAGAAACCCAAAGACCCGGGCAGCACGGTGTCCACCGCGGCGACGCAGAACCTACTTCCGCCGATGCCAAAAATGTCGCAGCCGCCACCGCCGGTTAATCTACCGGTCGGCGGGATGATGAACTCCTCGTCGAACAAGAAGAAAGACGACGACATGCTGAGTTCGGGGTCGTTTTTGTCCAATTCGCCGAACGAGAAAAAGAGCGCGAGTCCAGTCGCAAAATTGTCGTCGCTAGTCTCCGGGAACTCTCCTGCCTCGAATTCAAGAGCAGGAAACAACAACAACGGAAACGCCAGCGACCGGGAGACGCAAATCCAGAGTCCGAAGAGTGCCCGGCTGGAGCGGGAGAAGCAACTGCTGGATGAGAAGCAGGAAATGCTTCGGGAGGAGATGGAGCGGCAGCAGCAGGCGCTCGACGAGGAGCACCGGAGTAGGGAAGAGGTAATAAAATCGAAATTGTCCAGCCTGAAGGAGAAGCGGGCGCAGAGTGCCGGGCGGGTTCGGTCCCTCGAGCAGTCGTTGACCGGGGGCGCGAGTGCAGAAGCGATGAAACAGGCCGCGGAAGAGGCGGAGAGGACGAAAAAGGAGGAAGAGCTGAAAAAACAGCAGGAATTGGAGTTGAAAAGACAAAAAGAGGAAGAGGCCCATCTTGCGGCAAAAAGGAAAGAGGAGGAGAAGCAGCAAGCCCTCGCGTTGAAGAAAAAGCAAGAGGAAGAGAGGATAAAAGCAGAGCAGGCTGCGGCGCTGAAAAAAAAGCAAGAAGAGGAACAGCAGAAAAAGCAGGAACAAGAAATTCTTCGAAAGAAAAAGGAACAAGAGGAGCTAGATCTCCGACGAAAAAAGAAGGAGCAGGAGGACGAGGACCGGAGGCGGAAAGCTTTGGAGGCTGCAGCGCAAAAGAAAAAAGACGAGGAAATACAAAGGAAAAAGAAAGAGGAGGAGCAAAAAGCCGCGGCTGCGGCTGCAACCGCAGCGCCATCTTCTCCGCCGCCGCTCGCGCCACCCATGATGGCCCCGGTTCCGCCGCCGCTGGACAGCACGCTGCCCTCCTCGCCCTCGGTCGCGGAAAGGCGGTACGGATCATCTTCGCAGAGCCCCAGTAGACCTCCAGCACCTCCCCCCTCTATCGGGCTGGGCCCAAGTAGCCCGAGCAAACCACCCCTACCCGGAAGTATCAACGACTTCGACCAGAGCTTCGGCACCGGCACCGTGGCGGAGCGGCGGTACGGGAAGCGCCCACCCCCGCCGCCGCCCCCAGGCATGGCGCCACCGGGCGGGATGGCGCCCCTGGACTCCTTCGGCGGTGGTGGTGCGAGCAGTCCGAGCAAGCCCCCAGGCGGAGGTTTAGGCATGTCCATCTCGCAAGGCGCAGGACCTTCCCCGAGTCTGTTCGACCAGGCCATGGCAGCGGGGATGGGGGGTAGCAGTTCTCCTGGTGGTGCACCTTTGACAGGTAGTCCGATCAAGAAGGGGAAATTTTCCCTCGGGTCGCAGGCAAGAACCAGTGCGGGCGGGGTGATTTCCAGCCCCCGGTTCCAGAACGTCGGCGGGGAAAGGAGTGGGACGGGGCTGAACATGCTAACGGACGGCGGCGGAAATAGTAACACGAATGCAACCAGTCCGGACCACAGCACGACGAATGCGAGGATGTATTCCAGCAGCAGTCCGCCCCCGCCGGGAGCGTTTGGTGGCGGGCCGTCCCCACCGAGAATGATGTCTTCCATGACGGGCATGCCCGCGCCGCCCAGTCCGACACAAGCAGGCACAAGCAACAGCATGATGTTCGGCGGAAAGGCCGGACCGCCACCACCACCCCCCATGATGGGTCGCGGACCGGGGCCACCGCCGTCTTTAGGCCAGACCGGGGGGATGGGAGGCGGGATGCGACCTCCACCTCCACCGCCGCCACCGGGCAGACGGTGAGATTCGGGCTGGTTTGTTGTTTAGGGGCAAGATTTATTTTTTGGTGGAGGAACAAAAGCCGTACTTCTTCTACACGCAGCTCATTGTGTATGCGTTGGAAGATGGTCGTATACAAAATCTGAATCAGTATGGTGTGTTACTACAGTAGAAGCGCTACTTTACAAGTTAACAGTAGTGTCGTCTCAACTCAAGATGAGGTCAACAAAAGAACTGTTTTTAAGCATAATTTTTACGTCAAAAGGTCAACTATAGCGAAAGGAAATCAGAGCTGAGAAATCGATTTGTAAGCTTACAACGACTCGAATAGCAACGAATGTGGAAAAATAGAAAGCACGCTTCGAAAGAACCGCGGAACAGAAGAAACAAGTACAGTAAAAGCCACAGAGTCATCTGCTCATAATCATGCTGGACAGTGCTGAACAGTACACCTCCTGCATGATTTTTTACCCATCATTGGCGCTGATTTTATACTTTGAATAGTTCTTAACGCACAGACTGACAATAGTTCCAAACATAGAAGCGTCAGCAGGTGTCGACTTCTTTCCACGCAGAGCTTCTTGCAGATAAGACAGGTTCTTATAGCTACATTTTGGTGCAGAGAGATGAAAAGTAGAATACTTCTTGGGAGCGCCGTCCTGTGACATCATAACTTACTTTGCACATCAACCTCTTCACGACGGCATTCGAGAACAACGAGATTCCCGCAGCGACAAACGCAGCCGCCACTCGACAGCTAGTAGAACAAAAGCCGAACAGAAGGAGAAGCAGAAAGCATCCGGAGACTTGTTTTCGGTCGGCAGATATCTTTGTTAGCCAACAAGGCAGAGGAGGTCCACAGAAGATGTTCAATTCTTGCAGTGGCACTAAGAATCATGCTTTCGCTTTTTTATCGTATAGCTATTGTCAGCAGCACTGGCCTTTGCAATGAAGATGAACAGGATCTTCATGGTATCTTGTGATCCAGGGGACACGCAACATAGCTACACCGTTCCGCGACTTCGTGAAACTGAAGGTCTCTTCGATCTTCCCACACTCAGCGATGATGTCTTTTACTGCTTTGAGATCTGATTCATAATTTTTGGTGTTGTCTGAATCATGACCATAGCCCTTTGGCAGGGTAGCTAGTTTCTCCCTGGTATGCGTTCCCTACGATAATTTCGCCGATCTTTTTACAAGAGTGAGTCCTTTTGATAGACAAACACACCTGTACGAAGCTCGACAAGCAGAGACAAACAACGGAAATTTACATTCACGACAGAGCTCTCATCGATACCTCTTTCCCGAAAAGATGCAAGCCTTCATCCAGTCTCAGTTCATAGCATGGCAGGAGGATTGCAGCAAGAACGGATTGTCGGGAGCCAGCTCGTCTTCATCATCTTCAGCTGATGACAATCTCGTCTTCGCTCTAACCGATTGCGAAGACGAGCAGACATTGAAGACTTGCATTCGGGAGAAAGTACTGCCTAGCTTAGTGGAAGCAACCAGAAGAGCTGTAACAACAACATCTTCCAGCAGTAGCAGCTCCTCGTCAGCATCCCCAGTCGTGCGTTCGGAGCAAAATATCGCCAGTCTCTGTCACGCCGCCTGTGAGGATCTCTGCAGACGACTTTGCGCGCCGCACCAGCTTCGAAGCCTACCCGCGGAAGTGTTTCGTAGCGATCATGCAGCTACGACAACCACTGTGCCGGACAGGGAGGCGAGCCAAGGTGTTGGAATTAGGGTGAAATTCCGCTACTTCGAGACACCCTTGCGCGCAATTGAGCGAGACAAACCAGAACCTCCATCCAAGGTCGTGTCAGATGACGAAGATTTCTCCGACGACAGTCCTGGATTTGGCCTTTCTATGGACATCGTCGACCGGCTGGGATTCCGGGTGACGGAAAACCAGGGGGTGACTGCCGTCAAACCGGGACTGGATGTGATCATCGGTGTCGATGCGCTTTGGACCTACGGGTTGTCGGAAGAGGAGATAGAGAATTTAGAAGAGTTGAACCTACACGACGGGGCGATGTTACGGGTTCTGAGAATTGTTCAGGACGAACCCCCGGACGCTGAAGAAGAAGAAATACGAATACCTTCAAACTTGAAAGGCGCGGAAGTGTTAAACGCAGAACCTGACAACAGACTACGTGAGTACCTTGCGGACCAACAGGAGCGGGGCGGAAGTATGCGAATGGAGGTTGACGAGGAAGCAGTGGCTATTAACGGCGCCGAAATGATAAATCACCACGACACGACGACAGCGCCCGCAACAGAAAACCCCGAAAAGGACTTGTCCCCGAACTTTTCCATCGAGAGCAGGCAGCAGCGGGGCCGGAGACGAAGGAAAAAGAGTGAGGACGACGAGGACTCGCCGATGGGAGACGCTGCGGAGAGTACAGCTGATGGAAATTGTAGTAACAATACTGGTTCGGGTTCGGGAAAAATATCTAAACCGAACACCCGACACGGCTTCTCCAAATCGCCGCGGGCGGCCATTCCCGCGCAGGACCTAGCAAGACTAGAAGCCAAATTCAACCCTTCCTCGCCACTTTCCACCGGCGGCTACGAATACAAGTCCCACACCGCGGACATCATATTTCACGCGTGGGGCCGGAGTTTGAAGGACGCGTTTGAGCACGTGGCGGTGTGTTTGTTCTCCTACATGACGGAGTTGTCTTCTGTCAACGCGACCGAGTCCATCGAATTGTTCGCGGAGGGAAGAAATCTGCGGGACTTGCTGTACCACTTCCTGGACGAATTGCTGTTCTCCTTTCTCACCGAGATGTTTGTGTGCAAGTACGTGGAAGTGTTTCTCTTGGACGAAACGAAGAGCGACATTTTCGAGGATGAAAGCACAAACATCAACCCGTGGAAGGTGAGGATACGCGGGTACGGGGAGAGTTTTCGCCCGGTTTCGGAGGGCGGCAAGCACGCACAGGGCACGGAGATCAAAGCGATAACCATGCACGAAATGCGCATTATTGATGTGCGGGAGAAGGCGGAGGGAGGTGTGGGTGGAGAGAGTGGTGGCGTTGAGACGACAAACATGGTGGATGAAGAGGGAGTGGCTCGACTGCCGGCGGTGGCCGCGGGTTCGTCTGTTCCTGCCGCATCTGTGAATGCAGCTACTGCACCGCCAGTAGAACTTTATGTGCTAGTTGACATATAGAACAAGAGAGGAGGACAACAAGGATGATGCTTTTGATGAAAAAGATCATCGCATTCATCCGCATAAGACTCTACTACTTTTGTTGCGAATGCGAGCAACGTCGTACATAGATCCTAGACTACGCGACCTCGGTATCGAAGCAGCGTGATTCACGCTTGAGTGTTCGCTAAATACTTAACCGGCCCACCTTTTGAGGTTCTTGAACCAAGCTACAGAGAGTACTCTCGTGACCAGCCCTGCAGCGCAGGCCATTGGCGGACTTGCCACGCTGCCCGCGTGGAAAGAAGAGGCGGCCACGGGGGCACCTGGGGCGCGCGGAAGAAAAGCGAGAAGGCGGAGCAGGCGAACCCGTGCGAGTTTCGGGCCCGCTTGCGCGGGGTATTTACCAACGTGCGGCAGCTGCCGGACTGTGCGCCATCTTCATGAAACAGGTGGCAAATTCGGCCGCTGCGGCTTCGCTTACGGGGGTGGCGGCCGATGTTTGCCATGCTACGGGCGGCGTTTTTCTCCGCTGCGATCCTGGACGCGGTGCGCTGCTACAGCGATCGCTGCCATTTCTCTAGCGCGGCCGCTTCCAAGTCGCAGGCGTGGGGCTTGCCACGAGTGTTCTTCGCGGTGCCCCCTACCCGCGCGCGGGGTTCCTGTGGAGTCACAGCTACAGAGTCGTCGCCTGCGCCCTTCCGCCATTGCGCGGCGACGCCACCCCGCTCGTTGCATTGCTGGGCAGGATCGGCAGGGGGCTGCCGAGTAGGTTCAGGGTGTTGGGGCGCCTTCCCTGAGCGGTGGGCGCGCACACTTGGACGCCGGCCGGCCGCGCGACCTTTGTGGAGGCCGGGCACTTGGCAGAAGAAAACAAGGGCCGCCGGGCTGGGTGGGCATTGCGCTACTGTTGGCATATGACAAGGCGGCGAGCCTTCTGCCCGGCCGCAGCCTTTCCGCCGTGGCAGTATGCCGGCCCCCGGAGATGTTGAGGGCCCCCATCCAGCGCTGGCATTGACTGCCTATACTAGACGACATCGATGGGCTTTGTCGCGCCGCGCGGCATTGCGGAGGTGGTCTATGGCTCGGGCAGGGCGGGCGCCGGCAGAGTTCAGTCGGACTCGGATGCGGGTTTCAGAGTGGTGTTGGAGATGCTGACGCTGTTGCCGAAATTGCCGCCCGACGAGCACAGGCGTACTCTCGAAGATCGCGCGGCGGGTCTGTATACCTTGGCGACCGCGGCGGGCCCTAAAAATGCCGACAAACCCTTGCGTCGCAAGGGTCTGAAGGAGTTGGCGACGTGGTGTGCGCTATAGTTTGCCGCAGCCGCGCCAGGCTTTCATTCTCAGGGGGGCGCTTGCCTCCAATGCCGCGGCGCCCTGCCTGGTCGGTGGGGCGCCCGCCGTGCTCCGGCGCTTCGGCCGGGTTGCGCCGCATCGGACGCGCGCCTTCTTGGAGTTCCCGGGCCACGCCGTCGCTGCGAGAAGCATCGGCGGGAACACGGGCGGCGGCTGCCCGCGGGGCGCTGCCGCCAGTTCATGCCGGCAATACGTGCCGCCGGAAGATTCGCAGGATTTCCACCCTAACGCAAAAAATTTCGGAAAATCCACATAGCGCAAAAACAAAAGCCAAAAAAAAGCCAAAAAAAATTTTTTGAATTTTTTTGCTTCCCCGACGGTCTGGCTTATGTGAGGCATTTCCCGAGTCTGTTCTCGCCCCTGTTTGTCAGAGGAGGGCCGGGCGCAGGTGTCGCATACTTGCCCGCTTGGGTGGTCCACATCTCTTGGCCTCCGCTGCTGGTGATGAGAACCCAGAGCGGCAAATCCGTGCGGGGTTGCGCCTTCTTCTGTCGGGGAGCAGAGGCGCCCTCGTGGCGCATTGCCGCCGCAGAAGATTTCTCTTTGGGTTTGGCCAGGAAAAATCGCAGAAGAAATTTGAAAAAAATCTGGGAAAAATCAAGAGGCGCGCAAAAAAAATTTGAAAAAAATTCTAGAAAGTGGCCAATTTGCAAAAACCAATGGGATTTTGCTAATGTGGCCGATTTTCCGAAATTTTTTTTGGCCATTTTTCGCACCTCTTGAAATTTTATCCGGCCAAATTCAAATTTTTTGTGGGCAGATCGAAACTTTTTTGAAATTTTTCTTGGCCACACGCAAAGGAAATTCTTCACTTCAATTCGAACGCATCCGAGCGCCCGCGTTGTCGAGCAGCCACGTCCATCATGCCTGCGCGCCGCCTCCCGCGCGCTCCTGAGGCATTCCGAGCCCGTGCGGCGTGGCGCCTTTGTGTTTTGCTTCATCCCATTGCGAAGCACCGAAGGCAGCGACCCAAATCCCGCCAGCCTTCCTGTGCAGCCTGCAGGACGGGCCCCAACCCGCCCCCGGCCCAAGAGCCACCCCGCTACCCTTCTCGGAAATTTTAAAAAATTTCAGAAAAAAAGTGGATTTTTCGGCCCAAAAGCGTTAGGGGCAAAATCCGGCGAAGGAAGATGCTCCAGGCCCCCCGCGTATACCCGAGGGCGCAGGGGCAGCCGCCCCCGGTTCGTTGAGTCCGGGGCGCCGGGCCTTTTTGGGCGCCGACCAGTGCCGCGGCGGCAAGCGCCGGGGGGCGAAGTGCCGTGGCCCCAGAAGAGGTGGACCACGCTCCGGCCCCCTCCCGGGTCGTGGGGCCGGGCTATTGCTGCGAGTCGCACCCACCCGCCCGAGGCAGTCTCGACCCCCTGAAAATGTGGCCCGCCGGCTAGACGCCGGCGGGTGGCGTTCGTTGCTCACTAGCAGTGCGAGGCGCCTGCCGGCTGGTGGGGGGTGCTCAGCCCCATCGAGGCCGGCGGCGCCTGCGTCTGCGTTTCGCCAGGGCGCCCGCGCCTTCGGCTTCCTACCGGGCCCAAGCCCATGCGGCGTAAAAAACCCAGATGGGGCCCGCGCTTCCCGGAGGCAGGCGCCCCGCTGTTTTACGCCCGAAAGCAAGCGCGCTCGCTGCGCGCCGCTTTTTTGTTTTGCAAGGCCTTGTCCCTCTCTGATTTGTATTGTCCGCGATGCTCCGTCGGTTGAGGTGCGCTCGTGTCTAGAATCAGTTGCACGAGTGCCAGTTCTTACGCTTTCCTGTTCCCGCCTCAAAACGAAAAGTCGTTCTCGTAGGCCGCGGGTTGAGGTCTTGCATTCCTTCATTCAACAACGACTCGCAACCGGCTCCCTTCTCCTCTTTTACATTTACTGCAAGTGATGGCCTCCCAGGTGGAGTTGCATTTTTGTGACCACAGGCTTTTATTTATTGGATGATCGCAATTGTTTTTCTAGTTCCTCTTCCTGGATCCAAAGTGTAGTAGCTCTTCACTCAGGTGTTTCCGTTTCAGCATTCAGCAGCAGCGGACTAAGGCCACAGCGTCAAGTCAATCCGAGGTGCAAAGACGGTCTCATACCTTTTTAACAACTGCGAATTGAACTAACAAGTGGATCTTCTTCTTCAGCGAGCAGACCAGAAAGGCGACTACGTACAACGAGCTCTCAATGTGGTCGCAGATCGAATTAATATGATGTAGTCCAAGTCGCGAGCCGAGAAGCTGCCTAAGTACTTCTTCCGTGTCCCCTCTTACAGGTCGATATTTTTTAAGGGATTACTTTGCACCGGATCTTCATTCGGAAGAAATTCTTTGGGCATATAAAACGTAAGGAAAGCATAAGCAGAAAGCTACCATCATACAACATAATGGGGCCCATACTACGAGAGTTCTGCTCTTTGTTTCTCCTTTCCCTCCTTCCGCAGCTCTGCAGTGCCGTCCGTGCTGCAGCGGTTGGCAGGGGGCAGGGATCACAGTCTTTGGGGGCCCACGATGCCCCTCTCCCTGCGGACCTACGGGACGACCTGGAGGCTCTGCCATCCGAGGACGACCTGGATGTTGAGACGGAGCACACCGACAGAGGCGATCTCTCGCTCCTCGCATCTGCCACAGCAGCTCGTGCTAGTCGGGTCAGTAGCCCCCGAAGCCGTTCGAGTTCACCGGGTTCCACTGTGGGCGTTGACGTTGTGGAGAGAGATGAGTTTACTTTGCTTCTTCATCACAATGCTCATCAGAAGAAGTTATCAACATCTACTTCACGACGATCTCCACCCGATGCAGGCGAGGAAGCTGTTGATACAAGAACTGCAGAGGGGCCAACATTGCGAGAGGAGACGACTTCTGTCGTGCAGGAGCGGGTTGCCGCTTCCTCAACAGCGATGTCAAGTACATCTGCCTGCGGCCCGCTACCACCATCGTGCGGGGAACAACGGCATGAGGCAGACGTTCCAGCTGCTGCACCTGCATGCGGTCCTGTCAGTCCTGACCTAACCGACAGCATGATGTTGGATCGATGGAACGAGGATAAGATATCCGGAAATCAACAGCAATACGAGCTGTTGCGGCGACTAGGGGAAATGAACCACAGACTGTTGTCCCAGGAGCTGGAACTGCAGAAACTCCGAGCCGGTGCTGCCGTGGGAAATCAAGGTCATGACGCCATCAATACCCACCTCACAACCGCGGTTGCCGCTGAGAGCCGGAGCGGTTTAGATCTTCATGCCGCAGCTGCAACGTCTTCTTCACATGTTCCGCCGATAGCTCCACCCGGGTCATTCTGGCCCATGCCCATGTTGGGCGGCCCGTCGGGTGCTTGCGCTGCCGGTAGTAGTTGCAGCTTCCCGGCGGGGTTTTCTCCCCTTCAAGGAGCAGGAGCGGATCCAGGACAACAGCAAAGCTGTGATAGCCCTCTAAACGTCGTCCAGCAGCATGACATGATGTGTGGTCCCGTAATTGTTTACGGGCCGTTTCTGGATCCGCTGATGCACCAGCAGGAACATCTTGTTCAGGGGTTAGTTGGTAAATTCGAGACCGAAGGCAATTCAAGTGGTGCGTCCTCTTCCTCTTCTACCTGGCAACAGCAGCATCAACAGCAGCATAACGAAAATTCAGTAGCACAAGGCGGATTGGATGGTATCGGACAGCAGCCGGATTATATGCAGCCCTGGCTCGAGGCCACGCCAGATGTGTTCATGTCTTACCACACGCAATTTAACACAAGTGCTGGCTCAGCAACTAGCGGCAAGACTACTAAGCCGGATCGCCAAGGGACAAAGGCGAACAAAGACGGACAGTCCTATGAGGAGAAATTTCACCAGTTGCAAGCTGCGTATGAGGAGATGAGACAGCATCTCGCCCGGCTCAGTGAGTCATCGAAAGCGCAGTGGGACATGCAGAAAAAGGTTGAGCAGGCAGCAGTGAAAACGGCAGTGGGGGTATCCTGTGTGAAAACGTGTGCGCCTAGTACTCAGAGTTTGCATGGGAATCCGCAGATGCCTAATATAAATGTTTTTCCTGATGAGCAGCATTTTCTAGTGCTGTCTGAGCGATTTCTCTACAATCACGATAGTACGATGGTCTATTTGCAAATACCAATACGTGACTGCACGAGCTAACCACGACTGCACTACGAGCCCAAAAGGTTGCCATGCGCAGAAGCCAAAACCTGTTGAGTTAAGTAAAGTATAAAGCAGAATTCCCATCCGGACAACTCTTGGGCGGTTGCGTTGGGGACGTTTTTCCACAGGATGGGAGGAAGTTTGCGAGCGTCATAAAATTGTGGAAGAAGAATTTGAAAAGCAGAAGACGCAACTCATTTTGAATGAAGCGAAGGCTGCGCTTGCGCTCCGAGAGTTGAAGAACGAAGCCAATGTCGCGCGGCAAAAAGCGACGCAGGAGCTGGCGCACCAGGTGAAGGGTTTGAAGGGCCAGGTGTCCGCGTTGGCACGGCAAAACGAGGCGCTGAAAAGGGAAAAGGAGGATGAGAGGATGAAAACGCAGGCTCGTCCTGCGGAGCCTTCTGACCAACACTCGGTCGAAAAAATGAAAGGCACCACTGGTGCGAGAAAAGAGGACCGCAGTGTGGTGTTAACAGAGGTACAACCAGAACTATCAGAATCAGGGCCGGTTGTAGTTGAAGACCAAAACGGCGCGCAGGGGACTAACAATCGGCTTGATCATCCGATTGACGACGGCGATGCGAGCAACGCGCTTCTCCTCCGGTCGTTCTTTGAGGATGCGAAGCGGCAAATTGTGCAGGATTTGTGCAGGAATTTAGGACCGACTACGGAGACAGCGGTTGGTGCGAAAGACGACGAGGATGTTGATGATGAGCGTGTTCATCTTCTTCAGGACAAAAGAACAAAGGGGTCCTCGTCGCTGTTGAACAAGAAGTCCTCCGGAAGAAATAACAGGAAAACAAGCAAAATGGATGTGGATGGCCGACTGCAGGAGGAACAGAGAATAGCGGAGTGTGTGGAGGATGCTTTTCAAAAAATCGCCACTCAGGCGGAGAAACTTAGCAAGACCTCTGCTGGGAAGATGTTGTCACCGTCGATTTTATTCGGCGGGACGAGTTTTATGACGAAAACTTCTGCCACTTCGTCAACACCCTCACCGGTTGCTAAAGACCTACTTCACGAGGACACTGTAAGTCCCGCGTCCACTACGGCAGCCACGCATTCCAGTGGCTCCTCGGTCGCCAGTGTGGAGGTCGATCTTGTTGGTCATCCCGGGCTGCAATCCTCCAGCTGCTCTCGTCGGGACTCACCGTCCATGAGTCCCAGTCCGTGGGGGCACCGGAGGAAGTTTAGTTCCGGTTCCGGAGAACTAATGGAAGACAGAAAAGCCCCCTGCTCTCCAGAATCTCTTGTCAAAGCGAATAAAAATATCGACTTACGTAGTGCAAAAATGGACTTGGAGTTGAAACAAGATGCCGTTCCTTCAACAGTGGATGAAACGCAAGGACAAGCAGATCCAACTACAACCGTGCAAGAGCTGCAGAAGAGCCTCGCGGCGCTGGCCATACGCGATGATTGCCCAGGGCCGATGGGCAAGGAGCCTTCATCCGACGTGAGAAGTCCAAGCAGCAAGAAGCAAGGCGATAACTGTTCGCCGAGAAGAAATAAGAAAGACAGGAACAAGGGGTGCGACAATACAACTAGCCATAGCCTTGCCGCCGCTCATGTCCTAGGTGACAGAATGCAGGCCACGCCATCGGATCAAAGAGAGGAAGGCGCTGCGGGTGAGAAGCACAGTAGTGCCCCCTGTCTTTCTTCTCCCGAGCAGTCGCAGCCGATGGATCTCGATGAAGCGGCTCTTGTAGAAGATAGCGCGAAGAATAAAAGCACCGCTAAAACATTAAAGCAGCCGGTTTCTTTGGAACAGCACCTCCAGAACAAAGGGCAGCCCCAAACTTACTGCCGTAAGGTTTCAGGAGAGTCTACTTCTTCTGGAGTTGGTGCAGGTGGCGCTAAAATGATGCAGAATATTAAATCAGCGGGGAGTTGTATCAATATCATCAAAGGTGCCCCCAGCAAGCAGTGTGCAGAACAACTACGCGATGCCGACTCCGCCTTTTTGGACGAAGAGATCAAGCGGGCGGAAAGGGAAGCACAAGAGTTGGAAAATGAGCTGTCCTCCCGCCGGTGGCCCAAAAATATTAAGCTGTCCGAGTTTCTCCAGCGAGCGAACGCGGAGCTCTGCGGGGTGAAGGAGGACTTTCTGCTGATGGTGTGCGAGCCCGTGGCCTACTTCCGGCTGTGCTGCGACGAGGCCGGTTCCGGGATGGCCCGGTTTACGCCGGAGTCGCGGGACAGGGTGGTGGCTCTGAACAACTACATCTTTTTGCTCGCGGCGACGAGCGTGTTTGTCAACAGTGTGGCGGACCAGCTGGGATTCATCAACGGCGTCCCGGTGGCGGCCTTGATTTGCAACATGCCCGCCATGATCGGATTACAACTGCACGCCTGGGGCATGACGAAGCGCGGCATGCCGCTCTGTGGGTACTTGTCCTGGATTCTGGGGACGTGGACCCTCGGGTACTTACACTACGAACTACTGGAGAGGTTAGAGAACGACAAAATGATCGCGAAGGCGGAGTCCGACGAGGAATTACAGTATCTTCTGGCCGCGAAGGAGACGAGGAACTGCAGGACGGCGGTGAGCACCTGGACACTCGGGCTCCACTTGATCAACAGTTTCCTGTGCATGATTTTCCAGTTTCCGGAGGAGCGGGAGTTAGCGGAGCTGGAGCGGAAGGAGCGGGAGGGGGCAGGAGCTTGTTCAGCTAAAGGAGACTCCGGAGCTGATGCTGTGCCACGTGTCTCCGAATCTACATCAACCTTGGCCGGCGCGCCGGGGCAGGTCGAAATGACAGCACTGCATCAACCGGAAGGACAACCGCAAGGAAACAACAACAGAAGTGGCACGATGCTGAGGCGGGGAAATGGGAAGCAAGGAAAGGGAAACAGACGGAAATAGCACTTCTGGTGGTTCTTGTAGTTCTACTTGTTTTGTACAACTAGCCGTGGTTTTCAACATGATGCAACATCTACATTTTATTGTTCATTTTGTGCGAAGAAAAAGAAATCATTCGAGAATACAGAACACGTTCTACATCTACCATAACCAATCTATCTTGCAACTTTGTCATGAAGAAAGCTTGAACTTTACGATTTTAAAAAAGCCGGGGATAATAGCGGGCTCTTCAGCCCCGATACTGCAGAATGTCGTGCTGAGGCTGTTGTTCGGTGTTTTGAAACAAGTATTTTGCGAAGAGAATCATGCCTACTTTTCTGATGTCGAAAGCACGCTGGACAAATGCACGCTTGATTTATCATGTCTATCGTGTAAAGATGAAGAAGCCACTGCTTTCTTACTTGAAGATGAAACACGGCCAAGAATAAATCTGAATGGCTGCGCGCGGATTGTTGTGCCTTTTTTCATTCCTCCGGTGTTGCCCGAAGCACGGATTGTGCCCCTACGCTTATCGCAAGAATTCGCACAGCGGCATTTCCGTATAACAGCTTCTACACCAAATAAAATTAAAAAATTTGTTTGATCACGTAGCATATCTATCGATGACGCAGTGCCACCGGCTAGGCGTGCTGTTTGCGTTAAGGTAGTTCATCCGATCGTGCCTTTATCTAGTATCTAGTTCGCACATTTTCATCATCTCCTAGTTCCAAGATTTATCATCAAAATGGCCCCTCGCAGTATATTCGCGACTTCTAATTCGAGTCTTTCGAAAAACCAGCAAGCCGTCGTGCATTTTTCCCTGCAAGCCGCAGAGATTCTGCTAGAGGATGTCCTCGCGATTTCAATTTTGCGCCTCCTGCTCACAAAGGAGCACGCGGTTCGGGAAGATGTGTTGGTGGAAAGTCTTAAAGTTCCCCAAAAGCTCCTCCGGGCCAAGCTCCGCCAGTTTCCGCCGGGGGTAGTGGAAGAGGAGCTCGCCGGTCCGGGATCCGGGGCGCACAACCAACACGGAGGGCGCCGGGGTACAACTACTGTCGACAGCAGTAGTGCTAGTTCAACAGCGGTGGAAATAAACAATAAAACGTCCGCCATGAGCCAGTGCTTTATCAGGTTCGCGCCCCAGATTGGGCACTTTTTCGGGGACGCGCTGTGCAGCATGGTCGAGGTGTTACTGGCAGAGGAGGAAGAGAACCAGAACGCGCTTGCAGATAATTCGCAGCAGGAACAAGATGAGTATCAATTCCAGCAAACAAAAAGGTTGCAGGTGCAATACAAGACGCTTCTGGCGAAAGTGCCAAGAAAAAAGAGCAAGGTGCGATTGAATTTGAACCCGAACCCGTCCTCCAGAGGACCCGCGGGCGGCACTAGAGGTGGACCACATCTTGCGACAATGACGGCAGCAAGTGTGGTGCCTGTACAACGAGGAACAGCAGCAGCACCAGCAGCAAGAGCTGCGTACCGGTGCGCTGGGACTTGCACGAGAGAATACGGGGAGTTGGATGTGATCAAGTACATTTCAAAAGACGGGACGAAATACATCTGCCCGCAGTGCGGCAAACACGAGCTGGTTTTTAGCAAAGCCGCGGTAAAATCCAGCTTTGACGAGAAAAATAACGAAATCATTCTGAATCGGAGTGATTTGGAGCGGCAGTTGCAACAGCAAAAAGCGGCTAGCGTGACATCGACTGGCCAGGCAGGGACGAGTGCAGCCACAGTATTAAATGCAGGCGCTCGTTCGACACCACGACGGCCACGACAATCCAAACTTTCCGTCTTCCACACCTACTGCGGCGGCCTTTTCAAGCAGTACTGCGAAAGTCTCCGCGGGATCACGTTGCCCTACCTCCCCCGCCGCGATCCGAATCTGTTTCGGAATAAAGACAAAAGCCTCAATACAACCACCTCGCAGGATGCGAACGTGTTGTCCATGACGTCGGCGCTGAGCTCGTCGGGTAGAGGTGACCAATTGGAGATTGTGGAGGTCGACCGATCGGTGCCGTTTTTTCTTCAGACCGGGGCGGCGACAAGCAGCGGGACGAGTAATTATTCGGCGGGTGGTGCAAATAGACGACGAAGGAGCTTTGAAGATGGTTTCGACGACGATGAATTCTTAGGGCTAGCAGCAGATAGCAACGCGAAGCGACAACGATTGAACCAGCAGAAACCGACACGGGGCTACAACCTCCCTGAGGACGATTTTCTTGATCCTTTCTCGCACCTTCCGCCCCTAGACATGGCCATGCGAGAGAGAAACCGAGCGCGACTCTTGCGAGCGAGAAAAATTGCCGCGAATGGAGCAGGAGGTAACAAAAGCACAAGCTCATCAACCGCTGGAGGTGAAGAGGAGCGGACAAGACGGATCAAAGAATTGTTGGACGAGAAGGTTTTGTCGTATGAGAACTTTTATCCGATGCAAATTATGTCTGGGTCTGGAAGATTGCGAGATTTGTCATGCTAGTCTGGCATGACTCTGCGCTCTGTATTGCGTGGCCACCAAGAGGTTCTCTTGCCTGTCATGGAAAAGTGCACTTTCTCATGCGAAATACGCATCACAAAAGCACGAGAAAAATTGTCATGCTTGGCGGCGCATTACAGAGCATGTATTGTTCACGGACTTGCATCACAAGTTTCCAGACCCAGACATTTTTGCAATCCATAACTTTTCGAAGAAGATCGCCTTGCGGTACGTCACGGCAGAGCATGAGGGCAAGATGACGGATGCCGAGTACGAGGCATATTTCGAGCAAAAGCAGCAAGCCTTGAATTTACACTACGGCGAACTCTTTGCGGGAAGGTTTTGATTTTGCTAGTATAGTACCAAAAAACAGCGACTTGTGTACATATGAACAGCGAGGACTGCGACTGCACAATGTGAACTGCGAAATAATAGTTTATATGCACAGCATGCAAAGACAAGCGACACAAATATGAATGTAGACGAATTCCGGTTCATTCATCAGCACACTTCATCGCCACATGGTGCTGATGTGGTGGAACAGCCATTACTACCAGTTGATGCTCCAGCACAAGCTTTAAAACTCATCGATTGGATACAATTCAGTGTTCAAAACACGTTTTGTTCGATCCTTCTGAGAATTTGTCGAGCAGACAGAAAAAGTATCGCACTTTGCTACTTTCTCGCGATCTCGATAATCATGCCGTTTTCGATTTTTGGCAAACCGTTTCCTCAATACTGCTAGTCGTGCTACTTCTGGACAATCGGTTTTTTTTTTCCGCTCTTCTATGAAAAGATAAAGACGAGCAACTCGGTCAACAAAGTCAGAGTCCTTCCAAAAAGCCAAAAAAAAGTCAAATGATGCTGTTTACTGCTCCTTTCATCGAGATCTGGTCTTTGATGGTCAAAGCATGACATACTTCGAAAACACAGTGTAAAAGGAAAAGAGCCCGGCTATACCCCCGTGTAATATATTTTTTTCCATTTTCCGCCTTGTAACAGAGTCTTCAATTCCATGATTTGCGCGCTTTTACATGATTTTGAACTGATTTTCCACACTCAAATTTTCCACAAGTGTACCGTTGCAATTTTCCGAAAAAGGAGCTCCGTTCAGCACGCTTCTCTTGATTTTTTCGGCCTTGTATAGCGGAAATTTTTTTAAGCAGCACATTTTCTGCTGAAAGAACGGCATGCAGCTTCTTCCTCTGTTTCGTGTAACCAAATACGTCGACCCAAGCAACGGGGTAGCTATAGTGAAAGGCAATTGTTTCCATTTCCAGTTCTTTTCCCTCTTGAAGCGGTAATGACTCACGTGTGTAGTCATACATGGAAGAAGAGGGGAACGCGGGGGGCACGGGGAAAGCGGGAAGCTCGGGGAAAGCGGGAAGCACGGGGAAAGCGGATGGAAAGCACGGGGAAGGCGGGAAGCACGGGGAAAGCGGGAAGCACGGGGAAAGCGGGAAGCACGGGGAAAGCGGGAAGCTCGGGGAAAGCGGGAAGCACGGGGAAAGCGGATGGAAAGCACGGGGAACGCGGGGGGCACGGGGAAAGCGGGAAGCTCGGGGAAAGCGGGAAGCACGGGGGAAGCGGATGGAAAGCACGGGGAAGGCGGGAAGCACGGGGAAGGCGGGGGGCACGGGGAAAGCGGGGGGCACGGGGAAAGCGGGCGCGGGGCAAGGGGAAAGAAGCCGGGAAGCATCGGCCCACGGGGCAGACCCACCGCGCCCCAACTAACACCAGGCGGGGAGGCGGGCAGCTGCCCACCACCCTCCCCCGACGCCCCCCCCCCTGTTCGCGGGGGGGCTGGAGGAGGGCGCCACCGTCCGCCGTTTCTGTCTTGGGGGCTGGCTGCGCGCGAGGGAAGGCGGGAGCGGAACAGATTGCGTGCGGGCCAGCGCGTGGGGAGCCATAGTTGTCCGGGGGGTGCGGAGGGAGGGTGGTGGGCCCAAGCTGTTTGGGTAACTAGACTGAGGTGCCGCCCATGCTGTTTGGTCTGATGGATGTTTACGCGCGCTAGCGGTCTCGACGAATTGGTTGGACATACTGTGTGGCTCAGCCGCACTCGTTGTCGTGTCGGTTTCGACCCTCACGCGGCGACAGCTGCCTGTCTGGCTACCTGTCACCGCCTCTTCGTGGCCTTCGCCACCGGTCGTTTGTGCTCGACCCTGCTTCCTTTCGCTGTGCGACTGGGGGTGGGTCTCGGGTACAAAACGACCGTCCCACCTCGGGGGAGAGGTCAACTTCTCTTGTCCTGTATGACAAAGTTACCACCTCTTGGTACACCATCGGTTCATCTGCGATGAACCTGTGCCCGTCGGCACTGTGGCTGCGTCTTCGCGCCACGCTGCACCTCACGCAGCGCTGCACCTCACGCAGCACCGTCGCGTCGTTGCGACAATGTGTCCCTCACGACACGCGTTGGTGGTGCGAAAGCACCCCTTCGCACCCAGTGCTTGCCTCTGCAGCACGCTTTCTTACGCTGCCAGCTCCCCGTGTGGGACCGTGCAGCGTGCGGTTGGACACCGCAGGCCGTGTGTTATGCTCCTCCGGTGCGCAGGCAAGATAACCTGCGCACGCGTCGGTGTCGGCACTCACACTTCATGCCTAGGGGGCGCTGCTCTGGCAGCTGCTGCGCCCCCGCCGCCTTGCACCTCCCCGTCTGGTCCAGATAGGGTTGTGTGAGTGCATAGGCCCGTGCGTCGTGCGACCTCGTAGGTGAAGGTCGGGCGCTACGGGCCTCCCGCCCGCACATCAACGTGCGGCGCGGGTGGCGTCGTGGATCCTGCGCACCGCTCGCGCGCCTGCGATCCTGACGTCCTCCCGGGGGGCGCGCGCAGCGCCCCCTGTTCACTCCTCGTGCCACCCGTGGCACCGGCGTGTTCCTCCGCCACGGTGTGGTGTGGCACGCCCCCCCCTCTCCTCCCTCTGCATGTGTGTAGTCATACCCTCTCCTCCCTCTCCTCCCCCTGATAATGACTCATGTGTGTAGCCATACATGGAAGAAGAGTCATTGCCGATATGCTATTTAGGAATTTGTTTTCTACTATTTCTCCATTACTAGTGTAGTATGTTTCTCCTGTTTTGTTTCCTTTTGACCAACATTGTTTCTTGCACAGCACCATAGGTGAAAAAGTCGTATCTCTTCTTTGAATTGCGAGAGATCTGATTGTGTTTTGCAAATAGATATCCTCGTGTCGATAAACTTACTCGCACTCCTGAAACCACATTTTGTTCCTTTTGTGTACTATCCTTTGTTCCGTCTGCTAAATTTCTTGAAACTTCTCGTGTACGAAATGAAACAAAAGAACATGTGGCGCCGTGTCTTATCATACTAAAGCGTGGTCCCTGTCTACGTCTCCCCGAAGATACCGACGGGACGATTATCAAAACGAAAAATCCCCCCTCCCCACATCAAAACGAAATTTCTGATGCTGGATTTGAGTACACAAATCAGGTTTGTATTGCAGGAAAGCATTGCAGTCAGATCCCCAGGCTAGATAGGGGCGTATGCGTCTAGTTGTTCAGCATGGCAAGCGGCTCCCCTTTAGGCCCAACAGCATGACAAATCGCTTCCATAGTGGGGCGGAAGCTTCTGCCCTTGTCTTCTTGCAATACAAATGTGATTTGCGACCTCAAAGCAGCAAGACAAATTTTCGGAAACATACCTTTTCGATATGGGGAGGGGGGATTTTTCCTTTTGATAACGATGTCGTTCACATTTCACGGCTGCTCTGTGAACAAACGCGATGAGGAAGTGTTGGTCTCCTTCGCGCGTGACTTATGCAAGACGAATTTACCGTAAGAAGTACAGAAAGCATTACAAATTTGCCCGGAAGGACGCAAAAAAGAATGAACTTTGTCATGCTTCTAATAGAGGTATAGGTATACGAAAAGATTAAGATTGTCATGCTTGGCCTGCTACGGTAGATTTGTTCCTGTGGATACGACTTAGCGGCGCCCTTCGACCCTGGACGCGCTCGCTTGGTTTGGACTACGGAACCCGCGAAAGCAGGAGCGGCGCAAGTGGATAAAGTTGACGACACGCCAACAGATGTACAACTGTCGTGATGCTTCTACTTGTAGCTATGGCAGTGCAGTTTGCGTTGACTTATTTTTGCATGCAGATATTGATATCCTATGTGTATGACCAGCACAAGGGAGTAAAATTTTCATGCGTAGGACTAGCGGGGTCTCGGTCTACCTCAGCACCACACAAATGTAGTACGTGTGCCGAATAAGTAAAAACAATCGTCGATGATCTTCAGGTTCGCGAAATGAGCAGCGTCCGACATTCGGAAAACGGGCATGGCGCGTTGGTATTTCCTCTGCGGGACTTGGGGAACGTGAAGTCCTGCTGCTTCAATATGGGGGAAATCAGCATCTCTGTGATTCAGGACATCCGCCGCGACCTGTCAAAGCGCGGCGAGGAGGGTGAGCAGGATCCTGTAGCGTTGACCTCGGCGCTTTCAGGGTATAGTATACCTTACACCTATTTCTGATGCGCGGCCGGCATGATGGAGCACTGTACTGCTACTGAGGCTTAAGTTGTAATATCATGCGGAACAAAAGAGCGCGTTGCGAATGCAAAACACAAAAACCACTTCAGGAATATTCTCTACGAAGAAGACGACGACGAGGCCCACGATGAGGAGAACGACGATGTATCGTCCCTGAATGCCATCGCCGGTTTACGAAAGCACACCCTGGCTTCGCAATCCGCACCCGCGCATTTGGCGAATAGGAACGGGGCGATTAGTAAGTCTGATTTGATAAATTCTTTGAACACGACGAGCTCTGGAGAAAAAACTACTGCACCAGCGGGAACAAGTGGAGCAGCTGGGACCACTTCAAAAGGAGCGGAAGTACAACACCATCCTGCTCGACAGAACCAGAATCTTCTCGCCGTACCGAAGAACAGCCCGAGACTAGCTTCTGGATCGAGTGGCGCCTCGAGTGGGGAGAACATTAGCGTTGCGAAGAACGTTGTGTCGACGACGTCCCAGCATCATCCGATCGTTCATGTGCCGAACAGTGTAAAAATAGTGGATCCACAGACGGAAAAGGTGCATTTGTCGCATAAATTATTATCTTCGTTGGAAACCACCGCCCAACAAGCCACGGTGGCGGTGGAAGACTTGACTCGGCAGTTGTCGAAAATCACCGAGAAACAGAGCCCCACAACCAGTAGCAGTGACGAAAAGGATGCTGTCCTGAGCGGGAGTAAGAAGGAAAACGCATCTTCGACTTACTCGTCGAAGAATTTCACGCACACTTTGTTGCTGACTGACAAGTCCCCGATGTCTGCGACGGACAAATATGGGTATGGGGCGGGAGCGGGCGGGGAACAGACTTCTAAAGCTGCCAAGAGCGGGCATAGTACTTCTAAAGGGACCACGACGGTGCTACCTGTGGTAACGAAGCACGGGAATCTGAAGGTGGTGACGGGAAATCTCGAACAGTTGCCGATACCGCCATTGTCAATTCTGAAGCAGGTACAGGAGCGACAAAGGTCCAGAGAGAGTGGCTCGAGGGAGAGTATCAGGTCAAGAACAAGCAAGAGCACCGGTAAAAATGATTTTGCAATCACAGCCATGAGAATAGGAATAGAGCACGTCGCTTTGTGATCATTCTTCAAATGCCAGTGGGGGCTAGGGAAAGGAGTAGTAACATTTTTGAGAGTTGTGATGAAATTGCAAGAGAGACTGCTGGGAGAGACAGCTGGTTTGTTGCTGCTGCGTGCACTGCGTTTGCTACTGGGGACGATGAGGTCGATGCCAATGCGATGCCTCCTTTGAAGTGCGTGTGCGTGTCTCAATTTGCGGCCGGACCGCCTGGGAACTTACTAAGGTTGCTGCGGCTGGCGGTAAAATGGAGGAGGCGGTGGATTTTGCGTCGACGTTTGTATATATGGACCCAATAAAAGCGCTTCAGCTCCTTTGGAACGGGAAAAAAGCCTTTACTACGTTGTATCGCAACTTGCAGGAGCATGCTGGTCCTCGACAAGGTTCTTTTCTAAACCCAGCAAATCAACACACCAGGTAATGCCTCCTCCCAGACGTCGCTCCAACATTACATGGCTCGATTTTCCAGCGGACCGGGGGACCGGACGCCGTCTCCGAGTCTGAGCTACGACTGGGATCCCACGGTCGCGCGGTCACCAAACGACAAGCTATGGATTGCAAAAATGTCTGGGTCTGGAAGATTGTCAGATTTATCATGCAGCTTTTCCATGACCCACGAGGTCTGGAATGCAGGACCTAACATGACAGATTCTGTGCGATCTCTCTCATGCCTATTCTGCATGAGAAACTCCCTCCCGAATTGGGCAAAACTGGACGACTTTTGGTAATCATGCAACACAGATTTTTGCATGCTTCAGATCTAGCATGACAAGTTACATTCTTCCAGACCCAGACACTTTTACATTTGATACAAGCCAACCCCGAGCAACGGAGGTCCCGCGCCGATTCAGCTCGTCCCGCCATTCGCCTACGACCCGTCCGGGTGGGGCACCGCCTTCGGCGGCCCACAACAGCCACCGCAGTCGTCCGGGGGTAGTGCGGGCGGCCGGGAGGGTGCGGGGGTTTCTGAAAGTTATCAAGACGAAAATTTGCTTGTTTTTCATGTTCTCTTCTTTTGGAGAATGGCGCGAGTTTTATGAGTTGTCTGTTTGCATGATTTGTATCCAAGTGTAATCAAATGCCTTTCTGCACAACTACATAGATTGTCTGTGCTGTGAGCTGTCCTTTTGCTAGTTCATGAGTACTTGATGTTGCCACAGATGAATGGCAAAAGAAGTTTCGCCTTGATAGCCGCGTCAGCACAACAAGGATGCAGACGGAAAATGCGCCGAACATGGCTGGTATGAAAATACACTTCGCCTACAAGAACTTGTGAAAGATTGATTGATTTCTCATTCTGCAATAAAAGCCCGCAAATTTTATCTCTCGTGTGATGAAAACAAAAACTAGCATAAAGTAAAAAAATCGATTTTTCATGTGAAAGACAAATCCATATATTGACAGGCACGATCTGGTACCACGACCCCCACACTGGTCTGATGCACCCCATCACGCCGTCGGCCGATTCCACCTACATCTGGAATGGCCAAGCTTTTGTCGGCGCCGGGGCAGCACTTACCGCGGCCGCGATGCAGAATAATTCCGGAAACACAAACAGTACGCTGTCCAGTCCCCCTGCTAGTATGCAAAACACGCCGGCGTCCGGCCCGGTCCCGTTCCTTCCCCAGCCGCGGAACAGTCCGCCGCAGGGTCCTTCCAGGCAGGTCTTACCCCAGCAGTCACCACCCCCGGGGACGCAGACGACGCAGGTGCTCAGTCCGGCGACGAACATCGTGATGTCCTCGGATCACGACAACCCCGCACGCGACTCTATCGGTTCTGGCCAGTTCACAATGTACGAATTCAGTCCAAGTGGTCAGGTCCACCAAGACGTTGCGCGATTTTCGAATGGGTCCTACAGTACGCGGATCCTGCCGAACGCTTCCGGCGGGCCGTCCGCAATGCAGATCTTGACCTCAACGCCCGGAGGTTCGGGCACAACGTCACAAGGCGGTAGTACTTCTGTTGTGTCGAATGGTGCGCCGGGAAGCGCCGACATTTCAGGACGGGACGGGAGAGCGGGAACGGCGGATAGATTTTTGCCTGGAGCAGCAGGTGCTGCCGAGAGGCAGCTGTCGGATAGCGCAAATTTGAGCGAGTTCGCGTATCAACAGCAACAAAGGATGCTGTCTTCTCGTGGCGGTGGAGTTGGGGGAGCTGCATCGGGTCCATCGCAACACCAAGGTTTGCCCCCACACCTCGCTAACGGCGCGGCGATAGCTGCGATGCAGCAGGGTGGCAAGGTACTGGTTTACCCGAACCAAATAGGACCGGGGAGAGATCTCACCAACATGCGGGATCAACACAATCCAAACCAGCAGTCCCAGCACCATGCGGGTCGCGTCGATTACACGCTTTTGAACTCCTCGGGGGAGCAGGAGTACTACTTCGGGGGGAGCAGCAGCTCCCGGTTCGTCTCTTCGCAGCACGGCGGTTCGAAAGGAACATCTTCAAGCATGATGAACGACGGTACTAATCGCTACATGCCGGCGTTCGTAGAAAATAATCCCCAAATAACAAGCGGCAACAGCTCCAGTAAACACAGTCAAGGCCCCGCCCGCAACGTGCCCACCTTCATCGGGAGTAACCCAAGCTCCAAGCACAGCCAAGGAGGCGGCGTGCCGACCATCAGTACCACGGTGAGGGAGTACCAGAAAAGTGAGAATCAAAGGGGGAGCCGCGGCGGTGCTGACAGAGATCAACATCTTCACTATGGGACGAGTAACCTGTTTCAGCAACACAACTCCGACGGAGGAGGCCGATTTAGTTCTTCGTCCCACGATCAGCAGCATCCGCGCGACCGCGGCGGGTCAGGAGGGAACAGTATGCACCACCAGCAGCACCCTCCGTCCTCCAGAGGAGGCATGTTTGTCGACGAAAGAGGAAACTTGCACCCGTATATTCATCCCGGAGGACCAGGTGTAGTAGACCGCGATAGTGGTGGTCAAGGTCATCTCCATGCTGTAGTTTCACGCGGAGGCGGTGGTGACCATTCGAGAGACAGCGGAGGACATACCGGAGGGCCACCCGGTGTTGTTCCTCGGTATAGCAATAGTAAGAAATCCACGACGTCGAATAACAGCAGCAATATCAATGCACCACCCTTGCCTGTCAATAGTACCGCTGGTGGTCCTAATACTGCCCATCAACAATCCGGGCGAACCCCGACGGGGAGCAAAGGACCACCGCCATCCTCTTCGCTAAATCCTAACCCCCCGCCCCCCGTCCGGCGCCACCCGCAGGACTCGCAGTTGATGCGCGACTTCAAAGACAAAAAAATCCGCCCGAAGCTGGGCGAGATCGGGGCGAGCATGCAGTTGGCGCAGGAGTTTGTGTACGATCAATTGGGGTCGCGCTACGTGCAGGAGGAACTCGCCACCGCCGAGCCGAACGACAAACGTAAGCTGTTCGAGCAACTGGTTCCGCAGGCGTCATATCAAAAGTAAAAATGTCTGGGTCTGGGAACTTGTGATGCTGGGTAGCGTCTCATGATGAGGCTACAAATGCTTGCTCAGCATGACAAGTTTCTGAGCTCCTAGGTGTTGCCTATTCTGCATGACAAACTGCGCTTCTGCATCACAGAAAAACGCAGCTCTTGGGTAACGTGCATAACAGATTTAAAAGTCATGCCAGACAAGCATGACAAACATGAATTCTTCCAGACCCAGACATTTTTACAGTTCATACGTCAAAATTGGTCTACGACGTGTTTGGGAATTACGTGATCCATATCCCACAGAAAAAAGCTGGCAGGTCACATTTGTAATGCAAAAATAAATACACAAAAAAACCTGTATTGCGTATCCTTAACAGCATGCTATGAGGCCGCCCATAGCAGATTTTTCTGTGTATTTATTTTTGCATTACAAATGTGCCCTGCCAGCTTTCTTCTTTGTGATAATCCAGAAGTATTTTGAACACGGAACCTTGGAGCAGAAAACGGTCTTGGCGGAATGCCTGGTCGGGGAAACGAAGAAGCTGTGTTTGCAGCTGTACGTATCCTATTTAAAAACCTACCCACACCAGCAGAGTTGTAATGCAAATCTGCATGCTGAGAATGTTTCTCATGCGGAGCCCCATGAGAAGCATTTTCTTGTCGTGTTTTGCAATTTGTGATGCTCCAATCAGCATGGTATGCTAGATCTGTGATGCTGCTGAGCTAGCTCAAACAGCACTACACTACGAATCCAAATTTGTCATGCAAAACAGCCAAAACTTGTGGATTTGTCTAGCCGATTCCCCATCTTGACTATGGTGTGGGTACGTTTTTACTCAGGATAGTACGGGTGCCGGGTCATTCAGACCGCGCTGGAGTTCCTCCCCTTGGATTTGAAGAAGCTGCTCATCGGGGAGTTGCGCGGCAGCATCGTAGAATTGGTCCAGGACCAAAACGGGAATCACGTCATTCAAAAGTGCATCGAGGTGCTGCCGACGCCGGAGGTACTTAAGTTAGTACTTAGGCGCTTTACACTCTACGATCGTTTTTACAGATGAACTTCTCATCACATTTGGCAACTGGAACTGTGCAAGTAGTTTTGCTGCTGGAACAAACCGCATTGCAATTGTCGCTAATAATTTTACAACTACTTCAGGTTCACTGGATCGTTGGCTCTTTCCAGAACAATGTGCGCGAGATAGCTTCGGACCGGTATGGGTGTAGGGTGATTCAGCGAATCATTGAATGCTGCGCGGTCGAGGAAACTGGATTGTTGTTCGACGAGATGCTGTCGGCAAGAACCTGTCGGGCACTGGCGCACCACAGGTATTTACTGCTGTGGGTCTTCTTCATGCGGGAAAAGTTTTGTCTTTTATGCAATTTGCGCTGCAATTGAGTACAACGAAGTTGTGGTGCAAAAAATTTACATACCTATATTCCGTAGCTTGTGAAGATGTTGCAACGAGTCTTCAAACCCTGTCTGTAATCCACGCTTTCAAAACACGACCAGATATGGCAACTACGTGATCCAATATGTTCTCGAGCGCGGGCGTCCGCAGGATAAAATGGCTTTGCTAACGCAGTGCGTTGCCGAGATCAAGGAGTGGTCGTGCCACAAGTTTGCGTCCAACATCGTGGAAAAGGTTTTGGACTATTGCGAAGAGGAGCAGCCGGACCAGAAGCACAGTATGATCTCCGCGATCATCAAACCGGCGAATAATCCTCCCGTCATGAACATCATGAAGGACAAGTTCGGAAATTACATCGTCCAAAAGTATTGTGGTGTTGTGCTTCATCTTGTGTTGCTGTGCAATGAAGACCATGTTGCCTTTTGTCATGCATATCGGCCTCCAATATCTATCAATTCAAAAACAAAAATCATCCCCCGCCCAGGTTCCTGCGTCTCGCCTCCCATCTGCCTGAAGGCAACGAATTGCGGGACGAATTTTTCCAGCTTTTGAAGCAGCACCTTCCGGAGCTTTCCCGGCTAAGTTACGGGAAACACATTCTGTTCGCGCTGAAAGAAAAAGGATACATGCGGGAGGACGAGGTGGAGCGGGCGCTGTCGAAATCGGCGGCCGAGACGCGAACAAGTTCGAAGGAAGAGCGGTAGCGTTTGATAAGTTCATGCTAGACTTGCAACGACGTCGACCACACGATAACTTGAGTACAATAGGAATAGCGAGTGCGGAGGTGTCACCAGCAGCGTCACAATTCCCTACGGAAAGTTGCGACCCATTGCGGGTTTCTTGTCGCGAATATGCAACCGAGACTTTCGACATAGAAACCCGACACGTACAGTAAAAGGAAGGCTCTTGCTCCATCGGCTAGGATTTGTTTGTAGAAAACGAATAAATGAACGAAGTCAGTAGAATTTTCTACCGCCGTCGTGGTGAAGAAACCAGCTGAAGCTGAAGAAACCAGCTGAAGCCGCCGTCGTGGTGAAGAAACCAGCTTCACTTGGCAGCTGAAGCTGACAGTAAAATCACGGTGAAAATAAAACAGGAATTTTGAGATTTCTCTCAACTCATGTCTTTTGGGAATAAAGATTTTGTCGCGTCTTTCTTCTGTACCATTTTTCAAATTGTTTTCAAAGTGAAAATTTCGAAAATGCTTTGTAGGACCCACAGTGGTCATCTTCATTCTACTCTAGGTTTGTACCAATTTTTGCTTTTTTTTGCGCGATAATTATTTGTAGTTGTATTATCAATGAAATTTGTACGGTGCTAATATCAGTCCTCCTCTTCTAAAATATGTGTCTATCATTTACAACAGTAAATTTGGCCAAGGTCAGAAAGATCATCGCATGCTTTTCGAAACAAGTGTTGCCTTCACTTCATGCGAAGTATAATATCACGACTTGCGTACCCTGTACCTCTTTTTCTGTTCACCACCCGGTAGAAGTGCTACCAGAACTAAGTAAGTTCTAGAGAAAAAGACTCCGTTTCTGCGCTGGCGGGCGAAGTAGGACATTGATACAAGGAATAATCGAGACACAAAACAAGGAGGCCATCGAGCTCTAGCGAAGAAACGGATCTTCTCTTGACTGGTTACCCATGCTAAAACGTACCCGCTTTATGTCAATAGAATGCTTAATGACGGATGATTCTTTTCAGCGAGTGAGGTGTGCCGCGGCTATCTTCGGATTTGATAAAAAATGAAAATTCGATGCATCAGTATGCCGCAAAGCACCGCGACCGCGTGCCTTTCTGGTCGGTGACAGACTGTGGCAATCTCGTAGTTCCGTTGTCCTCGTGCTCGTCGTCACGGTGGAGTGTGAACTTCTGTTGCAGAATCAGGTACTTCTGCGTCGGTGATATCTTCGAACAGTGAAAGTATAGTTTTCAAAGGTGCTGCTGCTGAGGGTCGATGAAAGATGAAAGCGCTCTGAAATGGAAGGCAAGCACGGATACATGTATGCACAAAGGGTCGTTTACGTTTTCCTAGAAGTACTAGACAGTCAACAAAGAGGAGGCGTTCCGTTTACAGTGTCGTATTTTCGTACGTTATCGGGTCGTAATTGGTGTGTACGTCAAAGTGGACACGTCGAGAGTGGTAACGAATTGCGTCACATCTTTCGCGTTTCTCCACAAAACTGTTGTACCGCCGCACCCACTGAGTGCAAGCATGCCAAACGGTAGAATTCTGATTTCGCCTTGCGACACTACACAAATGTCATCTTCTGGCTTTCACGACACTCTTCCCACAACAGGAATAGCGGGTTTTTGACAATAGCTACTAGGGCAATCTCTCAATCTTGACAATACCTACTAGGGCAAAACAAGATGATTCCCAGAGTACAATCGATTGTGAAGAATCGATCAGGAGAACCGGCCGCCATAAAGGTCGTAGACGCTTCGTTCCTCTCCGGAAAGAAGAGTCTCACGGAGGTGGTCCTGCCGCCAGAACGCGTCTACACCTTTGGCCAGATCACTGATCTGGACTCGGCCCTTCTGGGCCAGTTCGGATCGGTGATCTGCGCCAAGGTGAAACCGTCGCTGCGCATCGAGGAGGGATGCTTTTCCGAGGTGGTCTTTAAGACCACCAAACGAGATGGAAAAAAGAAAAGCGACGGGCGGCAGGCCACCTACGAGGCGTATGTGGCGTTGCAGGCAGCCATATGGCGGCCGAGAGGGTAACTCTGATGTTTTTAGGTGATCAACTTGCAGAAAATGTGACTGAAAAAGACAAAGAGACCATGGTGGTTCTTCGGTTTATTGTGGTGAGGATTTCATGATTTTTCATGATTGTTATTGTTTATCTTTATCGGTGATAAAACAAAAAAATAAACGCACAGTGTTATCGCGCCGGTGTGGCTCTACCTGGACGAAACGTCAGTGCATATGGGAACCGTTCGTATGAACGTGTTCAGATATCATTTGAAATTTCCCAACGCACGGAAACAGATGCAAGCATACTTCTAACTTTACATTTCACAAGTACTTTAAACCCAATGAATTGCAGCGTAATAAATTAACGGGCTCGGTCTGGAATAGTACCTCTTCTAGATCTAGAGAAGAGAGTACATCGGTGCTGTACTTTCTAGAAGCTGGAAGCAGGGTGCACGTGCCATGTAGCAAGTCTTGTCATGCGTGTTTGCACATTTATAGGTCACGCACAGACTCTTACACCACGCGTTTTTGTGCAGGTCCTCGCGGCTCATTTCAGTGTTCCGTGTCGTCTTTTTCTTTGCGGTGTGGGATATTTTCAATTTGATGCTACCTCGAAACCATTGCCAGACGTCAGACGGTGGATGAAGACCTTTCTGCAAGACCTGCTGTCCGGGTTGTCGTGGCTACACCAAAACGGCGTGGTGCACTGGGATGTCAGGTTGTGCAACCTGCTGTGGATCTTCTTGACTGTAGGAAAGGGAAAGTGCTTTGCACTACTGTGACTCTGCCATGCGTTGCGAAAGAAAGAGAGCGTCCTCTTTTTCGAACGAAGAGCAGGTAGGCATGAGTTGAATCCTCTTGCACAGCCTCCTTTCAGCCTTTCTATTTTTTTGCTGGCGGAGAGAAAAATACACGCGCAGTTGTATAATTTTTAGGAAAGTTTTCAAGTGACAATGTGACTTGACAACTTTCGGGAACAAGGAGGCGGCTTGCAGAATGCATGCCGGGATATGCAAGCATCACTTTCGCGAAACAGGTGTGTGCACTTTCGCTTTCGATAGTAGAGTACCCAAATCAAGTGCCAGCTCACAGACCTGGGAAACGTGCGACCGAAGACCAGTATATGACTTGATTACCTCTTGTTGTCATGCATAGAAAAGATGGCGTTGGTAGTTGTGTACTCGCTTGACGACACGGAAAAGACGCAATTTTGATGCCAAAAAAAAATCAAAATGCTTGACCGCACTTCATATCACAGGTCCGCCATTGAGGTTACCGGAGGGCTCGACGTTCCCTGATTTCTGGGTTATGCAATTGATTCACGTACTAAATACAACTGTGATGTGGTGTGTGATTCTTTGCGCCGTTGCGCCCACTCCGTATTCGTTGGCAAGTCGTGTCTTGCTTTTTTGAGGATCAAATGATGATGATGATTATGATACGACGGACAACAGCATTCAAAATGATGCTGCACAACCAAAGCGTAGCGCGTGGAGAATTGTTCTTCACTGGGCTATTCTATCTAGCACCCCTCGTAAATATCTATTTTTCGTAACAAACCTGAATCGGACAACAGCGACAAACGCAACTGCATGCAGCCACATCACACTGGCAGAGGGGGGTTTTTCGCTGTCATACCCAACGCCGATACGTCATCAACGCCGGAGCGAGCTTGTGCCCACGATGTGGCTCAACTCGGCCTGTGCGCCATGTATGGAATGCAAATAAACTAATGTCAGCGTCTGAACTTGCGTAAGTAAGCAACGTAGCTGCGTTTTGTCTTCGTGCTGCATTACTAATTTCACTTTTGTATTATTGTAAGTTGTACTTTCAGTTTCTGTTGGTGTTGTTTTCGCAAGTTCAAGTTCAGACAGCACCAACACCCATTTACACTGCATACTAGCGCGCAGGCCCTCGAGTCGCAGGTTACTATCCTGGAGCCGGTTAAGAACGACAAGCTCGCCGCAGAGCGTCTGTTGCGCACTTTCCGCCGGACCGCCGCCGCACAGCGCGTGAAGGCGAAAGTGGGGCCCGTGGGGGACCTGTTGTTGGACATGATCTGCCTCGACCCGGCTGCTCGCGTGACCATCCCGAGAGCGCTTGAGCAGCTCGGTGAGAAGGACATCGAAACACTACCCTCAATGTATAGCCTATTTGATGTAATTGTCATGCTATGTTTGTGCGTAGCTTTCGGATTTTGGCATTCTGGCAATTTCTTGTTTTCTAGCTTTCTTGAAATCAAAGTGCACAGCACTGCATGTCACTGTGAAATAATGATCTTCGCAGGTTTGCGCCGTTGGAGTCGATTGAGCCACAGATGCTGGACCACTTGGTGCGGGCTATGCCGGCAGCGCCGCGACCGGAGGAGCTGGTGGATTTTGAGCTCGAAACCAGGACCCGGTACATGAACCAGGAGCTCGAAGCAAAACGCGAAGCACAGAAGGAAGTGACCGCCAGCGCGGTGGCGGTCAACGACAGCCGGCCACTGGGGAAGCCCCGTTACGATATGGCCAAGGCGTTCCTGCGGGTAAAAAGTAAAACTTGATCATGGAAAGAAAGAGAATGAAATAGTGCTGAGGTTCTATTTGTATTTCGATTTTGATCTAGTACTGCATGGGGACTATGATAATGAATACACCGAAAATGAATGTTACTCTTCAGTCCATCATCACCACGAAGAGCAGGCACCGAAAGGACGGGCAGCGGTTCTATGATGCCAAATCTTCGAAGACGCGATACCTGCACGGGATTTATGTGGAAAAAGTATCATTTCGAAAAGTATCATTTCGACCAATGAAAATAGTAAGAAGATGCTGGCGTGGAGTGCGAATGACGGTTGCAACTATGGACGACGTCGGGAGGCAGTGGGGCTATAGCAGCCTCACAAAAATCTCCAGCGAGGACGAGATCAACAGGACACGGCGAAGAATATCCTGGAGGCAAGACAGGGAAATACGGCGAAAGCTGCAGGATGCTAGTCATTTGGTCATCGCAACGGACGGGAGCGCCAAAGCAGGAGAAGGAACCCGCGGCGGCTGTGGCGGGGCCACATGGTGGGCGAGCGAGCTGCACTGCGAGCACGAGATTAACGAAGATTTTGCAGATTGGTATCCGGTAGAACCAATTTGCACTAGCACGGCAGTGGTCGAATCTCCGATAAAAGACGCCCAAGTGGACAGTTTTGACGCTGAGACGTTTGCCCTAGTAAGTCAAATAAAGAAGACGGAAGCACATCTAAAAGAGCATAAAATACAACACCTAATAAAAAAAGTTTCCTTTTACTTGGATCCAAATAGTGTGCTGGAAGGGCTTGCAAATATGCATGAGAAATCGAACATAATGTTTTTTCACATTATAAATGCCCTGGAAGGTCTTCGTGACACATGCATGAAATCGCACTGCAAGTTTGGGCATTCTGATGAGAGTCTACCTGCTATTGCACCAGAATCAGAGATAGAGTTCGAATTTATCTGGAACGCAGGACATAGCGGGCTCTTTTTCAATGATCTTGTTGACAGTCTTGCAAACGAAGCGGAAGATAGGCATGAAAGAGCTATAGAGGCAGGAATACACTCACAAGTGTACCGCAAAGAAATAACAGCGTCAATACTAAGAAGAATATTAACAAACCGCATAAGATACTGGCTAGGAATCACCGAGCTCGAGCCTACGAGTGCCCCGCAGCTGGTGGAAAGGGCGAGAGAATTTGGCGCATTCAGACCGAAAGCAGGCACCTTCCCAACGCGGTATCTGGAGCTGCTGTATTTCTATTTGTTCTCTGGAGTAGTGCCAAGTGGCATTTTGGGCGCAGGAGAAGCTAGGCATGAAGATCATGAAGAGAATCCTGAAGTAAAAAATTACTTCCAAGTGTGTCAACTCTGTGAAGAAGAAACCGAAGGACATGCAACGCATTTGGTCATGGAGTGTCAGTGTCCTGCAGCTGTGGCAGCTAGGCATGAAGTATACGGCTGCGGGGAGCTGCCGCTAGACATCAAGAGTCAAAAGGAGGTTTTCAATGGCCCACAAAAAGTTTTCAAATTCCTGCACGAGACAAACAAAAGGAAAAAATTCCTAAAAAATTTTGCATGTGAACAGATTGAGAAAAATCTAAATTTCATACGACCCAGAATGACAGCGGACACGAAAACCAAAACGAAAGTGGACAACACATACGAGAAGCTTGGGTGGAAGTATAACAGTATAAGTAGAGAAATGCTATCATCCGTGCAAACTAGTACTACAAATCCAGTAGCAGACGAGATTAGAGACAGATACAACAAGAATTTAGAAGCTGTGGCTGCAGCAGTAGCTGAAAGAAAAAAATAAACTGATGACGATGCAGCGCGACATAGATTTGCGCGCATGTTGCTACCTATTAGATATCACTTGTTTTATACTGACGAAGCACGCTAATACATAGAGCAACTTCTACAAAAAACTCGCATGAAGTTAAAATTTTGGAAAATGACATCTTTTACCCTACGACGGTACAGCTACCACTATTTTTCTGCTTGCCTGCAACAGGACTTTGCGCAAGGCCGGAAGGAACGCAAGATCGAAAAAGGATGGACCGAGACATCCAACGTGCTGTGCTTGAACGGACACAAGCAAACGAGCACAATGATACGCAAGTACGGATGGTACGCAAAAAAGACTGGAGCTACAGGCAGGAGGATAGCGAGTAGGTGGAACGAGGTAGGAAGGCAGCCACGGCAGGGGAAAGCAGGAACTAACAGAAAAAGTGATAATCTTCTTCCTACTTTTCTCAATGAGTTATTTTATGGCGCATGACAATTAGCAGCTGCTAATGATTTGCACCTCCTGTTGCACACGATTATTTGTAATGCTAATATTTTCCCCTTAGTATTTTTTAACATACAGATAGACTTCCAGCTAAAATCGGGCTAAGGGCATCAACATGAAAATTTCAGAGGACATCTCATAACTTTCACAGGACTTGGCATGGTGCATAATAATGAACAAAATGAAAATACATGAAAACATAAGCAGGGGATATTAAGCGAGGAAGAGGGTTCTTTTTTCTGCACGGCATAAAACCGAAGGCGAGAGAAAGGGATCAACGATCAACGATGAGGACAGAAAGGATGAAGATCAGCAGAAAGGTCAAAAGCGGGGACAGTATAGGAATAAGTAGATGCAGTGAGTTGATCTTTGCTCCTGATTTGTTCTTTCCTTTACTAAAAAACGAAAATAGCTAGATCTTTGTAAGTTCCACTAAAATAGCCTGGATCTCGCTTGATCAAATGTTGAATTCCGATGTACGCGACAGGATTTTGAATCCAAGAGAATATGCATGATAAGTTCTCATCTGTGTCTGCAGAGAGAGACTCTTTTCTTTTGATTTTTGATAGGGCTTCGTACTAAAGAAAAGCCTTTAAAGCCATGCGCCATGCTATGGATGTGGTTGCACGTATGGCAGCTGCGTGTAACCGAACAGGCTGGAATGGTAAATGTAGTTTCTATTTTTCAAAGCATCGGATGAAGGAGGTTGAACAGTGAAGACTAAAAAGTGGAAAAGGTAGAGCGACATTGCCGAAAAACTTCAACCAGTGCCGAAAGTCTTAACGAGCTGACTCTTGGCGCTGATTTGCTGTTTCCTAACCCCGTTGCAGTGGGGGGTGGAAAACAGCAGGCAGTGTCATCCCGGGCGTCCGTTCCCCCGCAGGCGTGAATGTGAGGGACGATGTAAGGAGAAATACATATCTACACAAGGACCTGGGGGTTGTATCTCCAACTGCCGAACGGCAACCCAGCGAGTACAGATTCAGCGGACGCAAGCCAGAAGAACACAAGAGGAGGAACGAAGTCCGAGACGGCAAGAACAGCAGCAGCCACAGCCTTCCTTCTATGCCGTTTTATGACTTCTGCGTGCCTTTTGTAAGTAATTTGTATAAAAAAAAAAAAAAGTATCATTTCGAACAAAGCTCCTCGAACACATAGGCAGATGAACAAGCATCGGCAGACTTGCATAGATCTGTTTGCAGCACTTCGTCTTGTATAATACTTCTATCGTAGAAGTCGTGGAGTGAACAGATTAAATAGAGGATGAAGAAATGTCCACGCGCGTTGCTTCATAACACCGACGAAAGTGCAAGATGAAACTAGGAAAGTCCGCTTGTGGTTTTTCACCTGCGTATGCAGTCGACGAATCAGTAAGGGGGTTGATCGACGACGAACAGGAGTTCCTGGACGCGATGGTGGACGGACCACTGAAAGGCGTGGTGGAAGAAGTGAAGGGGAGCATTGATGCGGGAGGCAATGCTCCGGGGGCAAAGCGCCGCGCGATCACGTATTACAACGTGAAAGAGGAAATGGTTCATTAGATACGAAATTGGGATGAAAGCCCTAGATTTTAAGTACAAAAAGAAAGTAATATTATACTGAAGAAATGTAAGACCCTAGATGAAGAAGATAAATACAGCAAAGTCAATTCCCGCAATTCCAGAAATGTTTAGACACCGGTGTGGCCGTGGTAGCGAACGTTTGGAAGAATTTTAAACCGGGGTCCGCTCAAGAGCTTTGCCTTCGAGTTTGAGGTTTTTAACTACTTAAAGTTGTAGAAAAGTAGATAAAGAGACGCGGCGACGATCTTTCCCATATGACGATAAAGATACGCGGCGAAGCTCTTTCCCATATGACGAATTTTACCAGGAGGAGCACTTACCCGGCAATTCCAACGGCTATGGCTATCCACCCTATTTGAACTACGTTTGCATTTTAGCTTTCTTTTCAAGTTTTGAGGTTGAGTTTAGGTTTTGAATTTACAAACTTTTTTTGGCTCTTCCCAAAAGCACGTATTTATTACACTGGTACTTTTTTTGGTGTTGTCTGATTGATATAGTTCCGAAATGTACACCACGACGGCAGATTTGGTTTCTACTGGTTTCAGCTTGTAGCCCCGGGCGGGAGGCATACAGGTCGAGACCGACAAGAACTGGTCGGTTGGGTAGGAAGGAATGAACTACAAAACAAACAGCAGCATCAATGAATACTAGTACGTAGACCGCGTAGACGAAATAACAAAAAAAAACTACAGCTACACTGTACCATAAAGAAAACAGCGTCCGCACGAAGAGTCATGGTGCCGGCCGTGACTGCTAAACAAGACGACGCGATTTGAACTTCATTTGGTGTATGATCGCAACCGTTTCGAATAACTGTACTTATACGGAAGCAGAGCCTGTCCGTGCTTCCACATTGGTTTTCCAAGATGAATATTCTGCATGTCTCTGCGGATTGTGAAACACACAAGCTTGCCTCATCACAGAACGAAAGTCCTCGCTGCATCACATATGCTGCAGGCTGTTCGCAGTCGGAGCACACCCAGGGGGCAAACGAATGAGCGGAGAGCGCGACGCGGCTCATGCTGCAATTGAGTAGAGACTATTTTTTATCCGCGAGAAGAGGAAGACCAGAGCAACGAGCAAGGGTGAGTAATCCAAGGGAGTTTTTTTGCCTCGCTGCTTCACCTGTGGTTGTTGGTACTCTTACCTGTACTTATCGGTATTCTTGGTCGTCTGTTTCTGGGTAGCGGCTTCGAGCGATAAATTTGTGCAATGCAGATAGACCCCATCGATTCGTGTCCCAGGAAACAGGTGCGGGAAGACGGAAGGGTGCCTGCCTGCAACCCGGCTTCGGGCTGCTTCGCAAAACTCCCTTCCCGGTCTGTTTCCTGGGATGCAAATGACGCGGGGGGGAGATTTGCATCCCAGAAAACAGG